GACAAGAAGCTAATGCGGAAACAAAACAGAGCTCAAAGAACAAAGAAAACGATGAAATGGCCAGCGACGATTGGACAGAGGATCAAACTCAGCTTCTCATTAAAGCCGTCAATCTCTTTCCAGCGGGAACCGCCTCAAGGTATTATGAGAAAAGTCTAAACGTAACGTAGATATTGATTGAAGAAATGTAAAATGGTTTCCGTGTTTACATAGCCAGATGCTTCGCGTCGTGGTTTCCAGCTTATCTCGTGTTCTCCCAACCTCCCGCGCGTTTACATCAGGCTATGTAAACACGGAAACCATTTTACATTTCTTTTATTAAATAACTAATGAAAGAGGAACGAAAACCGTGAAACGAAACGAAACGAAACGAAACGAAAACCGTGTTTACATACGCTCAAGTAAAATGGTTTTATGGCCAATCAGAGCGCGCGTACTATTTGAATTATTTTATAAAGAATAATTTTTAAATGAGTGTCGAAAGTAATCGGAGACTGCGTTGGTCTTGCTTTAACTCGCTCTGTGATTGGTGCAGAAAACTCGCGGCACTCTGTCAACCAATCAGATGCAAAATTGACACCAATCACAACTTGGTCGCTCGCGTTTTCCCGCGCTTTAGGCAGTTTAGTTTTTATTTTGAGTTCTCATTGGCGCCCAAAAGTATTTCCTTTCCTTTGATTGGCTGTTGTGATTACTTTTGTTTTGTTTTACAACGCTCAAAAGTCCTGCAGCCAGGATACAAATATTTTTTGCGAATTTCATTGAACGCAAAGTTTCATGTAAGCAATTAAGTTGTGAATGCTTAAAATTTACGCGTTGCATTTAAAATAGTCAGAGGGAATCTGACTTTTTTGACTGTTTGTTCTTCTTTTTGTTCGCTATCAGGTGGAAAGTGATCGCAGATTATGTCAACATGCACGCTAAAACTGGAACCCTACGAGATTCCAAACACGTGATCAAAAAAGTGAAGAACTTACAGAAGCTAGGTTTGTAGCACTCAATTTATTCAGTTATTCATTTCTTTTGAGGTAAAACAGTTCTAACGCAGGAAATTTGGTTTTTATCAACTGAGTTTATGATATAAATTGGCCTCGTCAAGACTCTAGAAAGGTGATGTTTTGATCTTTAGCTGTTCGTTAGCCCTCGCTTTCCGCTCAGACAACGAGCGTCAGCTTTTGAAACTCTGCCATTTAACATTGTAAACTCAGTTGATGAAACCAAATTAGCTTGCAATATCCCCAGTGACGCAACACCACAGTTTCTTCAGGAACTGACTCCCTCTAACCCAGGAAATGTTTTCCAACAGACCCAACGCTGAAACAGGAAGTGAATCGAAACGCATTCGCGAAATTTGACAAAGATCACCATCATGGAAAAGCTTCTGCATCGGCGGAGTCTAATCTAACAGTGAGATACGATGGTTAGTGGTTGATCTTTAAAATAATTACCGATTTCCTTTTTAACGACTTGAATTACGAATTGCTAGCTTATGCATCTGATTGTTGATGTTACACAAAGATAGTTACACAATAAAATTAAGACATGTTTGTCACGCCGGATAATTACGAGTTATAAGCCTCACTCGCGCAGTTTAAAGAAGCTATGTTACTTTAGGTCACGTTATGGAAGCAATATTTCATACTTGGTCACGCAGGTCACGCCATGAAAGCATAGTATCATACTAGGTCAAGCAGTTAAAGGATAAAGCTTGATCAATATGTGTCAGTCATTTAACGCTTGGTCTTTGCAGGTCACTCACCTTTTGTTTTGAAACTATTACGGATTCCAACTGTCATCATCACACCAAAACAATCCTATTTTCTGATTTTCTCTTTATCAACTAATCAGATTCGACCTGGTCATTCGCGTTTTTCCACGCTTTAGGCAGCTGCGTTTTCCCGCGCTTTAGGCAGGCGCGTTTTCCAGCGCTTTAGGCAGGCGCGTTTTCCAGCGCTTTAGGCAGGCCTTTTCCTCATCTTTAAGTTCTCGTTGGCTCTTTTTGATATATTCTTTTGTTCCAATGAGCTGTTGTTATCTAGTTTGCTTTTCCTTTCACTCTCAAATGTTACAGTGACACTCATGTTCATGATTTTTTCCCTTCTCATGTTCAAGCAAGCCAATCTGGTGACGCTGCTCAGCAAACGTCTGCATGGACCTCGGAGGAGCAACGAGTAAGATTTTTTAAAAGAACGAAAACAATAATTTTCAGTCCCTTGTGGTTCAAAGAATGCTTATAGCTATTTCCAGTTAGATTTGAAGCTAAATTTTTGTCCTGAAATTTTTATGGTTTTGGTCTTTTGACACTCAGTGGAAAATTGCCCAGATAAAAATCGAATCCTTGTTAATTATAGTAACATTTTTGTTTTGCAAATCTATTTTCCAGCTTTTGGAGAATGCTCTGCGTACATACCCCACTAGCACACCAGAAAGATGGGAAAGAATCGCTGAAGCGGTCCCTGGACGAACGAAAAAGGAATGCATGAAAAGATACAAGGTCTGGCTCATCAAAAATACAATTTTGTCTATTCACGTGTTTAGAAACGTTCGTTCTTTCGAATCAATCGTGTAGGGTTCGATGTAAGTTCTTTGAACAAAGTATTGCAATGGGCGAATCACACCAGGGCAAGTAAAACTAAGCAAAGCGCAGGATTTCACCGCGTGTGGTCAAACGTGACCGACACAAAGCGCGGGAATTCAGCGCGTGTGGTCAAGTAGCGATTGGTTAAGGCTCTTTATGTTCTTCATCTGATTGGTTTAAAAGTAGTGCCAATTTTGTAAGCCAATCACATAGAATCAAATCAATTTGCTGTTCTTGAAGCTGTACTCGAAAAAATCCAGTATTCTCTTTGACTTTATCTTTCGGTCTATGAAATTAATTCTTGTTTTATGGTCTCTAATTTAACTGCTCAGTGCAGTTGGAACACAATTGTCGTTTAAGCTAACTTTTTATTTCACTGCACCCTTGTAGTCTACTTTTTATGCAATCAGGACCTATTAATGCTTCTCTGGACATGCTATTTAGTACATTAGAGAGTAGACTACGAGACGTCCCTAATTTTCGGGGAAGTCGGTCGCGGGAGTCAAAAAAACTAGCGAAAATAAAACGCGCGGAACTCTGGGAGTGCACCTCGTTCTCAGATTTCTACGCGGCGCACTAGACCCATGTGTTTTTTTTTTCGACTCGCGCCGCTGACTTCGCCGAAAGGAAGAACTGCTCGTCTAATCAAAGAGTGATTATATGTTTGTATATAATTGTTTGTTTGTCTTTTGCTAACTTGTAGGACCTGGTTGAGATGGTAAAAGCCAAGAAAGCAGCTCAAAGCAAAGGAAAAGCCGCGTAACACCAACTATGAGAATCAAGCTGCCAAATAATTAGTTCTTACTGTATATTAAGAAACTGCTGAACTCCTCCTGGCTCCACAGTCCTAAAACTGCTTTGATATATGGAAACTGGTCTCTCTTTTCCATTTATATCCTCTTGTAAATAAAGCAATTGATTTTCTCAGTTAACGTGTGAGTTTGGTTTACGTATGGAATTAAATTTTTAGCTTCGCACTGGTTTGAAACAATTATGGACCAGTCATTATTTCATTATTTATCGGGGGGAGGGGGAGGAAGGATTTGTGGGGGATCACATGGTTTTCAGGTAAAACGAGGGGGGAATCAGTCTTCGGTAACATAGTTTAAACAGGGGGGCTATAGACAATTGATTGCCGATTAACTGCCAACAAAGCGAGTATCATAAGATTATTACAGAGCCTTATTGGGGGATCAGGTAAATTTTATCGTTATAGAACCAAAATAATCGGACCATCCCCACCCCACCCTCTCAAGCCGGCGATACATGATGATGTATTCCTTCCTGTTGGAAGGGCTGAAGCTTCCAGCTTTGCATTTCCAACAGGCCTTTGTAATCTTTGTAGGAGTCCTGTGGTTTGAAATGGTTTGAGTAATTTGAATTTTCTCAGTCTCTCTTGATGTAAGGATGTACATTTGTTAGTTTAACAACCTTTCTACTCCTAGCAGAGGCTGAAATAACAATCTTTAAAAAACTCGAAATTCCAATTTGAAAACTCTAGGAAAAAAGTTGTCAAAGTTGTCAAAATTCTACTGAAGAGGTTCCGTTAGATTGGGTACACTCAGAGATTTAGTCCACACTTGCAGAGATTAGAATGAAAATCACTTTACCACACGTGATGTGGGAATCGAAGTGTTTGGAGTGATTGGCATTTAATTTCTTCTTACAATATCACCATTGAATCACACATTAAATGTCACAAGAATAAAAGAAAATGATCACCAACGAAAGCAGCTCTTCTCTTTGTCAGTACCTGAAAAAATATATAGAGAACAGTATGGAGAATATGCATACTGATGTTAGTGTGTAAACGGTTGAAAAGATAATTGAAATTCATATTTCACGGGCAGTATGATCATAGTTTGTACTGTCATTTGGACTATGACAGTATTTGTTATACATGAAATGACTTACAATATTATTCACTGCCTAGGAGATATGTTTTGATCGAATTTTCATGTTATATTAACGTTTTCGTGAGCAACGAGGAAAAATTTAATCGAAGGAGTTTAACTCATCGGAAACATGAAATTTAACTCGTAAGCAGGTCATTAATTTTTCTCATTAACAGCTCAGCTGGCCATATTTTTAATCTACCATTGTAAAAGGATTTTGTTTAAACTCTTTGAATATCTCTTTTACATATTTGGAAATCTATATCTGTTTTGCTGTGATTACACGGCGCTGATTTACGCATAGCTCTTTCGCCTTCTTTTCTGTTCACTCGCTGAAAATTAAACTTAAATTCGAGACGGTATAAACTATAATTGTAAATCTTATTCAAAGTTTCTCCTGTCGGCTGAATATTGTCATTTCCCAATCCCAATTAATGCCCAATGAATTTTCATTATTCAGTTCCGGCACAATAAGGTCGACTTTTATTTTGTTTACTAATCCAGTCGCCAGTATTTTAAAAGTTGTCACTCAAAATGACGCACGTAACCAAGTAGAGATATTAACTTATACATTCCAAATAAGACAAAATCTTCTTTGTGAATGTTTTACGATCATTTTAAAGTTGATCTGGTACGGAGAAGTTGAGTTGAAAGTCTCCTTTGTAACCGAAGCAAGACTGATTCGTCACGATGGGAATCGCTAATCTGATTTTTGTGTGTCTTTTACTGATGGAAGGAGCTTTACTCATCGAGAGCAGTTTAGGTAGGTGGAAAATTACTGGCATGCAATTAAGAATCTTGCTGTAAGCGACTGTACTGAAAAAGATAAAAATGAAATGGGGTATCTTTTGAGTCATACTTTTATGTTTAGAACGTGTTTTGCTCTATTTTAGTCTTGGAGATCCAGGAATTCAGATTTCCCTCATTGTAGTGGAATACACTTCGCCCTGACAATTGCATCGTGAGGATTAAAGTTGACATTACGCATCTAATAGCGCTGAGTTATGGTTATAACAGCAATTTATTGCTTTCATATAGAAAGGCCTTCAGGATGACACAATTCTAGGCCAAAATCGGTTGCCGACAAATTGGCCTTGACGACCACAAATGATCTTTACTGAATTTTTTTTCTTGTTTTGTTTTTTTCAATCTTTGCCGCGAGGTTTGATTGCTGTTTCAAAAACACTGGATTTAATTTTTTGGCACCTTTCCGATAACAGATCAGATATGCCCGAAAATAAAAGAGTTATTAACTGGAAATATATGAAATTATCGAGCGTTTGTAAATAGCACTAACCCACTTTCGAAATATACGAACTCGATTGAGGAAAGCTGGAACGAAAACATGAAATCGAGGCTTATGATTATTTGGGTCTGCGTCTCACTCCTTCCACACCACTATATTTAGTCTGTCTAATGGATCTGAAAAGCTTATTCTGACATTTGGTAGATTATCATGAATATCTGTATTTGTCTTTGATTAGCTGTAGATTCTTACACGCGTTTTGGTTAGAATTTTGTGAACAAAAGTTAAGCTTCTCGTGGATTTTGCCCCACTCCACTTCGGTGCAAAGTTGAATGAATAAAAGAAGATTGCATAGTGACAGGATTAATATCCGTCAGGAAGGTCGTTAGTTCAAAATTGGATGTTCTGTTTACGGGGTTTCTCGACACAATTTTTCCACGGTTGTAGCTTTTTGATGGAATACATCGCAAGCTAAAACTCAGTCTTGATTCAAAGCTTTCTACTCGTCCACGGGGATTGGGGCAAGGAGACATCAAACACTTCAGACAACTCATTATTTGTCTTCCATTTTTTAGAATGTCAAGACCTTCAGGATGGGAAGTTATGCTTGGAAGAGAAGAAAGCTGGCAACTGTTTTGAACTTCCGTGGAGTGGATCATGTCGGAAGACTTGTGATCTTTGTGGTTAGTTCAAAATATAATACTTCACAATCAATGATTTTTACTTGACGTTGAAATTTCGCTTTTAAGGCAAAATACACCTTTGACAGCTGGCTATGGATTATGCATGTTAAAATCAGAAAAAAAAATGGCTGAAAGGATAGAAATCACAATTGCTGGAAAAGAAAATCTAAGTAATTGTGGAAACTTTATCAGAGCAACAAAGGAACCTTTAATTGTTAACCGCCACCCCGGGGGGAGGGGGTGGGGGTGAATGATAATTATTTTGGGGGGATGACATGGTTTTAGGGGGGAACAGAGGGGAGATCAGTCATCGCCAACAGGGTATTAAGGGTAGGGGGGGGGGGTAATGGAGAATTGACTGTCAATCAATTGCCAATGAGGAAGGGGGGTTCATAAGATATTACAGGGCCCTGGGGGGAGGGAACAGGTAAATTTCATCGTGACACATTTAAATCCTCCAAAACCCACCCCCTCTCCCCTCCTTAGGCAATGAGTAAGACTGGTCTCTAAAAAGCAATTAGGTTAGTTTGAGATACAACTCGTCTATAGAATTTTTTTTCTTTTTAGATAAGTGTTATAATGCTCAGAACATTGTAACTTGTCAAGACGAATTCGAGAAAGGAAACTGCGGAGACACTGAAGTGGCCCACGTCTGCAGCCAGACATGTAAAGTGCTCTCCTGTGCTCAGGTAACAGTTTCATTTCTGAATGCATCCCCTTAGAGTACCCTCCCTTAATTTTGGTTTTAGGAAGTCGTTTTCGTCTTCTTCCCCCCTCCCTGACACAAATGCTTTATTGCTTTCTCCGTACTGCTTCTCCTGTTGCTTCAGTCCAGGCAATCACTATGGGGCTATCGTTGAGCTAGCTATGCCCATTCATGAATCCGTGCGAAAAATAAAAACCTTTGTCCACCCGTCATCTACTTCTAAGATCTGAGTTAAATTATTTGACCGGATAAGTGGCTAGAAAATACTCCACGTGTGCAAGAAGGCGCAAACCTTGGTGGGAGGGAAATACTTCGATAACCTGTGCTCAGCGTTCGGTCGGTAAAACGAGCGCAATAATAAACGAAGCGATAGAAGCGGGGGAGTGAAAAAGACGAGTGAGGTTTGGTTCGAGTCGCATGGTGAACGAAGTATTTTGCTCCCTTTTACTAGCTAAACGCCTGAAGCAGGCTAATGCTTCAAGTTCCCTCCACAAATTTCTGCCGCTAATGGTTATTGTGTTTACAACATTTTATATCAGGTGCTCAGTGTGGAAAAGAAGGGTCCCAATTTTGGTCATATTCACTCCACACCCTTCACTGACCTACGGTGTTCATTTGAAATTGAGGTTAAAATGAGTGGCACTTTTTTTCAGGGAGTCTTTGGAGAAGGAGAGGGAGGGGGAGGGTGGTGATATGAGGAGAGACACTAGGATCAATATCAGTATCTGGGCAACTGCCCACCTACCCCTCCCTTAACCCAACATTAACCCTAACTTGTTATCAATTGACTGTTGTTGAGTTAGGGGAGGGGTAGGTGGGCAGTTGCCCAGATACTGATATTGATCCAGCCACTAATTAAAAGGGAATGCACTAATCGACGAATTTTTTTTTTAACACGATGATAAACTTCGATCAACAGGAAGCTACCAGCGCCAGCCAGCTACCTGATGCATAGTGGTTAAAATGAAGAGATGATGACATCAGTAACGTCTATTAATTTATCAGTCGTAAAGAAAATGTCCACTGAATCTCATTAGATAACATTTCCGAGATGTTCAACAACTTCACCCTCTCCATCTTTCCGTCGACTATAATGTAGGTATAATGTACATCTTTCGTTGAGAGACTGACCCAGTCACGCGCTCCTATTTACAACTCGTTCTCAGTCCCCATCGTGTTTTCGAAGTGTATTTTAAAAAAACCCGTCTCTCGTCTGGCTTTTTATTTCTTTTCTTTTTTACTCAAAACGTTGTGCCTAATGTATTAGATTGAATAAAAATGTTTCCATGGGTATCAGCCGGATTGTTTTTCTTGGTTTTTTATTGTCTGTCTCGCACATATTTCATCGTTACCTTCGAAGCGGAAATAAATGAGATCATCGGAAACCTTATCCAGCCAAATGGCAATTCATTTATAGTGCGTGTGAAGCTGAAGCACTGCAGGGGCTAACTTGTTTTACATTTGTCAGTCACCTGTTTATACAGCCACAAGAAAATATCAACAGTTGATATTCTCTTGACAGCCAATAATTGACGTCCCCTGAAAATCAACCGGATTACACCAGCCGACCATTCCAGATGTTGTTCTGGATCCATAATGCCATCCGGGTGGTGTTGATGCATTTGCTCGCGGGCAACAGTCTTACTTTAAACAGCTGTACACAATGAAAACAATTCATTATTGAAGGATTCGAGCCTTCCCTTTCAAGTTACCGGCGCGCTAACATCACGAGAGGTGCTTGAATTAATAGAGATGGTGCCGTTTTGAAAATTCTGATGTTGCTGTAAATTTAGGGACAAGATGAACGGGTTTAACGTGAAACACTAGTCGTTTTCCCATCCTCTAAGCTTGCAATTAATTTATTTTATCAGCACGTGCACAAAACAGCTTTTTCGTTCCTTATCAAAATGGCAGCACTTGTTATTAGTTGGTTCGAAGATTGGTTTCATTTATTGGTTAAAGACGAACAGAAAAGGCTTTAAAATCTCTCTCGAAATCATTTTTAACCAGCGCGTAGCTTATAGTTTACTAAAACAAACAACAATTAAAACCTATGATAGCATGAACACTCTAACAAACGCGCAAACGTTTTCGGAATCCAAAAGTTCAATTTAGTATGGAGGTGTTAAGTTATGGATGAACAAGTTGTGTACACAAAATTTATTGAGAAGGACTACTGTGCACAGACGTCAGAAATCTAGCGGGCTTAACACAGGGTTCGCAATCGAATGGAATCCAGAACATAAGTACAGAACTCAAGTTTAAACTAAGATGGTATGGTAGATATTCAAAACCTCCGTTCTATTCAATTACTTCTTATAAGTAATGTTCTGTGTAATAATGACTTTGCTGCTCTTTGACTTAGCAGAATTTTTCGCTGACAACTTGAATCTCGATGCATTGCTTCTTTCGGGTTGCTACATAGTGCGAGAAATTTGAAGGTTTCAAAAAGTTGTTCTCACAAATATGATGTAACCATTCATGCTATTAAAAAAGATTCTGATCTAGAAAATAATGTAAAATTTGCGTTATTACAGAGACAAACACCTATTTCATTCTTCGTTTAGGATGACGATATCCTTATGCAAGAAAATATGCCTGCTACATAAAATTGAAATCACAAAATTTTTACGAAAATTTGGAAACTTTCGAAGGTTGTAATTCGAGGTTCTGCCAACAGCTGCGAACTGATGAGTTCTTTTTCGGGATATGGAAACCGTCTAATTTTGCCCACATTTCATAAAACCATTATTTTTATTGTTAATTTTTTTCTACAGACCCGAGAGACGATATCCCTCTTTTTCTTCTCAGTCATAACAACGACTGTAGCAGCAACGAACAGCGCCCTCTTCAAGATAAGAGAAAATTATTTTCGTCCCGTAGAAAACACGATTTGGGAAGGCAAGACAGCTTCTCCGCTGTCGTGTTCACAAAGGTGTGCTATTCAGCTCGGTTGTAGAAGTGCAAATTTCCTGGTAAACACAAAAAGGTGTTTACTTTCGGCTGAAAACAAGGAAAGTCTTTCCAGCACGCTGCTTCATCAAAAAGATTCTTTTTATTTAGAAAAGGTATGTCCGTTATGTAGGAGAATGAAGTGAAGTGTTCCTCGCTGCTACAAAAATTTTCATCAGTTAGCTACTGTGTTGTGGTTTTGGCAATAAGTCATGTTATTTCAGTCTTTTAATTGAGTGTTCTATGATCGAACCATCCGCAATTTCTTGGGAAAAGCTCATATTTCAGGGGTGTATAGTGGAGACCAAAAACAAAAAACTTTTCCTAATAAATAATTTTTCAAGAGTACGTCCTCGAATTATCACCAAAAACAAAAGTTCTCGTAGTTAGGTGAAAACAAAACTCTAAAACTTCCCATAATCCCCACCCACCCCCACACCATCTCTACACTCGCTTCGTAGTCAACTCGTCAATGTTTTTATATTTTTTTTTGTTTTTTTTTTCCAGATCATCCTAATAACAAAGAGATCAAGACCTCGCATTAAAAGAGGTAAGTCGGTGAGTTTCTCGTTTCCATCCACGCTGCTCAAAACAAAAGAGAGTCGTAGGGAGTCTTGGCGAGAGCGTGTAACTGAGGGGTGAGGGGTAAAGACCGAGGGGTTAGGAGTGGGAGGGGGAGTAATGGGAGTGAGGGATGGGAGGATGTGAGTATTGGCGTTAAGGGTGAGAGGGAAGGGTGGGGCGATGAAAGATTAAATTTTAGAGGACGAAAGAGTTGGTGTCTCAGTTTTTTGAAAACCATATTACTTTCTTAATAAAGCTGGAAAAAAAAGATAAATCAACAGGAAACTCGTGGTTAAATAAAGTCTATGTAAGAAAAGTCTCGAGTTTTCCTTTTCCCTACTTTTGTTACCTTTAATTAACAGATTTACAAGAACGTTTGCACGTTTTTTCCTTGGAAATTTTGCACGAGAATTTGGCGCATGGCCAATCAAAATTGTCCTCCTACGCATGTCTTACTTTTGAGCACTGTATTTTGTGTTTCAGGGGTGAACTCGGTTTATTTCAAAAGATTCATGACAAACATAGGATACCGTTGCGCAGAACCACGACAAATTTTCTTTTATTTTTTGCAGGGAGAACAAAATCCTCCGCTGTCCGCTCTTGTGAGTACCTCTTTGACCAAACTAGTGCACGATCTCTTCCCCCGCCCTCGGGTGTTTATTGGGTAGATCCGGTTGGTGGTTCCCAGTCAAAGGCATTTCAGGTTTACTGCGACATGGAGACTGATGGAGGAGGCTGGACTCTAGTTTGGAGTTATACGTTTACTAACTACGATGATTTTACAAGTATTACAAACGCCGTGACTCCAAGGCCCAATTGGCCAGTACACGGTTTCGATGGTATATCAACAACAGCCCCAATGAATGAAACAGATTACAACGCCATGAGCTTTTCACTCTGGAAGCAACTCGGCAGACAATTTCTTATCAAGAGCAACATAAACAACTGGCTACTGTGTCATCCGGGAACTGGCAGCTTGGTTGATTGGCAGGAAGGCGATGTCAACTGTCGGATTGTCAAGCACGTGACTAACACGTGTAATGACGCGTTGCCGCCTTCATTTCTGCGATTTGACATAGCGAAAGGGGTGACGCTTTGCTCCAATAAGAACCCTTACTCACACATCTACTACCGCTTTGACTCCAGCGACAAAAGTGCCTGGCCTGTCCATGACCCTTGTGGAAAAGAGCGTGACAATCATGTAAAAAGTGTCCTTAATCCACACGGGAACATTTATATTCGTACCTGATAAATTCCAGTTTTACAAGGCCTTCCTCACCTGACACAATAAACTCAGGTGTAATGGTCCGATCCTTAGTTATTGGGGTTTGGATGAATACAGGGGGGGGGGGGGGGTATCACATGTTTTCGGGGGAAATGGAGAGGGGATCAGTCGTCGTTAACTGAGGAGAGACTCAGATAGAAAATTGACCACCAATCAGAGGGGATTTTGCTTTTTGATGAAATTACAGCACATGAAAATAAAACTTTGAAATAAAATAGTTGACAGAAAGTAATCATTTTTAATAGTTTCTAGTATCGCACCTTTTCTACGATCTCTCAGGGGGTCCTTTCATAGGAAACTACTTTTCTGAACGAGTTTCGCGCCGTCAGCTGAAAATCTTTCGAAACATTCTGAGGCCCAAATCAAATTGACTAAGAAGAGACCGAAGTACCAAGAATTGGATGAGTTTTTCCTAAAACTAGGAAATATTCTGATATTCTCATTAGACCTTTTTCTGTGCATCGCCATGCACTGATGCCGTCAAAATTGAATACAACTCAGCTCGTAGAACTAAATCAGCGATACTAGCAATCACTATTGTTAGGCGACCCACCGAGATTGATGTTGAAAGTTTTTTCCTCCCTGAGCCTTTTTACTCCCAAGATCTCATTCGTAATTCTCCTTACTGTCTACCATACAGTTCTTGTGATGTTAGTTTGGAGAATTTGGTATTGGATCAACTTATAATCCCCAAATTGATTCTTTTCTTTTTTCTCATCACTTATCTGCTTGATATTGTATTGATATTGTAGGGAGAAATTCTGTCTTGGTCACTCATGAAAGTTAAAGGGTTAAAGATAAGACTGTTCCCAGCTGAGCCGCGATCATTCCAGTTCCTGGCAGAATGTCGTTTTCTATTAACTTTCCCGTTACTAATTAGTTTTTTCAGCAAATAAGAAATCAGGAAATTCTGTTTCTTCCTGAAAGCGCTAAATCAATGACGCTGGCGCAGTTTAGGAAATTAGCTTGCAAACTATCAGGGGAAGGGCAGCCACACTTTTACACTTACCAGAGAGGAAGAATTTCCGTCATTCGTCGTGTATTGTACAAGAATTCACCTTAGTGTTTATCTAAAAATTTTTCACAACTGCGAGGACGAAATTTGATAATAAGCATTTTCTTAAAAGCTAGGTTTTTCGTTTGTCTCACGATGTAGTCACGTGTGATGTAGATCGCGATTTACATCACACGTGACTACATCGTGAGACAAACGAAAAACTTACCTTTTATTGTTATTCACCACGATGAATAACCACAACCTTTTCTACGAAAGAATTTTCTTTTGTTTAAACAGGCAGTTGTTCGTATTCCCTAAAGTTCCTGTTTTTCTCAAAGGGTTTTCCCCTCTGAGCTCGTACGGAAGATTAAATTTAGAATTCCCTCTTCCCCTGTAAGCCACCGTGCTAGTATTGTTGAGATGGTTTGAATCGCTAATAATTCACGGTGAAAAGCACTTGAAATCTTTGAATATACCAAACATGAAATATTACCCAATATAATGCTGCAGATCATGAAAATTGATGAAAAGGGCATTTAATTTTTCCAATTAAAACAGCAGCACTCTACTTGAAAGAGTTCCAATATTATGTGCGGAAAAGGGCTTTTCAGCGTTGATCTAGATTTGCTTCAGCTTGAAACTCGATCTACATCTTAATCTCTGAATTTTAATAAAAAGCTTAAAAGCTCTGCACGCTATCGGAAACTCGCATAAATCAAGAGCTCGAGTGCAGTGCAGGTTCCTTGCACAAGTTGTACAGCTTCGATCGCCAAACGTCATCAGTCTATAGAGACGCCGCCTAGTGAATTGAAAATTCCAGAATGAAATCTGGCATCCTGCACATGATTTTCACCTTAGCTGCCATGTCATCCATGACTTTCCGAACAGCAAGGTAAGACAATGCGCTTATGTTATACTGTTAATTAATTCGGCCTTCGTATTATTTGTAACGAAATCGCTTTACTGACGGAGGAACGATATTAAGGAAGTCAAGGGATCACTCAAATTTGTCCTCACAAAACGTTTGGCTTCGCTGACTAAACTTGTAGCATCACCAACAATTTAACTGGGAGGCATATAGGCTCTGTAGAAGCCTCAATTGTTTTTTAGGAGCTAATTTTTTTTTCCAATTGCCTATGTTACGCTTGTGATAATCAATTTTCCTCAACACGAGGATAATACTTCATCACGTAGAGAGATGGTTTTTTTCCTTCTTTATTTCTTAGCGGGCAGGACCTACCAAGGTTCAAAGTGCTTGAGATGGACACAAATGGAACACTTTATCTCCACAAAACTTCATTTCTGTGCCCGAGAGAGATTGCCAAACGACTTACTGAAGGGAAATATCAACTTGCTGAGCCGAACAATTTAGGTAACAAATTACAAACCTTGTTTTGATTTGAGTTTCAAATTTAGGAGCTGAGTAATGAGGTAATTATATATCATGTTGAGTTATCGATTAAATAAAAAAATAATATAATTAATCAAATACAGTTTTTCCCTTTTAGTTCACTAATTCTTTTGAGTCAATCAATTCGAAGCTTCAACATCACCCCCCTCCCCGGGCAACTCCTGGGAATTTGAACGTTTGAAGATTGGTTTGTACAAATTATCTCCCCACGGGGCAAATATTGAGTTCAACTGCCCTACTTAAGTGCCGGATGTGATGGTCAGTTTTTTCAGTTGTTAAGGACAAAATCAGCGACCGTATGCATGCTTTAAAACTTAAACCTTGTGGAACCTTATTTCCGAGCCAATTGCTCACGAAGGTGAAGCTCTCTATCATTAACCAACTCCATATTTAAAGATAAAACACTTGTATGTGGGTCTCAAAGGGGTGATGGCTTTTACGGCTGACGATTAAAATGTTCGCCAATTTACGGCTAACGGTGAACGTCTTTGCATTGTTTTCACCAGAAATTTTTTTTAAGATTAACATTTTTAACAACTATCGGTTAAAATTTTTCAATTTTTACGCCTAACAGTTAAATATTTTGTCCGTTTAACGGTCAACGATTAACTTCATTTAGACCTTCTTGTATTCCACTGCAAAGACTTAACACTTCCGGTTTTAATTCCCCCCCACCCCCACTATGGAAGGTTCAAGTTCCCCATCCCCCGGGCACGGATGATAGTCCAATGCCCGTAGGTTGCTTGGGGGGATGTTTTAAGCTTTGGATTGAACGATGCAAACGTCGAAAGGGCTAAAGATGCGTTTAGTGTATTTCTGTTTTGCAAATTGTCTTTAAAGGATTGTCCAAAGATTTCGCGGTGTTGACCTGTAAAACTCTGAAACAGAAAGTTCCCTCAGCCGATTCAGGCGTCTATTGGATAGACCCGGATGGTGGTTCCCATGGTAACGCGTTCCAGGCTTACTGCGACCAGCAGACTGAAGGGGGAGGCTGGACACTAGTTTGGAGTTACACTTTTACAGATTATTCGAATATCCAGAAGGCATCTAACGCTGTCACTCCGCGCCCATCCTGGACAACAAGCAACGCTAACGTTCGAGTATCCACAACAGTTCCACTCAGCGAGACCCATTATGAGGCCATGGACTTTTCCTTGTGGCGCAGCATTGGTAAGGAATTCCTGATCAAGAGCAACATCAACAACTGGATCGCATGCAAGGAAGGTTCTGGTAGCTTGGTGCAACAGAGGGACGGGACTGTAAGTTGTAAGCTGGTCAAACAACTCTCTGGACAGTGTTCTGGTGTAGTGCCGAACAGGGTTAAGTCAAGTAGTGCTGAAAAAACTCTTTTAAGCCGTAATCATTATTACTATTTTGAAGGTGACAGGAGTGGGGGTTGGCCAACACATGACCCATGTGGAAATAATCAAGCAAATCAATTGAAAGGTGTGGCAAACCCACATGGAAATATTTTCATTCGTTAAACTTGACCTAGATGTTTATAGTGGTTTTATAATTATGATAATTATGATAAGATACAAAATTTAATCTCAGTCTACGACGTAAAAATCTGTGAATAAAATAAAATAAAATAAAACTATGAACAGTTCAATAATAATAATAATAAAACTATTTACAGATCAATGTAACTGTATGACGTCATTTTCTTTTTTCCTTTTTACGAGCGTCTTTTAAAGCTTCTTAGGTCAGTCTCATGTTTTAATGCTTCCGGTAATGCATTCCATATCTTCGGGGGCCAGGTATCGCCAAAATCTTAAGATCTTTGGTACCATATAAAACAAATTTTTCGGTCATAGATCACAGTAGACGTCAAACTTTAAAACATCAGTGAAATCACGTGTGCCACTTTATTGTTCATACGATATTTTGACGTCATCTGACGTTATGTTACTGAAAAGACGCACAGAAACGTGGAATGTATTTATTAATCCTTTAAACCCTAAGAGTGACTAGCATCAAATCTCTCCTTAAAATATCACTCCTGAATCACACATTAAGGTCATGACAATGAAGGAAATGATCACCAACGATAAAAGCGTTTGGTTGGTAAACAAAATCTCCTTGTCAGCTCCATAGGAAATGTATAAAGAACAGTGCAGAGAATATGCATACTGATGTTAGGGCGTAAAGGGTTAAAGGTGCGTGAAGTGCAAGGTGTTTTGCCTCAGGCGTATTTTTTGACAAAATGAACTCGACACAAAGTAAACATGAATTCTAGTGTGGTGCGGTGATTGTATTTCTCGATGTCTGGTTATTCCTTTATTATGTTCTGTACACCCAAGTGGTTACTCAACGTGCTTACTCAGTAGTTGTTTTCAACGAATCCACGGATTCTAGAGTATGCACTTCGATTCCTACTTTTGTTGTCGTCGCACAATGCACAAACAAATCAATAGCAATATTTACCATATGGCTGCCAGTGCCCATGTGCAATATGAAGCGGATCCTGTGTTCTGATTGGCTACCCGAGCGGGCAAGATGGGCCGGAATTGATTAATTTTTAATTCAATTCAGCCAGACCCTACATCACGAGTACAACTTCAACTTGTGCAGTCTCCAGACAGTCCATCCGCAACAACTTAATTTTACGAGTGTTACCATCTGCGTTCGGTTTCCAAGCTCGACAATGCTTAACCATGTAATTATTAATGTTGCTTTGCTCTTCTTCATAACTTGTGGCTGGACTCTTTCAACATCAAGGTAAGAGAGAAGTTTTGTGTTTCTTGAATAAAATGCACTTTATAATAATCCGTCTTGACGGAACGTTCCGAACTTTCGCGCTTACATTAAGAGTTTCGATATAAAAAGCTCAGTATTTTTTATATATATAAATGATAGTTTCAACTTTGCTTCCTGGTCATAACAAACTACATATATTTTCTTTAATGCCGTTCATTTCGAGTTGTATTTTTCCTCTCTAGCTTTTGAATGTCGGAACTTGTCAAGATATGTTTGGTATGTATCCCGTGATTTACATGGGATGATTGAGTGACTGAAAATAAAAACAAGGCAAATTTCCATCAGTTCTTGTGTAATATCCGGAATATCAATGGTTTTGCTTTACTACGCCCTGTAATTGGTCAAGAAAAGTTACACCACCCTCTAGACCAATCAGATGCCAAAGCTACTCGCCCACGGTCGCATTGTTATATCAACACCTAAGAGAGGGTGGGTAACTGACCTCTCAATTAAAATACCTACACGTCCGTTCAGATTATATTTGATAAACGCGAATCATACGATCTCGTTAAACTGTTGATATTCCTTCATCTCTTAGCGGGCAGGATGCACCAAGGTTCAAAGTGCTTGAAATGGACTCAAATGGAACACTTTATCTTCACAAAACTTCAATTCTTTGCATAGGCGAGGTTATCAAACGTCTGACCGAAGGAAAATATCAACTGGCTGAACCGAGCAATTTAGGTAAGCAAACAAACCTTGCTTTGATTTGAGTATATTTCGATGAGTCACGTTTGGTCGAGTTCATGTATCATGTTGTGTTGTCAGTTAAAGCAATCAGAAACATTTTCGTCCCTCGAATCGCGTGTACTCGTGAGGCCCTATTAGAGGTCATGGGGATACAGAATATTTGAGTAAAAGAATAAACGGGATACTTGAAGAAAAAAATTACCGGGATAATGGATATTTAAAATAGGGATTCCGGGATTTTAAACCCGGAATCAGGAATACAAACCAAAGGAATTAACGGGATACGGGATTTATAGCCCAAAAATTAACAGGATACGGGATACTCAGACTCCTCCCCCCCCCACCTCCCTAATGAGGCCTCATTGGTTTTTAGCCGGGAGGATGCGGTCAATGAATTTTTGTTGTGCAAATTGTCTCAATAGGATTGTCCAAGGAATTCGCAATGTTGAACTGTAAGGACCTGAAACAGAAAGTTCCTTCAGCCGATTCAGGTGTCTATTGGATCGACCCGGATGGTGGTTCCCATGGTAACGCCTTCCAAGCTTACTGCGACCAACAAACGGATGGAGGAGGTTGGACTCTAGTTTACAGTTACACCTTCACTGATTACTCAAGTTTCAGGAGTTCAGGAAACGCTGTTACCCCGCGTCCATCTTGGTCAGCTAGTTCTGCTAACGTTCGAGTGTCCACAACCGTTCCTTTGAGCGAGACCCATTATGAGGCCATGAACTTTGCTTTGTGGCGCAGCATTGGCAAGGAATTCCTGATCAAGAGCAATATCAACAACTGGATCGCATGCAAGGAAGGTTCTGGTAGCATAGTGCAGCAGAAGCAGGGGTCAATCGCTTGTAAACTGGTTAGACAGGTTTCTGATCAATGTCCCGGTATAGTGCCGAAATCAGTACAGTTGGATAATAATGGAATGTATCTTTCCAGCAGTAGTTTTTATTATTACTTCGATGGTAACACAGGCGGAGATTGGCCAACGCATGACCCATGCGGAAAGGATCAAGAAAATAATTTGAAAGGTGTGCCGAACCCACACGGAAACATTTTTATTCGGTAAACTGAACTCCAAAAACATTTTAAAATCAATTCAAGTAATGCAATCTCCTCGCTTTAAGAAGAATACTTTTAGAGAGAGATATTATTTTTTCGTCTTGTCACGAGCGTGGAGCAAAGAAAAAATTCTGAATCCCCATAGGCAATGGGGGACTAAGAATTGTTTTCCTTTGTCCCATGCTCGTGACAAGACAAGAAACATATTTCTTTATATCTTTACCGGGCTTATACTATCTTTCCTATTCTGTTACAACACCTAAGTCATTGTGAAACGCTGAGTTCAAAGACACAAAAAATGAGTATTGAATTAAGTAATACCGAAATAAGAATCTTGGTCTGTGCTTTGAAATAATTTTTGTCTCTTAAAAGAGCGATTTTAGTTTGGTTTGTTCTTGAATGAACAGTTTCAAGTCGCGTGTTAAACTTAAACTCACAAAGGTGGCGGAGGCGCAGTCGCAAAAGGGCGAAACCTACAAACAATTTTGTCGTTGGTTTGTAGCGGATTCCCGAATCTAGAAACTTGTGTTTTATATATGACATGCTGTAAAATGTCCAATTAAACATGGTTGTTTTGAGGAAGTCGATGTGTAATTTTATTTTCCTTTTTTACGTTCTCTCTTTTTATTTTCTGAAGGCCTCCAGGCTTCAGGGTTTGCGCCTTTCTTACCCATATAATGAGATATTTCGCATTCATTTTAATTGAGCATACAGTGATAATCAATTTTAACCAGAATTCGATCAGTAGGCAGCCCATGTTTCGTGAAGGATGATGCAGTAACATCGCCCCGTGCAACCTGCGGATATTTGACTGTCGTCTATACCCAGGGGGTGGCAAATTTGAGCCTTGCCTGGCTGGGGTGGGGAATTTAAACCAGAAGTGTCGTCCTTCCAGAGGAATACAATTGTTTTATCTTTCAATATGAAAGGACAATTAAAATTAGCGAGGGAATGGCTAAGAAGTAAACATATGCAAGGTTTAGATTTTAAAACATGGACAATGAATAGAAAGTCGTGGTCGCTGATACTTCATTTAAAAAGGAATGTACCATCAAATCCAGTGTTTGAGTGGGGCATTTGAGCACAAATTTGTCTTGTGGAGCTGGAATTAGAACGAACAATTTTCATAATTTCAAATACGTGGGAAGAGGAGGGGGTCGTTGAATCTCCGAATTGATCGACGCATTATGACCGATAAGCTCAAAGCGAGCATGCCGGGATTTCCCGAGTCTTGCTCGAGTTTGCAAACTTTCCGCACAGACAAATACTCGCGAAACTGTGTCATCTTTCTATCAGACTTTTCAGAGCTTTATCAAGAGAATGGAGAATGAAATCTGTCATGGGAGTTTGATTTGGAAGGACAAAATAGTGATGTTTCAGAAAATGGCATGGTTTGGGGTACATGCAGGTGAGTTTTCAAGATTCTTGAATTATTAACACTATTGGGTTGTTTTGCCCTTTTACGGAGAGAGAATGAAGCAGAATCACATCAAAAAGAAGAGCTATTTTAGCCAGGATAACACCTCTCAACCTCTTTCAAATTTCAAACGCTTCAGTTGGGTTTTGATTAAAAGTAAGGTTCATAATTATAAGGTATGATTGTTTGATTAGTTTAGGACGAGGTCACGGCGCACGGCAGCCTTTTCTTCACTGCTTCTTTTAAAATTTCTCATCATTTGGAAACTGTACTGTCTTCGGATATCAATTTTTTAAGTAGCTTAACCGATAGAATAATTTATTTCATTCAAGAATATTTGTTTACAAATCTACAGTGAACGAAATCCTACCAATACCTTTTTTTCCGCTACAGAAACTGAAAAAAAGTTGGCGAAACGCCACCGCCGTGCTGCTCCAAAAGGAATTTCATTCTCGCTAGCGAGGATCGCAAGGTAATTGAACCTATCTTTGATTTTCATAAGGAATCATGGAATTTTTATAAAAGATTCATTCTAATGGGTTTGTAAAACGAAGAGAAATAAGTGTCTTCGTTCAAGTCCGAAACTCAAACGCATGGTTCTTCTTAATTAACCGCCGCATGTAGATGCGCTCGTTGGAAATATGAAAATTTCATTTAAAACAAAGAAATACTTCGAATGGCACCAATGCATTCCAGATAAAACCCGTGAAAATTGAGAAAGTTCCTCCTCTTTTTTAGGGAAGAAAAAAATTTCACCAAATTTCACGAAGTTTTGATTCATTGCTGAAGTAAATGTGGACAGAAACGTCAAAATATAACCAGTGACATGAAGTCTGGATATCAATTTCAAAGGTAAACAGCAGAAAGTATCTCGAACTTTACACAAAATGCCTTTAATGACCATCGTAATATTCCGAGGCCTTTCGTTACTAGCAAGTTTTTCAAGATTGCGTGACAAGAAGCTCGTGCAAGCCCTGTGCTTTTCCAAATATGGCAAATTAAGTCTATTGCAACGTCAGGTCGTCATGACTACATACGCAAATCTCAGAATCTCACTGCGTTTTGAACGAAACGGGCGTGGAGATTTTCATCGCTGATTTACGCGAAATTATTTTAAGTCAAGGAGAGAAACGAAGAGTGTTCATCGAAAATGGCCTCAACTAAAGACGGTTAGTAGAAGTTGCTGCTTTTTTTTTTCGTTTTTTCTCTTAAGTTCGTTTTTGTGTCGAAAGAAAGTTCTTTCATACTCGAGTCGTAAGTGGAGTTTCTCTCCTCATGGAATGCGCGTTTCGTATTTTTCCTAGGAGAGATCCAGCAGGCTAATCAAGAACAGGTAAATTTTACATTTGCACAGTTTGTATCAAGTTTTCTAACAATGAAACTGTTGTTAATCAATTTTCATTTGCTGTTTTATTCTCAGGTTTTAGCTGAAAACCAGGTCAGTAAGAGAGTTTTGAATTGAACGCAAAAGTCCGCTAACGCACAAAAGTAGGGAGTAAAATTATATTTTTGGCGTTTTTAGTCTGCAGAATGCAAGGTGAAAGCCCCTGAGCAGAGCACTGTGGAAGAAGGGAAGAAAAAAAGGTAAAAGAAACATATCATTCAGAGATAGTAATGCAAACCAAAATCACATCCGGTAATGAACGTAAACTTCCGGTCAGCGGTTGTCGGGCCGACATTAGTTCTCTACTTTACTCTTCTGCTGAAGGAAAACTGTAAATAAATATTCTTTTCTTTTTGCCGAAGCTTTCTTCTTTTCAGTTTCTTACCCTTTCATGCAAAATCTTCTATGGCTTCTTTTACAAAACTTAACTGAGCGTTTAATTTTCTTTTTATTTCCATTTTTTTCGCAATCGTCTAGTCAGCCATCCTGGAAGGACAATTCAAAGATCAAGGTTGGTGTTGCTGTGTTGCTGTATGACATAGTTTAAGGACACTTGGTTGGTCCATATATGGACAATAAAGAGTCTCTAGCCTAACCCTCTTTAATTAAGAGATCATAGTCATGTACCTGGTGTAGTTTCCACTGCATTTGTGTCGTTTGAATGTTCTCTTTTTAAGGAATTCTTTACCCACTTGTTTCTAATTTATACCTTGAATGAGGCTTAAAACCGATTCAGCCGCATGTCGCTTGATACTTGCTGATATTTGTTTAATTAATGTTTCAATATCATTTTTAATAAAAGGATCTGAGAAAAACTGCAGAAGACCAAAAGAAGGAAATAGAAACGCTTCAAGAGAACATTGCGTGAGTAGAAGTTTAACCAAAGCTAAAGTAACGTGTGAAGTATAACAAATGAGTTTGCGTTAAAATTCTTCGGGGTGGTCTCAGGCTGAGGTGCAGTGTATAGCGCAAGAGATAAGGTTCCATGCAAACTCTTCGGGATATCATCAGAAATTTCGGAACATCCTCGGAAATGTACGGGTGTCTTCGGATATGATCGGGTCCCAGGCTTAGCTGCAGTGTATAGCACATGAGATTAGGTTGCATTAGAACTCCTCGCGATATTATCAGTTTTTGGAACATCGGGTGTCATCGGAAACGATTGGATCCCTTAAGATAAATCTCATGCGTTTGAAGCCAGTTGTAGAAAAGACGGTAAATTTTTCTTCCAGTTTTTCTTAATTTTTCCAATCTGTCTCAAACACTGGACACTGGTAACTCTGGTAAACTATCCTTCAGTTTTCAGAAGAGCCTTGACTAGACACTAGTTTTTGAAAGTAGGTCAGTGTTTGAGGTTGGTCGTCTCCTTTGATGCTAGAGATGGAATCTAAATATTTATCTGCTCCACTACAGGGCATCGCAATTAGCTTTGGCACAAGAAGAAGTCGCCACTTTAAAGCTTACAAAGGACGCTACCCTGCAAGCTCAGTGAGTATCAAGTGTATTAAAACGATAAATTTTATTTTCGCGTGCATGGATGTGTTTTGGGCAAGACTCAGCGCCATTTTAGCCTGAGCCACTACGCCAAAGTTAAAATGTCTCTTAGAAGAACCAACAACAAATTTTTGCCCAAGAGCATAAACTGTATCACTTAGGAGGGCGTGGAGAAAATAAAAACAATAAAAAATGATAACAAAACAGTCTGGTTAATCGGGTAAGCGAGCGGGTTAGAATACGTTTAGAGGATTGAAATTCTACAAGTGTTCGTATAGAAAGATGTTATTGTATTTTTGTTTAGGGAGGTTCATAGTGCATTGAAATGTTTTCCTTTGTTGCATAGGAAAGTAAGAGATCGCGAAATTATGGTCAATCATTTAAAGAGAGAGGTATGTACTTCGCTACCACAATGGTCCTGTTGGAAGGTCTCGGGGCATATTTGATTGAGTGTGGCGTTTAGTCCTTCAACATGTAAGAGTGATTAGCATCTAATTTCTCCCTAAGGCCGATTAAAATGAAGAGAAGCGCGAGTGACAGGAATCGAGTGTTTGAGATCTTGCTACTGATTGGTTAAAAGGGTGGATAGCGCAAGTTATCTGGGCCAATCATGAAGCGGAGTGAAGCGAAATATTAAATTTCCCGGATAACTTTCGACACTCGATGAAATCGCTCTGTTTGTGTAATTTAAGTTACGGCTATATTAAATAATTACGGCTGAGACGTTACTGTCCGCCTGATTCATCGAAACAAATTTACCAAGAGTTATTTACAAAGAGTAATTTTCCTCTCCTGCAGCTGAAAGAAAAAAAGGAGTCAGTAGAATGGATGACCGACAAGTGAGAGAAGCTTTTATGGTTTCGTAAATAACTGTTTTTTGTGTTACAACACAGCCCCAGTTGTTTGAAGGGTTGATAACACTATCCACTGGATAAATTTCTCTCCAGTGGATAGCGCAGTTCGTTGTTTAAGTATTTATGCGCTGGATAGCGATTTATCCGTTGGAAAGCGTTATCCACCCTTTAAATGACAGGGCCCAGACTTTTATTATGTTTTCCCAGAGAATTTTTCGGATGACCTTTATGAGTCGAGCTCATAACTAACGATGATGTCCCAATGTAAGAAGAACTCAGCCTTAGATGCATGTAATGAATGTATCCTTAGGTTTTTGTCGTTTATTTTTCAATAACATTTAAGTTGTATGGCTACAGAAATTTCCAATCAAATTATGTCACTGACATTTTTTTTTTCTTGTCTGCAACAATCATCTTTAACTTGCTCACTCAAAACTCAATCTGTAGTTTAACTCTCTGTGTTTTAAACTGAATCATGTTTAAGGTTTAAGAAAGAACGAGAGAATCTGCTCGCTATGAGTACGATGTTTAAATATGTACAGAATGAGACCAGCAAAGTCAAACAATCTTTACAGGTAAGTTGCGAAATGAAACACTTTTATTCGTTAATTGACTTCAGTTGCAAGTGTTAGACTAGTCAGGCCCAAGCCTTCCTCAAAGAACACACCTCGTGGCATGGGATTGTTAACTTGTTGTTTCAAGCTGGGTTAAGATAACCCAGTGAAATCTGATTTCAGAGCTGAAAGCTTTAGAGGAAAATTGGTTATAACTTGTTTTGTCAGCAACTTGGTGATTGGATGCTCTAACATGACTAGAGAAAATTATCCCAAAGACCGGGCTTTTGAAAAAAATTGCAAAAAACCTAGATCAAATTTAACCTTGGGTTAGCACTAATCGGCCTTCGAACAACTGGGCCTGGTGCACGGTGAAATTCGGTGCGCATGCGTCGCTTTCCCTATTTTCGCCCTGTCCTTACGAGGTTCAAGGATGGAGGACCTAGGTTCAAGGCAGATCAACCAATCACAATTATCTCCTTGGGGAAGATGCATAAAAAGAACATATACAGGAAAGAAAAATTAGAGGAAATTTGAAGTTCACGAGTAGAAAAATGTGTAAAAAATCGTTCTCCTTACTGCTGGTACAAGCGTATAATCAATCATTTGTTGTTTGCTTTTGTTCTGTTAATTCAGGAAGAAAGAAAAAGCCGCGATCGGTGAGTGTTCCTTTACGTATTTGTATGATGTAGTTATACAACAAAGGACATATCCTCTCTTGATTTCTAGTACTGTATAAAATTTGCGGAGTAAAAGTTAAGTTACTGTCGACGGTGCAATTGTTTACGCCATCGATGTTGCGTTGAACGAAAAAAAACCGCAAATTTTGCACTGAGTGTCGCAAAAACAAAACTAAAATTTCTTGCTCTTTGACCTCAAAGACTGACTGCATCTAGTTTCTCAATACAATATCACCCCTGAATAGCACAGTAAGGTCAGAAGAATAAAGTAAATGATCATCCACTAAAGAAGCTGTTGATTATCAAGCAAATTCTCCTTGTCAGCACTTTGAATAGAGAACAGCTTGGAGAACACATATGCTGATGTAACGGTGTAAAAGGTTAACTGATGCCAATCATAGCAGAGGTGAATATCACTGAGTAGCCTTTAGTTTTTGCGTATGCACTGTACCATGGTACATTTAATCGAAAAACTTCAACCTGTTTTTTTCTCTGATTTCCTCCTTGGAATAGGAAAGAAGCTGAGCTAAAGTGTGAAATCTCCAGTCTAAGCAACAAAGGCACTGGGCTCCAGTCGAGGGTGACAAATTTGATGAACAAGATCAGTGAACATAAAAAGGAGATAGAGAAACTGCGGACTGCAAAGGGAAAGCTTAGGGATAACGTGTACAAGCAAGAGATAACCATAAATAAAATGGAAAAGAAGCTTGGCAAGGTCAGTGAATCAAATATCAAAAAACCTGTTCATAGAGCGTTTTTGTATCAACCTTCTGGCACTTTGACTTCTTAAAATATTTTTACTCCGGAATAAAATGTCAAGGTCTCGAGGATGAAGGAAATGATTACCATGACTATAGACGCTCTTGATTGTGAAACAAATTCTCCTTGTCAGCACTTTAGGAAATGCAAAAGGACAGTATGGAGAATATGCATACTGATGTTAGGGTGTAAAGGGTTAAATAACATATAAGGTTATCTCCTTGTTATATAAACAACTCGTTTGGCGGGAAAGAGCGTGCGAACATGTCGGTCAGCTGACGTTCGCGCATGTGTAAACGTTGTAATGGCGAGGAGGGCCTACACAAGCCAATGAGTCACGCTTTGTTACAGCCTCATAGCGTTCTGGTAAAGCTCAACAGGTTAACCGAACTTTGTGTTTGAAAAGTCTCGAGTTTTCTCTTTTTCCTATTTTCATTTCTTTTTACAGACCTCTTTGAACTTTTCATGTGGTAGCAAAGATTACTCTTATTACACTAAGTAACCCTGAATTTTGTTTTTTGTTTTATCTTTTAGATGGAGAATCGCAGTGAGAACTTTAAAATGTAAGTGAAATGTGATTATTTCTTTCATAACATGCAGGATTTTCGTTGTATCACAGTAAAATTCACCCGACCCCACCCATAAGGCTCTCTAGTATTCTAAAGACCCCCTCCCCACTCCCCTTTTTATACTCCGTCAGCGACAAATGTCCCCTCCCCCCTCCGTTCCCCCGGAAAACCATGTGAACCTCACAAAATCCTCCAGACCCTCCCTAGGTGACAAATAATTACGGGTCTCTATATAGAGGGAAGACTGGGGACGAGTCGAGTCTCGATCTGAGGTTATGTGACCATTGCAGTGTCCAGGCATTACAGGTTTTGATGTTACATCGGATCATGTCTGATTGCTTCAGTTTCCTCGTTCACTCACTTTATGTCTCATTTTTCCGCAGGCGTCTTCGTAAAAGCGAAAAAAGGAAGGATGAAAATATCATGAAGGTGAATTTTCTTTCTGTGAAAAGACCCTGGAAAAAATACCAAGGATTTAAATAATTTTTAATTAATTTTTTAATTATTGATTCCTTTAAGTAAGCTACGACGGAATCCTTTTTCAGCCTGTTTCTTAGCAACGTAGTCAGGCTCACGTCCTTTTAGGGTTGATGTAAACTAATTGATGGAAATGAACATTGTTAAACACGTGGGTAGCTGTACATACTAAAACTTTAAGCTTCAGAGTTAATGTGAATTGTTCGAATGTAACATTCTTTTCCATTGTAAATTGTAGGGCCTCGAATACAGGAAAATCCTATCACAGAAAAAGAAAGAGTAAGTAATAACATCAGTTAAAAGAAAATTGTATTTATTATGAGCTTAGAGACCACTCATTGTTAATTGCCGGGGGGGATTATGGGGTGATTACATGGTTTTTAGGGTGGAAGGGAGGAGGAATCATTCGTCGCTAAAAGATTATCAGGTAAGTTTTACTGTGACAAACCAAAATCCTCCAACTCGTTCCGTACTTTTTATGGTGTCGGCAGAGTCCTCTGAAACAGGTCTCGTAATTCCAGTATGTGACTTTTTAAATCATGTAGTCCAGTAACCAGTTTTCATTTAGGAACTTTTGATAAGCCCCTTGAAATCTGACGCTATCTGTACTTCAGCGCGGCCGTAATTCATCTTAATATCATTCCATCAGGCTGAAAACGATTCAAGAACAACACAAGGCGGAGAAGCAATCACTCCTTGCACAAATTGAAAGCTGCAAAGCCGAATGCCGAAGAAGAAGAAGAATTATTGAGGTAAATATTGATCGATTAAGTTAAGAATTCCCTTGCCATCAAAGTTTGTAACCTCAAATAAGTCGCGTACGCCAGTCTCGTTTCTAAGACTTTCCAAAACGAGGCGGAATGTGGGTAATGCTCTGCGCGCAAACGGAAGGCATGACGTGAAAGAATCTGGCGCTACATCGAGTTAACCTCTGTGTCAGTCCACTTTCTTTATCTTTAAACAAATAACTATTGGGAAAAAAATTGACCAAAACAGCTTAAGTTGTTTACCTTCTCCTTAAGAAACAGATATATACTGAATTGATGTTACTAAACAACGTCTTAAATTGTTTAACTTATTTTCTGTTTAAGGCCGACAAAGAAATGAAAGTCGTTATGGGAGGGTAAGTAAACTTTGCTGCTCTGTTGGCAAAAGTCAGAGAAAAGGGCAGAAAGAAAAAAAAATTGATGCTAAGATTTTCCTTCGATTCAATTTGTTTGCAAATTGCTGGTGTGGATTAATGCGCCAATCAGCTACTTACACGTACGCGTCACTCGCCTTTTGCACCACTCTGCCGGTCAGGTTGATTAAAGAATAGCAAAGCATTTACCATTTTTAATCCAAAGTCGTTTATGGAATTTCTTGTCAGTTAAGGCCTATGGTTTTGATATGATAAACAAACTGATACATATCTGCGCTCTCTCGTGAGATATTGAGTTGAACAATTGAAGAGAATTCCATTATTCTCTGTTTGAAAATTTAAAGTTTTGCATTTAAATAAATTCTTTACTAACACAGACCTGTCCTTTATTTTAAGGACAATCGAATTTCTTCGACAGAAGGTAAGAAAATTCCCAATCTACTCACTCCAAAATAAATCGAAATTCACATTCCCCTTCTCGTTTTGGATTGTAATTTCATGATTGTTTGTTATGTGCATGTGGTGAGATATCAGGGAAAATGTTGGATGATGTTAACAAAATCTTGATCATCGTCACCAGATCGCTTTATAGCATTGAAGTTGGGCCATTACTGTCTGAGCAATAATGAACAGCAATCCAGGACTTGCTCTGGTTTTTACTGTGCCGCGTTCTCTAGTTGGTCCAGAAAACTTTCGCCCACTCAGCTATAGCAATTTTCAACTGAGTGTCGACAGTAGTGTGGGAATATATTACTTCTGCTTTAGTTTCCAAAAATTCGCGCCATCTTCTCAAAAAATCAGCTGATACAAAACCAGTCATTACTAAGTCGCCCGCGTTTTCCCGCGCTTTGGGCAATGTGGTTGCTTTTATTATGAATTCTCGTGGGCTCTTAAAGTTATTTTCTTTCTTCTTCAGATTGGCCGTTGTATTTACTTTAGTTTTTGTTTTACGACATTCAGTCGAAAAGCATTCTATCCAAAAGTTTTTTTTATTTTATTTCTGATTGGAAAACGACGTCATTGCGTCACGACATCATCACTAATTAATTTGAGTTCACTTAATTTCTCGATACTTTTTTGATCGCAAATACCTTTGACGTAGTTTCCCATTTTTCATTTACAACAGGGGCATATGCCTTCTCCACCTTCGATGTCCATGAACTCTCACTTATAACCCTTAGACACGCCTAATACTGGTACCAAACTGAATAAACCTTTTATTTTCCTCTTTTTTTTTCAGAATGCCTTCCTCCTACGAGAACTAACCAGCGGTTTCGTTGGTAAATACAGAACTGCGAGGCAGCTCTTTGGAGCTGTCTTTGGCGCAATCAGAGCGCGCTTCCACTGATCACTTCAAGCATTTCGGGGAGGGGGGTACAGGGGGATTGAAGAATGGAAGGAGAATTTTTCCGTTCATCTTATGTTAATCTATAAATTATGTTAATCAGTAACTAAGAGGGAATTAATTATTTAATTAAGGAATTAGTTTGTGAGGGGACAGCTTTGTGCATCAGTTCATTTTTGTAACCGTGGATGAGGCCGCGAAATGTTGTGTGGGCAAAAGGATACGCGACTGGCTTTTGATGATGGTTAAAAAAGGAGAGGCTCGGCTGATAAGTTGTGGATAAAGTTTTGATTTTGTTCTCGAAGTGAAAAAAAAGAAGAAGAAAAAAGATTTTGTAACTGTAGGTGAGGCTGCGAAAAGTTGCGTGTGCAAAAGGAACGCGACTGGCTTTTGATGATGGTTTAAAAAAGGAGAGGTTCGGTTGATAGATTGTTGATAAAGTTTTGATTTTGTTCTTAAAGTGAAAAAAAAGAAAAAGAAAAAAGATTTTGTAACTGTAGGTGAGGCTGCGAAAAGTTGCGTGTGCAAAAGGAACGCGACTGGCTTTCGATGATGGTTTAAAAAAGGAGAGGCTCAGTGGATAAATTGTTGATAAAATTTTGATTTAGTTCCTGAAGTGAAAAAAAAAAATTGTAACTGTAGGTGAGGCCGCGAAAAGTTGCGTGTGCAAAAGGAACGCGACTGGCTTTTGATGATGGTTTAAAAAAGGAGAGGCTCAGTGGATAAATTGTTGATAAAGTTTTGATTTAGTTCTTGAAGTGAAAAAAAAAATTGTAACTGTAGGTGAGGCCGCGAAATGTTGTGTGTGCAAAAGGATACGCGACTGGCTTTTGATGATGGTTTAAAAAAGGAGAGGTTCGGTTGATAAATTGTTGATAGAGCTTTGATTTTGTTCTCGAAGTGAAAAAAAAAAAAACATTGTAACCGTGGGTGAGTCCGCGAAATGTTGCGTGTGCAAAAGGATACGCGACTGGCCTTTAATGACGGCTAAAAAAAGGGAGAGGCTTGGATGATGAATTGTTTTCATAAAAGTTGTTGATAAAGTTTTGATTTTTACTTTAAGTGAAAAAAAAAATATTTGAACCTTGGATAAGGCCGCGAAATGTTGCGTGAGCAAAAGGATGCGCGACTGGCTTTTGATGATGGTTTAAAAAAGGAGAGGTTCGGTTGATAAATTGTTGATAGAGCTTTGATTTTGTTCTCGAAGTGAAAAAAAAAAAACATTGTAACCGTGGGTGAGTCCGCGAAATGTTGCGTGTGCAAAAGGATACGCGACTGGCCTTTAATGACGGCTAAAAAAAGGGAGAGGCTTGGATGATGAATTGTTTTCATAAAAGTTGTTGATAAAGTTTTGATTTTTACTTTAAGTGAAAAAAAAATATATTTGAACCTTGGATAAGGCCGCGAAATGTTGCGTGAGCAAAAGGATGCGCGACTGGCTTTTGATGATGGTCATTAAGGAAAGGAATGGTGTTTAAAAGAAAAATGGTGTTTAATGGAAATGGTGTTTAATGGAAATCATTGATTTAAATCCTGACTGCTCTTAAAATGAGTACGAGTATTGGAGAAGGTAGCGAGGCCGGTGGGCGTAAGCTAAATGCTACGCGACTGGTCATTGCTGATGTTTTCTTTTACAACATAAGTTTTAACTTTGTTGTGAATAGAGAGTACTGAGTTTGTTGGTAGGGCTACTAATGCGTTCGCTAAAGGATACGCAAGTGGCTTTTGAGAATGTTTTCAAGGGAAAGGATAGTGTCTAAAAAAGGTCTCTTTGTATTATCAAAAGTTGTTGATTAAGTTAAAAATAAATAATATGTATAGGATAAGTTGGTGAGGCCGGAGGGCGTACGCTAAATGATACGCGATCGGCCATTGCTGATGGTTTGTAAGGAAAGAAATTGTTGATTAATTTCTTGCCTGCTCATGAAATAAATAGGATTCATTTGATACTGATAGGTGAAGCCAGTGGGCGTACGCTAAAAGATACGCGACTGCGCATTTTTTTTTGTGGTGGTCCTCTCTTGTTCGAAAATCTTCCCATTAATCCTTCTCTTTCCTATCTCTAGTTTTTTCTAGTTTCATAAAGTGGAAAGGAAGAATTGGGTTTGTTGGCAGAGCCGCTGATGCGTACGCTAAAAGATGCGCAAGTGGTCACTGATGATGGTCTGTAAGGAAAGGAATGGTGTTTAAAAACAGAACTGTTTGTTTTTGATGGAAACAAATTTGATTATTTCCTGCCCAATTCTGAAATGAACGGTAGTATTTGATAAGTTGGTGAGGCAGGTGGATGCACGCTACAAGTTTGGCAAATGGTCATTGCTGATAGTTTGTCAGGGAAGAAATGGTGTTTTTTTTGTGTGAATAGAGAGTATTGAGTTTGTTGGTAGGGCTACTAATGCGTTCGCAAAAGGATACGCAAGTGGCTTTTGAGAATGTTTTCAAAGGAAAGGATAGTATCTAAAAAAAGCCTTTCTGTATTATCAAAAATTGTTGATTAGGTTCTTGGCTGCTCGTAAAAATTAATAAGATGTATTGGATAAGTTGGTGAGGCCTGTGGGCGTACGCTAAATGATACGCGACCGGCCATTGCTGATGGTTTGCAAGGAAAGAAATTGTTGATTGATTTCTTGCCTGCTCATGAAATAAATAGGATTCATTTGATACTGATAGGTAAGGCCAGTGGGCGTACGCTAAAAGATACGCTACTGGGCATTTTTTTTTTTGTGGTGGTCCTCTCTTGTTCGAGAATCTTTCCATTAATCCTTCTCTTTCCTATCTCTAGTTTTTTCTAGTTTCATAAAGTGGAAAGAAGGAATTGGGTTTGTTGGCAGAGCCGCGGATGCGTATGCTAAAAGATGCGCAAGTGGTCACTGATGATGGTCTGTAAGGAAAGGAATGGTGTTTAAAAACATAATTGTTTTTGATGGAAACAGATTTGATTATTTTTTTCTGCCCAATTCTGAAAATAATGGTAGTATTTGATGAGTTGGTGGGGCAGGTGGATGTACGCTAAAAGATAGGCAAATGGTCATTGCTGATAGTTTGTCGGGGAAGAAATGTTTTTTTTTTTTTTTTGTGAATAGAGAGTATTGAGTTTGTTGGTAGGGCTACTAATGCGTACGCTAAAGTATACGCAATTGGCTTTTGAGAATGTTTTCAAGGGAAAGGATAGTGTCTAAAAAAAGGTCTTTTTGTATTATCAAAAATTGTTGATTAAGTTCTTGGCTGCTCGTAAAGATTAATAAGATGTATTGGATAAGTTGGTGAGGCCGGAGGGCGTACGCTAAATGATACGCGACCGGCCATTGCTGATGGTTTGTAAGGAAAGAAATTGTTGATTAATTTCTTGCCTGCTTATGAAATAAATAGGATTCATTTGATACTGATAGGTAAGGCCAGTGGGCGTACGCTAAAAGATACGCGACTGCGCATTTTTTTTTTTTGTGGTGGTCCTCTCTTGTTCGAAAATCTTCCCATTAATCCTTCTCTTTCCTATCTCTAGTTTTCTCTAGTTTCATAAAGTGGAAAGAAAGAATTGGGTTTGTTGGCAGAGCCGCTGATGCGTACGCTAAAAGATGCGCAAGTGGTCACTGATGATGGTCTGTAAGGAAAGGAATGGTGTTTAAAAACAGAACTGTTTGTTTTTGATGGAAACAAATTTGATTATTTCCTGCCCAATTCTGAAATGAACGGTAGAATTTGATAAGTTGGTGAGGCAGGTGGATGTACGCTAAAAGACACGCAACTGGTCATTGCTGATGATTTGTAAGGGAAGAAACGGTGTTCTTTTTTTGAAAAGTTCTTGGTTATTGATTGAGTTCCTTTCTGTTCGTAAAATGAGTAAGAGGTACGAAATAAGTTGGAAAAGCAAATAAAAAAAAAAAAATGAATGAAAAAGGTTTCCCTCCCCCCTCCCCGAAATGCTTGAAGTGACCTAACGGCGCAAATATATATTTTTCTTTATCAAAGTGTATTTTTATATAAGCTTTAATAAAACGGATAATTTGTGTGTATGTTTGAGCTTTATTTACATCGTAGTATACGAAGAATGCGAAGTAAAAAAAAGTAAGGGACCGGTCGTAATTTTTCGCCGGCAAGGGAGAGTGGAGGATTTTGGTTGAGTCACAATATAATTTACCAGACCCGACCGACCCCCTTCCCCACCCTCCAATGGTTAGGCCTGTCCCAAGATTGTGCTCGAACGTTGCTCACTGAGATGCCAGTTGTTAAAAAATTGCAAAAAATCAAAGAAGTTGCTACCTAAATTTCAAAAGTCTTCTCCTAAATTTCTTGATATTTTTATATAAGAATTAATTATTAGCTTTATTTCTCGTTCTTTGCAATAATCCACTTAGCTTTAAAGAGTTGCTAGCAAATAAAGACGGCATCTAATCTTTCATTTCCGACTGCAGTCATTATTAGATTATTTGGTGCATCCTTTTTAGCCGATTATCCGTTCTAATAGTAGACAATAGGACTATAGAACATTCTAGAAATTTGCATAAATCGAAGTTTTGTATGAAATCGTTGACTTTATCGCGTCTATTCCTAGGAGTTGCTAAGAAATTCCTTAGAAAGGCTGCAAAAATTGCTCGAAGTTGCAAGAACCGCAAAAAGTTGTTTTAAACGCCAAAAGTTGCTAGAAAAATTGCCGAGCACAATCCGGATAGGCCTACTCAAGGCTCAGCATTATTGTGAATGATCCCCCTCATTGGCAATCAATTTTGCAAAAATCCTCCCTCTATACTATGTCAGGGACGACACGCCCCCCCCCCCTCCGGTGATGAATAATAACGGATCCTAAACCAGATGAAAAGCGATGAAAAGAGAAGAGAAAACATGGGCCGAGTGGGTGGAGATTTCAGGAAGGGGATAAAAGTTATCGGAAATCAGATTAATTATGATCTGAATGCAAAGTTCAAAAAAGTTCTATAAACCATTTTACAAATATTTAAAAAAAAAATTTATTAATTAAATCCAAATGTGTGTCATGATTATGGCAAACTTTTAGCCTTCAGGTTTATTCACAGAAGCCCGTATATCGGTTTAGCCAGCGGAAAAAGATTACTTACTAGTTCATCAAAAGTAGCCTTGCTAAGATTTTACCCTTCAGATGGGAAACAGAATTTCCGCTCCACCTTAGAAGTGAACAAAGAGCGACCTTTCGATTTTGTTACTTTAAGAAGCTCAGATTTTCACATAGGAAAATTTGTCATTTTCGTTAACCGAGAATTTGGTTGCAAAAACCAATTCTCAATCTAAAAAGAGCTATGATGTAGCTCTCCTTATCGACGGAATACACCGCGAATTCCACGAATTAGAAAGAAAAGACTTGTTTGATAAGGCCTTGTTGATGTGATTCGATAAAGAGACGTTACACAGCTGTTAACAGGAAGTTATTTGTTCTTTCTAACTTTTAACTCCCTTTTTATGTTTCTCTAATGTTTTGAGTCATGGTCAAACTGTGTCTATATTTATACAAACATCGACAACCTCCGCTTCCTTCAAAATTCATGGTCTCACTTTGATATCTGCGTAAACTCAATTAGTGGACGTTGCATTTTAACCCTAAATACCGTCGACTGGAAACTATACCACTCATTTATCACATTTATTAAGTGAGTAACATTAATTTGACCCCAACCCGTTGAAAGACCTGGTTAGTTGAGAATTTACTCAAAGGAATTAATGAAGAAGAGAACTTGTGCTAGAAACTTCAGATTGGTTAAGGCGTTGGAGGGTTATAAGCAAAGAGAGTGCTAAAATGAAATGATAAAATGTTTTTTAGTTGACAGCTATTTTATGTATTACTTAGTAACTAAAGCACTTAGCAAAAATGTCAACAATGCTTGGCTGGCGCCGTTCGGTACTTTGAGCCACGTAGGAGCTCAATAAAAAAAAAAAAATAGTCGGGTGACCTTTCAAGTTGTTCTGACCCCGACTGCGAGCAGTCAAGGTTTTTGCTTGTAGGAAACAGAATTCACTTAAAATTCAAATCATGCGAGAGTAAACGTCACAGCTAAAACATACTCAGTCTCGTTTCTTAACCATAAAGAGAGAGTAAATTTAAATTTTGCCTTTGTATACCAATACTATGGTCCAAAGCGAATAGAGGGCAGACTGATACAATGTTTACATAAGTGGCTGACAATAACGTCATAATCGGAAAGTACTATCCTTTTGTAATCAAAGGACTGTCTTGGGGTTTTAAATATTGAATTATGTACCGGATCGGGAACTCAGAATCTCGCACACAGTGGAATGTAGCCATCAATGGTGAAAGATATTTGTGCTATGAATTCCTCATCAAGGGTTGTTGCATAATATTCAACAAGATTTCAAGGCAGCGTCCAACATTCGATGCTGTAGCAGTCACACGTGCGACGCAAGTGCGAACGGTCTCAGCCTCAGGCACGTGCACAAAAAGGGGTGTCACTGCCTCATTGGTGATGTGGAGACCCGCGAAGTCTGCTTCTACGTGAAAATTGTGCGAGAGAGCGCGGACAGTTTCACTGCTCTTGACGCATGCACAAAAAAGTTAAGAACGTCGCTGCCTCGCTAGTGATGTGAGAACCTGCAAAGTGTACTTTGCCTTTTGCGAAAGTACATTTTGATGTAATCCATGAAAATATGGGAAGAAAGCCAGCTGAATTATCGTACTTGAACCGCTAGACTTAAGCGAAAGGTAAAGCAACTTCTTTACCAAAGTTTTGGAGGGTGCTTTCAGAAGGAAAAGGAAATTGATATGATCAGAAACAAATTGAGTTGGATTTTTTTTATAAACCAACAATATCTCTTAATGCAGCTAAATAGAGTTTTAAAATTCTGGTCAAAACTGAATAGAGATTTATCAAGGAATTCGTTAAGAACTGGTCTCGGAAAGAAGTTCAAAGGTCAAAACGTCACGTTGCGAAAGCAGAACTCTTTGGCTGACATTCATTGAAGCTGCAACGCACAGTAGACAGGAAAAAAAAGCCGTAGACTAATCCGATTTAGTTTGACCCTGATAAAACATTTGTTACACTACTCTTCTTCGTATTTATGTAACGCACGTGTCCGTTGACTGCCACGTATCTGCAGGAGTTTCATGAGTTCATGCAATAAAATGTGTTGCGCAAACGTGACCAACTTAACTGGAGTTAAAATGATTCGGAAAAAGTGCAATCAATCTCTTTGCTTTCGCTTTCATTCAGTTTTTCTGGAGCTTATGTGATCCTGCGCGAAAAACGTTTGAGATTATTCTGCAAACGGGCTTTCCGGTATTGATTGTCACGAAGCTAACTAAGGTCATTTCCTTTGTGGGATCATTTTATTCGCACACGCAAACCAGAAATGGTGACAGTTTTCGCCATCGTTAGAGGACAGATTAAATTTGTTTAGGGTTGAAATGTTACCAAACATTGAACCTGGCGAAATTTTCAAGCGAAAGGCAAACAGAATATTATTTTTCATCATAAACACGTGAGATAAATTTGCGGAAGCGAATGTGCGGATGTGCGCTGTTACTGCATCGCAATTCATTTACAATGCAGTTGAATATTTTAGAAAAGAGATCACTCCTTCAAATCAGGGCTATGGGCAATAAAAATAACATGCAGTTGACGAGAATGCCGTAGATTTTATGCCGGTTCAGCTCTTTTAAACATGAAATATTCAAGTCTTTTCCTTCAAGCGCCTCATAGGTCATTAAGTGGAATGTTAAAGTTCTTCTTTCCCTATTGGATAAAGCTCGGCAAGGGGTAATTATGAATGCTATCAAATTCGCGGGTCCTATTTCGTGGTAAAAAAGTACACTAGACAATAGGTGCTGTTGCACAGGACATTGCACTACAGCTAAAACCACGGGCCGTACGTAATTAAAGGTAAGCTATAGCAATCCAATTTGTGTGAATCTTTATTGCATTCGAAGCTGTAAAGAAGTAATATCAATGTTTCAGGAACGCAGTTTTTCGATTTTTCGTGATGTTATTTCTGTAAGCTTCAAATTTTGACATGAATATCACTAGGACTCGCCTCTACAGGTCAAATGCCTAAAGCCCAAATTCGAAGAAAAAACCCATGCGCTCCGGAACCTAATTCAGAAACAACGCCCCAAAATAACTGAGGTAAAACCATCATTTCTAGATTTCGTTTGCAATTTTAAAATTATGAATTGCGCCAACGGTATTTTACCGCCTTGCTAAAAATAGCATAAGAGGGTTTGGTAGCCCAAGAATGATAGTATTATATTGTGCGGTTATGTATCACGCTGTTTTCTTTGCTTTCAAATTTCGTGAGCCAACATTATGTGTATCTCTTTGAACGTATTTGCCACCCGATTATGTAATGTAGCTGTAACTCGTTATCGATGCTTCTGTGGTCGTGAATAGAAAGACTCTCAACTCTGCTCAAGAGGACGTTGTCTAAACAATGGGTCTCTCATGTAATTGCTTTTAGGTAGGCGAACTTTTGAGACATGCCTTAGGGCAGCCGTTCACAGAATTCGGAATAAATAATAATTTGTTGACATTGGGTTCCGAGTCATATTGTCTGTGAATGCGCAAATATTTAAAGATTTATTCTGAGAGTTCTGTATTTAGGGTTTTTATACTATCGCCAGTATTTGAGCGAAATATAGATCAATGGGATGAAAGGTTCGATGGTTTTAGCGCTTAATAAGGCAAACTACTATCGCAAAAGAATTACTCCAATTATCTTGAAAAAACAAACCTAAAATGCCACTTCGCTCATCAAGACCAAACTGAAAGTTTTCACGCGAGCTTGAATCTGGAAGTTGCTTCCATTATATCTAAGCACTAGAATGCTAATCGCATATTTTTGTTGATATTTATAGAAGAGCCAAGTAAATATGTTTGTCGTGTTACTCAGGTTTCCAAAGCCTTCGACGCACAGACTCCGTTACGTAACACATACATTGTCAACTCACCGAACAACGGATTGTGACATTTTCACGCAATACTTCGCTGTGAGTCAAGCGCGAATAAATTCCCTATGAAATCTCTTTTAAACTTAACTAACATAATTTTAATGAGATAAACATAGGGATTTAAAGGCCATTCTGTCAAAGTGAAAGCTGGTTAAGTTAAGATCGAGGGTGACGTTATTACAATATAATATAGACCAATTAATTCAAGTTGGTTTGCACAGTGTGGTCTTTGAATGATTTCGTTTCACCGCAACTCTAAAAGGACTTTCACGTTTTGTGGTCAACACATTACCCATAATAAACCACTTTCTCTAATTTTGTAGACTTGCACGCTTCTTAAGAAATCAAAATGGTCAACAATTTTTTGGTTGATGTGTTATGAGCACGCGGAAATAACAAGTTTCCTCGAGGGCACACGTTTTTTGGTAAATTTCAATATCAGGTCAAAGCTTGGAGTGGACAGGATACATTGAACGCAAGGAATCTACTTTGATGTATCTTTTAATGAACTAGTTAAATCCAATCTCTATTGAATGTTTGCAGGAGCTGCAGCTGCAAATTCTTCATGAATTTCTCGAAAAAACAAAACAAAACAAAACAAAACATAACATAACAATGAATATATCGGAAGATGATCAGTTCTTGTTGAGTATTCTAAGTCTTTGTTGTCATCCAAAACAGTTTTAATGTGTTAGATGCTGTTCATGTCAGTCAAAATCGATTCTGCAACCTTTACGTCGTTCGAATGATGAAATTTCAAGGACTTAAAAAATGTTGCAATTTTTTTAAATGATAACATTGATAATGATGATGATGATAACAATAATGATGATGATAATATTTTGTCAATCTTTTTTTATCTCCGGGTTCGATGGTCAAAGTTTGTATTTGCAATTGCTCACGTCCAATTTTTTTTTAAAATTTCTCTCGATCAAGGTACAACTTTTTAGAGGTTACGATTTTAAAGTGCAACTTTTTCACACTTGCACTGTTTTGAAGAATATTGAATCATAAGAAGATAAAATACATTTAAGGATCAACAATTAGATGCCTGATTAAAATAAACAATGTCAATTACGAAAGAAAACATAGAATTTAAGTCTTTGTTTGTTTTATGTAAGCTTATAAGTCAAGTCTTAAGATGATTTGCAAGGAGAGTCCAATCAGCTCAAGCGTACAATTTATTTTTAGTTGTTAACTAAAAAGATCTATTTTTTGTAGCGATTATTTTTGTAAGTCTTTGAAGTCAGTTTACCCTTTCGATCCGCCGTCCGTCTTTGGGCTTCCTCCCATTCCTGTATTTACGGATCAATAGGCAATGCTTAAAAACAAAGCGTTGCGGGTTTTGAAGGAACCAATCACAAATCAGAACGTCAGAGTGCTGTGTCACTCACTCCTTTTTCACGCCCCCAACTCTCCCATTTACCGAAGGTTCCATCGCGTTTTGCAACATTGCCTTTACGTAACATTGAGTGTAATTTGAACCGGTTGCTTCTTCATTCGCAGGAAATTTCATCAGGAAGCTGTTACCTCGCCGAAATCTCCTCAAGTTTCTGAAGTACGATTTGAAAGGTTCAAAGGGCAAAAATTTGCAATCAAGACAGCCGAGGTTAGCTGCTATTTTTGAACAAATTGAGTTGTTGCAACGTGGAACTTTGGCGCCCCTCCGTTTTGATCCCTGAAAGACAATAAACATGACGTTGGATGCTGAAGACCAAAAGCGCCTGAAGGTCGCTGACTGGATCATCATCGCGATCTATTTTATAGCGTGCATGATCGTGGGACTATGGGTGAGTTTAACACAATCTGCAGTTCATTAAAAGCCATCGGTCGTAAACCTAGGCGAGGTTGTTTACAACTTACGCTGTACGCCTCGTGAGTCCAAGTTTTGTAAGAATATTTTACAGAAAATTTTAGTGTTACTGCCTTTCGGTAATTGTCATATTTTAGGAGACGGCATGTTAACTGAATTGGATTTCTAGGAAAGGCTATTTGTCGAACAAGAGTAGATCTTGAATGCAGACATAGCCAAAACCCAAGATGTTGACAACGCATCGTCTCAAAACAAATTTGTCGCGGCGTTCCGGAAAAAAAAAAAAAACAACAAAACCCACACTAGCCATCTGCTACGGTTGCCTTGTTATATTTTAACCTTCGTTCTCCTCGCATTCTGAAATTTCGATGGAGAAAGTCTCGCAATGTAAGTAGTTCGTCTTAGTAGACCGTAGTGTCTGGGACCTGTGCATAATTTTACACATGTTCTTGAATAGAGTAATGCTCAGTTGACCAACGATAAAAGTCGTGTGCAGATTTGTCTTTTTCGATCCCTATTAAAACTTTGGTTCGAATATAGGACTGTAGTGAAAAGCGTAATTACAGCGTCGTTTTAGCCAGTGTGTATCGTGAGCTTCTGTGATATTCCGCGCTTTGAGTTGAGTCGACAAATGACGCAAACAGATGTAATTTTACGAGACTGACAGGTTCTTGATAGAGCTTGGTTGATTTTTAACTTTTCCAGCAGAGCGCTGTTGCATCATTCCTTCTCCTGTTTCTTTGAATTTATTTTTCCTACAGTCCCAGCCATGGATCTCTGATTTGGTTGTGTTGGTAACAGCCACTTAAGTTGGGAAGGCAATTGTTTTTTTACGTTATCGTTTCCTACGCATTGTATGCTCTCTGTTTAGTTGTCAATCATCTTAAATATGTGACAGCATGGTGTATGCAAATTGCAGACTCATGGGAGTTTGCAAGAACAACACACTTTAGAGTTTGCATCATATATGTTGGCAAAATTTGTGCGATAAAAAGGTCCTTTGGAAAGGATAGCACTCAAGAGTATGAATTAGTGCAGTCATGTAACCTTCCTTGACCTCTGTAAAATACAAAGCCATATTTTAACCTTGGGAATGAAGCCAATATCTCATTGAAAGCAATAAATGTTTTGCTTTGTTTGTGTACATGTGGAGCTCTTGCTTTTCAAAGTGACTGTTCTGACCATTTTAAACCTCTGCAGTGTGAATGTTTTTTTCAGAATACCGTGAAAGTGGAGTCAAAACTATTTTTAGGATTTAAAACAGTTTCATATGTTGTCCATCTTGCCACTGCCTTGAATTCTAAACATATTTTTCAGGATTAATTGGTCTAAAAATCTTCAAAACTCCTCTTCAATTTACGGGAAAATCAAGAGTGTTATTGAATCAGACATCTTGCTAGAAAGGAAATGATTAGAAACAGCGGCAATATACAGCTGAAATACTTAAACTTGTCTATCAATGACTGCATTGTTATCATGGATTCTTCCACTGAAATTTTGTTTTGATCTGTTTGTAGTAATATGTAACAAATAGTAGAGGAATACAGTTTATATCAAATATTTATTGAAAGCAGATAAAGTGTAATATAAATTGGCAAACAAGCACAATAATTCTAAGATCTTGTTTACTTTTCTATAGACAGTGGAATTAACATTAGTTCTACTCATGCGGAAAAAAGTTTATTTGATGGTTGTAAGTTTGTGCCCGATCTTCACAAGTATTCACAGATTACTAGGTGTCTCATAAAATATTCTCTGTCATTTAAGACCTAACTCAAATTTTTTATTTTTATTTTTTTCAGTCTAAGTTCCGAAAACAGAGGGGCAGAAATGAAACTGCCGAAACATATTTTTTGGCGGGAAGATCTGTGATGTGGTGGGCGGTAAGTTGTTTTTAACATGCATATTCTCCATGCTGTTTGCTATACATTTACTAAGATGCTGACTAGGAGAATCCATACAAAAATTGAGAACTTCTTTATTTGCTTAATTCTTATGGGCTGAATAATGTGTGATTCAGGGGTGATATTGTAAGGAGAAAGTAGAGGCTAGTCACTCTTTGGTGTCAAGGGTAAATGATAAAAGAAGAGGAGATAAAAAGCTGTACTCCTTTTGATCTGTACCAGGTTCAGGTTAAAAGCATCTCTCCCTTTTTTAATCGGCTGGTAAATTAAGTAGCAAACTGTGTTCTTAAGGACGGCACGGCACTTAGGACAAAATTGCTTGTGGTATACAATACATCAAGGAAGCTAAGAATCTACCAAGTTGACATGTTTTCCCATGATAAAATACTGTTTTTATAAGAAAGGTGGGAAAGAAGTAGGAGTGCTTTTGGGCGAAGGGGGATGTGTAATATGTACCCTTAAATCCTCTGAGATATGGTTACACCCTTGATTGAGCCCTGAGATAATCCGCTCGTGGTCAGTTTGCATCTCATCCCAATGCGATCTTGATTTCTCAAGCACTTGGTGACATGGAACATAGCCTTATGTAATCCAAACAAAAGCTGGCTTTCCTTCCTCATCCAAAATTGTGATTTTCTATCCTGATTATCCTTGTAGTCCTTGCTATCATTTTGATTTTCTAATCTGTGGCATTCATCCTTGGTTTCACAAAACGCATCATGAGTTAAAACAAAACTGGCCTTGCCTCTTCAGTCAAGCAATGTTATTAGCTCCAGATTATTTTGGTATTTTTATAATTTAAAATAAATCCTCTCTTCCTCCCAACCTGTTTGGAAAAGTCTGGATGTTTTCGTATTTGGATTGATACACAATAGATATCAAACCACATACTTGTGCCATGTAATAAACCTATTGATTTTTTTTTACAGCACATATCTTTGACTCAAATTCTGTTTCTTGAATGTATTTCAGGTGGGGCCCAGCCTTTTTGCCAGTAACATTGGCAGTGAGCACTTTGTCGGATTGGCCGGTTCTGGAGCAGCAACAGGGATTGGTGTTGTGTCATATGAATGGCAGGTAAGGGCGCTGTGTAATCAGCTTGGATTGATCGCTCAGTGGTTATCATGCAATTGCAGTTATTTGTAGGAATTGCATGCATTCTCTATGCTTGTAATGCTGCTGTATTCAGGAGATGTACATTGTACCTGTGGAAATAAGCGTTTTTACATTTGAATGGCTACAAATAAAGTTTTTGTTTCTGTTTACTTGCACTAGAAGACGTAATTGAGTCGGAGAAATTTTGCAAAGTCCTTGTGGTGGGACATAATTTGCTCCCTGTTAATGATCACTTCATTTCAAACTGGTGTGAGCTTTGCTAAAATTGCAGCAACAAGAAGAGTTGTTAGTAGTGACTTGTTTTGGAAGGAGCAAGAAACAAAGCATGGTTGATGTTGATGTTCTTTTGCGATATTATGCTTGTACTCCCATCTGGTTTGTTTTCTAAATAATGCGCAGCTGATATTTGTTCCCAAATGCTGTGCTCTAGATCACAAACAAGCTTAGTTTAGGTTCTGTGTGGGTATTGGTGATCTTTTTGTTTTGTAATGATATATGTGATCGGGCGCTAGGGAATCAGAGCACGTCTTTCTTTCTTAATAAAAATTCACAACAGGAGATCAAGGCAAACGAAAAATTGCAACATTTTTTACTTTTTACTGTGGACACTTCTCTGTCTTTTCAGTGACCTCCTCCACACTTGTTGGCATCGTTAATAGCAAACCCCCAAAAATGCCTTTAAAACGATATATTACACAGTAATCACGGTCCAGTTGTTCATCATTCTTATTTCAAGCAAATTTGGCATTTCCTTTGGGTGGGATTGAATGAAATGAAATTTTAATTTTTATAGTTACTTTCAATTAAATTCTCTTTGGTTGTTTTGCAGTACAATATTAACAATAATCGTATAGGAAAAAAATATTTTTCATTAAAAAACAAACTTAATTATTTCCCAGCTGCATCTCTATTGCAAGCAAACAAACAGACTTTATCATAAGTGTATTCTTTTGTCAAAATAAACTTTGAGTCAAAACACCCCAGAGCATGTTTTCTAAAATCATAATTGATGCTTTCAAAAAACAATAGTCCTTTCACTAGAACAATGCAATCGCTCAAGCTTATCTTCCACTTCATAATTGAATAGGATAGTTACCGCAATCTCTTTTTGATAATTTTAATTTCAAACAATGGCTTATTGGCCTAATATACCATTCAGATAATGTTGAAGTGACATGGCAGAATTCTTGATGATAATAACACCATGAGTGGCTGTTTGGTGCATTTTTTCTTCTCTCTCTCTGATTAGAATACTTTGTGCTCATTTTGATGAAACTGCTTTATAAACAGTCATGCTACGTACTGCGTAACAGCTAGGAGGTTTTTAAGTTATGTTAAATGAAATTGCTGAAACAAGCTGTTGCTTTATATGGCACACACATTAAGATTTTAAAGCAAGTTATTTTCAACGAAAATGCATTATGAACAGTCAGACCTCAGTACTTGACTGTATATGCAGCAGCTATCTAAAGATAGACACACATTAGGATTTTGAAGCAAGTTATGTACTTAAATACTCAGATATAAAAGGGATACTTGTGTGACCTTTAACAGAGGTTCAATACAGGCATGAAATAAAGCCTAATAAATGAAGGCGCCATATTCTGCCAAGGTCGAGAACTTAATGTCTAAAATGTGCGGCTAAACTAAGAGGCAGATAAAAGTTAGCCCCATTGTTGTGCAGCAAAACATTTTGATTGTTTGTAAGTGGGAGACTGTCTGTTGGAGTTGAATTTAATTTAACAGTCAGTTATGTAGTTCTAGTTTGTTCCTAATAGATAATGCTATCAGGAAGTTCTGATAACCTGCCATAGATGTTTTTTAGTCTGCTGCTTTTTCATGGAGCTGGTTGCTTATGCCTCATTTCACCATAATTACTGTTTAAAAAAAAATTATAATATCATTGATGTGTCATTGAATAAATTTATACTGAAGCCATTACCTCTTTTTTTAGAGGAATTGAATGTATAATTGACCTCAAACAGGCTTACATTTGGGAGTTATTGTTTTTAAGTATTTGCTGGAGGTTTCTGCATAATCAGTGGAACATCTGAATAATTTCTAGACAGTGTCGTATATTATCTGCCAAAACATCACGGGATCTTCAACAATCTGACCTATTGCCCTTTTGTATATACTTCCTACTTTTAAACTTATTAACCCTTTCACTCCCACAAGTGACCAAGACAGAATTTCTCCTTACAATATTAATACAACATCAAGCAGGCAGGTGATGAGAATAGAGAAGAATGTCAATCATGGGATTATTAGTTGATCCAATATCAAATTCTCTGAACTAACATCACAAGAATTGTATGGCAGATGATAAGGAGAATTATTAATTAGATCTTTGGAGTGAAACCCTGATGAGTGTATTTACCATTGCAAATCCTAATAAATAGGGAAGATCATCTTTACTGTAGGAAGCTTTGATTCTTGGCCAACATCTCAGTTCATTTGTCAGCCGACGTTAGTAATAGCAAGTCAGGCTGACAATTGGGAATAAATTTATGCCAGAATTTGGGTTTCAGTCATGCATGTTGCAGGCTGTGGATGACTTTATGGGGATTAAAATGCAATCATTTTAGGCTTCTTGATTAAAAAATTCCTGATTGGGTTACTACTTGCTAACTGTTGTTAGCAGGCTACTATTCAAAGAACACCCTTGTGAATTGAAAAAGTGTCCCCTGACTTAATACATGTTCCTTGAATGAAGGTTACAGATGCATTAAGGTTATCAAGGCAGGTTATTTCTTTTGGAATCAGAGTTTGTCTCTTGAATGGAGGGGTATACTGTGCCTTGATTAAGGTGTCCTTGAAGAAAAGTTTTATAAACTGTAGTTTATAGTTATATTTCATGCAGAACAGTCCAATTTGTTTTTAATCATTTGTAGGCCTGCTGGGTGTTGCTGCTTCTTGGATGGGTTTTCCTGCCAATTTACCTGCGATCAAGGGTAAGGATTCCTGCTATAACCCTTTAACTCCCAGAATTGATTAACAAATAACTTCTCCAGGGCGTGAAATTGCGCCTAATACAGGCGCCAATGCGACTAAATTTTTCACTTTGGCGACCAAATCCTGAAAGTTAGTCGCCAAATTGGCAACTAGAACGTTTCATCATAACCTTACCAAGAGATATAGTGAATTAAAAAGATTTGCAAAGATAAATCCGCGGCAAACTTCCTCATTAAGTTTGTTTCTAAAACGTAGCACGTGCTTCTCGATCGATAACTAGACGCCATCTTGGATTTAGATGAGCCTGAAAGTTGTATATCATCCATCCTAGTGTCCACTTTGTAGCACGTTAAAGATCTTTTCCCTAACTTAATTTTGGAGGGTCTATCTAGAACGCTGACAGCATAAAGAAAGATTTTGTTTGTCTTTGAAAATGGCGACCAACTTTTTTTGAATTGGCTACCACTTTGAAGAATTTAGGAGCCAAGTGGCTATCAGAAAAAAAAGTTAATTTCACGCTCTGTTCTCCCTACAATATTCATACACCATTCAGTAAAAAAAAAATGAGAATACTCAATCTTGTCAGGTAGAGGATTCTTGCAACTAATTAAAAGGAAATATGTAGCAGTTTGAGGGCAGAATTGACGATCAGATCTTGGGATTGAAACGGTTAATAATTTAGAATGGAGAGAAAAAGTTACTTGTTTTTACTTTTGCTTTAATTTGTTTCTTTAATTTAAAATTTCATTTTCAAGCTCCAAATCCCTGTCACCTCATGTTAAATTTAAATTTATTTGTTGATTCTGGAATGAGCTTTGTAGTAATTCCAGTAATTCTCCTATGCTGATGTGACCCTCGACTCACTATGAATATATTGTGTGCAAACATTTGCAACAACAGTGTTTTTTTTTTTTTTTATCAACTGCAGGTGTTTACCATGCCTGAATTTCTGCAAAAAAGGTTTCAGAGCCAGTGGGTTAGAACATACCTTACTGTGGTGGCTTTGTTCTCATATGTCTTCACAAAGTTTTCGGTGAGTACACCTTGGAGTGAATTGTTACAGTACTAACTGAAACCTCTAGCACATTGTGTGTATGTTTCATCCAGAGAACCTGTGTGTTATGCTTGTGCAGTGACTTGTGACAGTTCACTTGGAGCAGTTTCCTATTGGAGATCTGCTTGACTCACAAATCTGCAAAAAAAAAAAAGAAGATGATACCTTAGAGGGTCAGCAATATTTCACCACCCACCCTTTAAAAATAGATGGAAAATGCTGGAAACCTCAATTTGGTCTGACACAAGGGTGTCAGAAGGGAAATTGAAAAATTTTGACTCCATCTCAGATTTTCAATAAAATTCCATTATCAAGGGTGTCATAAATCAGTAGTCATTGTTTGTATTGTAGGTTGACATTTATGCTGGTAGTTTGTTTCTGTATGAAGCAATTGGCTGGAATATTTATATCTCTGCTGCTGTGACCTTGGCTATAACGGCTGTCTACACTGTCCTGGGTAAGTTCAATACTAACAGTACCTAACTAAAGATAGTTGTGTTATATCTACATGTACTTGTGTTCAAATGTGGCTCATGTTGTAGGAGAGGTGGAGGCAATTTTTTTGGCTGGTTGTGGGGTCAGGTGTGAGAGCCAGCTGGGTCAGTGTGTTCGGTTCCTGAGCAAAATGTATTACCCTCTCAGTGCTCCTCACCACCCAGGGCCCAGTTGTTTGAAGGCCAATTAGCACCAATCCAGGGTTAAATTTGAATCCAGGTTTCTTTGTTTGTCTATTCAAGAGCCTTTTTCAGAAAAGTTTCCTTGTTCTTTTAAGAGCATCCAATAATCAAATTGTAGACAAAAAGAGTTAAACAGAATTTTTTTTTTTTTAAGCTTTCAGGTCAGAAATCAAATTTCACACTAACCCCACAGAGATAACACATATATCGGTCACAAAACATTCATTGGTTCCTTTGATGCTTAACATGGAGTGAAAGTTTAATTGTTACTTATATTTTCTGTCTTCTCTGCAGGTGGTTTGACTGCTGTAATCTTCACCGATGTCCTCCAATGTACCATCATGATTTTGGGTGCCATTGTACTGGCAATATTAAGTAAGAGCACATGATTACTTACATTAATCAAAACTGAAACAAAATTCTTGGATGTGATTGGTTATCACCAGCCTGATTTGAGCACTGATTGGGCAGTGTACATGTCATCCTTGTAATTTGATAATGTAATAGGACAGTTAAAGGGACAGTTAACACCTCATGCCTGTGTAAGTGGACAGAGTGCGTCATGTGCGCATGCTGTTGTCTTGCATTTTGCTGAATTAACTGTCTGTGGTTTTTTTTTACTGGCAATATTAAGTAAGAGCACATGATTACTTACATTAATCAAAACTGAAACAAAATTCTTGGATGTGATTGGTTATCACCAGCCTGATTTGAGCACTGATTGGGCAGTGTACATTCATCCTTGTAATTTGATAATGTAATAGGACCATGAAAAGATATATGCTGTTGTCTTGCATTTTGCTGAATTAACTGTCTGTGGTTTTTTTTTTTTCCATGAAAAGATATATTAATCAATGTTCATAAAGAGTGTTTTTGGTGTCATGATTTACTGTCTAGTCCAATAATGAGAGGTGTTCACAAATTATTTGTAAAGCAGCACCCCCCCCCCCCCTCAAATTTTTAACTTTGCTAGTTATCTTTTATGGACTTGGTGTGCCGGTGGGCATCAGTACTGATGTTTTTTCTAAATATGGTTTTAAGGCTTTGTGAAAGTTGGAGGATACAATGGTCTTTGGGAAAAGTTCGGAAGTGCCCAGGGTAGTCCTTATTTACCTACCGTTGTTCCCACCACAATGGCAGTCAATATGACGAACATGACGAACATGATGCTGGCGAACATGACGACTGCTATGCCAACCACTGGACCCGACCTAAGCGGGTGCTTCAAATTGACTCCTTACTGGGCAAACATGTTCCGTCCAATAGATGACCCTGACTATCCATGGCTTGGATTGTGGACCACTCTTCCTATTATGGGAGTCTGGTATTGGTGTACAGATCAGGTAGGTCAAGCGTATTTTTAACCCTTTACTCCTTGACATCAGTATACATATTCTCCATTCTGTTCTCTTTACTTTTCCTATGGTGCCGATGAGGAGAATTTGTTTGAACAATCAAGAGCTTCTTTAATTGGCTAATGTTTCTTTTATTCATGGGACATTAAGGTTTTGATGAAGGGGTATTGTTGTGAGGAGAAATTAGGTGCTTGTTTAAGGGTTAAAAGGTCAAGGGGTCAAAGGGTTGAAGGTATCTGGAGGGTTTGCCCCATTGCAAGTAGGCCCCATATTTGTTGCACCCACCCAAAAATTTTGCCCCCGCTTAAACCAGTTCAACCCTTTAAATTATCATATCATTTCCCTATAGTGGAATTCGTTCCTTTTGTATCAAAATTGTAATTTATTTTGATCAAATACAAAACCTCAACAACACATTTCTATATATATGGTAACTCAGGATGAAAATGGTTACACTTGATTGCACTTGCATGCACATTTTTCTGTCAATCAAAGATCTTAACTACAATGTATGTTCAGCCCCAGTCTTCGACAAAGTCAAGCAATCAACAGCTTGAGCAAGGTGACGCTTCCATCTTTGACATCTTTTGCATCTTTCTTTACTTCCAGGTGATTGTTCAGCGTACCCTGGGAGCTAAGAACAACATTCAGGCCAAGGCAGGTTCCATTTTTGCTGGCTTTCTGAAGATCCTGCCCATCTTCATAATGGTGATGCCAGGAATGATCAGCCGCGTCCTCTACCCTGACTCCATTGGTTGTGCGGATCCCGTCAGCTGTAAATTTCATTGCGATAATGAGTGGGGCTGCTCTAACAATGCCTATCCCAAGTAAGGTTATTGTTTAGCCTTGTTGTGTCAGTTGTTTCATTTGCACATAGCTTACCTTTTGAAGGGCACTGTGATGGTGCACCTGCTATTAAAGAATTCAGCTGTGCATGACCATTCGAAATATATTGTGTCCCCTAGAATGTTAGTTATGTGTCAATTATAATTTTTTGAGACAGATTCTTGAACGCAAGGAAGGGAAGGTTTTCTTGGACATGTGCTTAGTGAAGTTCACTTAAATGCCCTCAAAAAATTTCTAAGTTTAATTCATATTATTGTGGTGTACTTGGAAATCTCAGGATTAAATAGGAAGTTTTCACTCTATACTGTCATCTAAAAATTACCTCTGATTTACTATGATACCAACAACTTTACTTTTTCAACCATGTACACCCTTAAAGCACGCCATTATGTTTTCCATACTGTTTTCTTTACATTTTTTATGGTACTGACAAGGAAAATTTGTTTAACAAGCAAGTCAGAGCTTCTTTTATTGGCAATTATTTCCTTTAGTTTTGTGACCTTATTGATTGATTTAACAGCAATGTTCACAACAGGAGAAATTTGAATTTCTCCCTTTTGTATTAAAGGAGTGAAGTTTTTCTAAAATGTGTCTGAAATGGGATCAGGATCTCCCCCACCCTTCCCACCCCCTTAATCCTTGCTACTCTCCTTACACACATGTTCAGAGAGGTTACTAGTCTTGGTACCCAACCATTTTTTATCTGACGGTGTGTGTCCACAGTTTTTTCTTATCAAGACATATTGGTTTGTTTTTTTTTTCTTAATAGACTGGTTCTTAATGTTCTTCCCACTGGATTGGTTGGCCTGATGATGGCGGTGATGATGGCAGCACTGATGTCTTCTCTTTCCTCTGCTTTTAACAGCAGTGCCACCATCTTTACTGTGGATGTGTGGCTCCGCTTCAGGCCAATGGTATGCGAATGTCAAGGTTTTCACCCAGAAAATATAAAATAGCCAGTAGAATAGTGTTAACCCTTTACACCCAAACATCAGTATGCATATTCTCCATACTGTTCTCTATACATTTCCAAAGAGGCTGACAAGGAGAATTTGTGTAACAATCAAGAGCTGTTTTTGTCAGTGATCATCTCTATTCTCATAACTTTCATGTTTGATTCAGGGGGTGATAATTATAGTAAGGAGAAATTAGATGCTAGTCACTCTTAGGGGCTTAAGGGTCAAGTAGCATAAAAATATTCTTTGCAGCCAAATGAAAAGTAGGTGTGGTCTTAAACATTTCGCTCAAGAATTTGGTGGAATGGGTGGAGAATTCTCTGATCTTTGGTATCCAATGAGCAGCCTTAACTTTTACTGTGGTTTTTAACTGTGATGAGCTTTCCAAAGGTCTCCTGTCACTCCACCTGTCACGAACAGACCTTGCCATCATAAGTACATGTAATTCTAAACTTTACTTACCTGATGCTTAAAATGTAAACGGTGGAGGGATGGGGAAGTTGAAAACTGAAGGCAAAAGCTACTGTTATCAGAGAAATGAGTTTAGCACTTTGTGGGATTCTACATACACGTGTACATGTACCTTATTATATACCTCAGTCGCGATAATGAAGAGATCCTCTGGACAGTATTTGTAAAGAGGCTGTTTCTTCAGGTAGTGTGTTAGCTAAGCAAAGACTGTCTTCTCTTTGTAAGTATTTACAAATTGCATTTCTTTCTTTTTCATGCTGCAGGCCACAGAAAGAGAAAAAGTCATTGTTGGCCGGGTGGTTGTTGCCCTCCTTGTGGTTGTCAGTTTATGTTGGTTGCCAATCATTCAAGGTATTTCAGCTCATTATTATCAACATCATCATCACTGGGCATCATATGGATTCTGTATGTCACTTAGGGAATGAACAAGTTTCCAGAATTTAGCCAGCATTTGAGGGCCACAAAGCTGGCTCCAAAAATTAATTCTTTTAAGTGGAGTCCTGGCAATTGTGTTAATTGTTCTCTCCATGATTTTTTCTTCTTTGGTGCTGCATGTAGGTAGCCTGCTTGACAATTCTTTTTCTCACAACACTGGAAATAATTTGTCCAGTTAAACTTATTTTTACTCAGGCACAGCCCATTATTGGCCAAAAGAATATTTATCATGCCATATCTTAATGAATTTTCCCTCCTGCCTCCCATCCCCACAAAACAAGTTTATTTACAATTCCATTATTGCACATGCAGCCTTAAATACACCTGTATTTAAAACTTGAACTAAGCTTGGAATTAGATTCTTCTCTGCATGCTCAAACAACTGGACAAAATGACCAGCCATCCGAGGAGTTAACCAGACTAAACCTTTATTTGGACATTGGCTACTGAGCACCAGTTATTTCAAGCCCTGAATTATGTAAATCATTTCGCTCCTGACAAAACAGTATTATCATAATTTTCAAGCATTAAAAAGATAGGTAACCACTTGATATCAGTTTGCTTTTTTGTGAATCATGTCCACATGGCTATAGAACACTCTAGAGTCAAACCAGTCATTCTATATTTATGTACATTTTTGTCAACAGGTGCTGCAGGGAAACAGCTTTTTGTTTACATTCAGACAATCCAATCCTACCTTGCCCCACCAATTACTATGGTGTTTGGGTTGGGTATCCTGTGGACAGGTCTGACAGCAGCAGGAGCGCTGTCAGGCTTGGTGATTGGGTTCTTGCTGGGAATGGCCAAGTTTATTGCTGGTAATATTTGGTCAGATCCTAAGTGTGGTGAAGAAGATACACGACCTGGATTTGCTAAAATGCATTTCATGTTTTATGGTGAGTAAATTTGATTGTTGAGGATAAAAAGTTTTGAAAATTATACAATAAGAGTGTCAGCTAAAGAAACAAAATGAACAGGTTAGTGTGCCAGAATCTGCTTTCCTATTCTTCAAATTTTGATTTCAAAATATGGCTTTGGACTCTTTAGTTAGCAGGACTTTCAAGAAACAGGCCTCTAGCCCTGTTTTTTTTTTTTTTAGATTGGATAGCACTATTCATTGGATAAATTACTCTTGGATGGATAGTGGAGTTCAATTTGTTCACACTTATCCACTGGATAGCGATTCATCCATTGGACAGCAATTTATCCATTGAATAGTGATATCTACCCTGAGAGCAACCATAATCTAAGGCAAGATGGCCAGTTGAGGGAAAAGGAGCATGGAAATGCTCTTTATTTAGCTTTGGTTTTTTAATAATTACACTTTGGGATTCTCACCCACAAACTAAAAGTTAGAGCTATTTTGTCTGGCAAAATGAACCATACCCAGTTGAGCAAAGGATCCTGTAACAGTTATAAACTCGAACAGAACAGGAACTGCCACCAAAAGCATGTTGAATGGTATCTGTGTGAGAGTACTTCTCATCACCCTTTCCGGCTTCATTTCAATGAGGGCAATGGGTGTTTCTTAAATTTCTTACTCCAGGCTGATGGTCCAGTTTTATAGAAATCATCAAATACCAAAATTTTAAATTTTTCATTTTCTAGCCATCATTATTTTTGGAGTGAGTGGCTTTATCATGGTTGTGGTGAGTTTGTTCACAAAGAAGATCCCACGAGACGAGCTTGGTGGCCTGACTTGGCCAACAATCAATGAGCCTCCCATCTCATTTGGATCCATTGGCGAAGCAGATGAAGCTGAGAAGGTGGAAATTGGTGGTGTGACCGGTACCGAAAAAGTCGAGCTTTTGGAAAAGAATGGTAAGGTTTCATTGTTGGTGAAGATTATTTATGCGGAACATTTTGGGGATTTTGTTTATTGTGGTTGAGTTACAAACAGTTGCAGAATCAAAACAAGTCGTGGTGGACCAAATATGTATTGTGTGAATGATGAAATATCACCCTACAGTGTATTTCAAAATGAAACTCTCATGAATAGCCAAGACGGAATTTTTTTCAAGCAGACAAGTGATGAGTAATGTATCAACATTGGGATTGTTAGTTGATATAATACAAATTCTCGGAACTAACATCGTAAGAATTGTATGGTAGACAGTAAGGAGATTTACTAACGAGATCGAAAGGGTTAAAATTCTCCGCCATTGGTAAATTTCAGGCCATCTAAGTCCAACAACTCGTGTGGAAACTTCTTTCGACGCTGAAGGAGAAGTTACCAAAATCGAGGAAAAGAATGCTGTTCCACCCAAGCCGAATGTGAATGGCGAGACTATGGCACTGGAAGATGCAACAGGCGAGAAAATCAAACTGAGTGTAGTCCAGTTTGTCGAGGAAGATCCTGCTCTGAAGTGGTTTTTACGAATCATGACTGTCCTGTTACTGGTTTGTCTAGTTTTCCTGTGGGTGTACTTTCGCTAAGCGACATGTACAGTATAATTTGTCGATCCTCGCATATAGTGTGATGTAAAGATATGCTAAGGTGCAGTGATCATATTAATAGGATGTGCATCACCATGTACATCATGTATATCCTCATATAATCTCATGCTGGTTGATAAGTACCTAAATATGTACGTGAAGGTCGAGAAACCGACCACAAATATTTTAATGTATGTGCAAAAAGAGGTGTAATGGTATTTGTGTTGTCTCTCTGATAGAAGAGAGATGTGTTGGAAACGGTGAAATCTTTGATTAATTTTGTGGTGTAGACGATTTTTCCTTTAATATAGTAAGGGTATAGTCCTGCAGATTTTCAAAGCCAACCGGGACGTTCATTTAATTATGATGGTGAAGACATTGATCTGGAAACCAAAACCAAATTTAACGACACTCATCGTTGTGGTCATCGTCATCATTATCATTATCATCATCGTCATCGTCATCACAAACAACAACAAATATATTAAATGGAATTACAACAGTAATCAAGAGAATTCGAGAAAGTCTTAGACCTTTTATGGAATAAGTTTAAGTAGCAGGTTGATCGTAGGATCTAAGATAGTGAACCTGTGTGGCTCAGTTAATCCTACTTAAATTTTGTCTTAGAATTACACATCCATTTTGTTGTCTTCATTACTGTGAAGCTTGAGGGAGTATCGAATCAGGTCTAAATATTCTTTTACGGCAAATTTCGAAGTTACAGTCCTCATCTGAAAGTTTTGAAAGCTTTCTTGCCTTGTCTTCCCTTACTTCTATTGTCGAAGACTATTCTGTTTAACCCTAAGAAAAAGAAACTAGATTTCATATTCACGTAGAAGTGTATATTTAATAAGGTTTGACAGATAGGTTTGCGTGTGTATAATGTAAAGATCTCGTATAAGCTAGACTTTGCTCCGGGGCAAGTGTTTGCATAGCTAATTAAACGTGTAGCCTTTGGTCACGATAAAAACCTGGCTAGGTTTTGAACCAGTTTATACAAAAGAGATAGAAACAGTTTCATTTAACTCTGTGCTTTGCATTAGTTTTCCAATTTTTCTGCCCCTTTTTAATGACAGCAAGCTTTCGCGCGCTTTTATGTGTTTTTGCGCTCGGCGCATCGGTAGCAGATTTTCCCGCTCTTGGCACTGGTTACCAATATTTTCGCGCCTTTGGAAACGGCTGCTAAGTTTCCCGCTCATGGTATTAGTAACAGATTTTCCTACTCCTACCACCGTTAAAATGCCCACTTTCCCTTATTGGGCGTCGGTGTCCATTTTTATGCCATTTAACAAGTCGTCATGTGGTCTCAAGATTATATTTTTTTTCCGTTGTTGTTGTTGATTTAAAGTAATTTTTCGCCAGGAACGAACAAAAACACTCAGAAAAAATATTTATTTTTTTTCGTCATAGAAAAGTGGTTGTACGAGTCAAAGGTTTCTGCCTTTCTTTCCTTTGTTTGTTTGTTTGTTTAAGGGGTTTTATCATTGTTATTTTTTTATTTTTCAAGTGAGGTCAGATTTCTCCATTTTTGAGGGGTTTTTTTGTTCGATTTTAGGCAGTTTTCTCGTTCAACACACTTTCCTTTGTTTTGAGCCAGCAAAACAACGGAAAGAAAAACCTAAGCCGAAGGTTTTAACCACAGCATTTTCTGTACGCATAAATTATGGATTTAGAATTTTTTCACATTTAAATGTTAGGGTGTGAGCTGCTCTAGACATTGCTTGCTTTAAAGTGGTGAAAATAATTAAGATATCGGTGTGACATTTTTGTAGATTGAGCAAAATTGTTCAAGGATTGTGGAGCAAAACCTGCCTAGAGCTTTTAACATGTAATCATATATATATTTAAGATGAATATAATGTGTAGACCTAGGAATTTTTAAGTATACCAAACTCAGGTTAGGCTTGAACTGTCAGGAGTTTAAGAGTAAATTAAGAACCAGTTCAACATACATACTAGCCTCAATTATCCTCTGTAAACTAGAAAGTCAGTGTTAGGACAAAGTGGCTTTCTGAAACGGAGATGAGAGGTAAAGATTGGGAAGGGGTAGGTGTGGAATGTCCCTCCCGAGTTGGCCGAGATTGAACCAAAGTGAAACTCAAAGCAAGTAATCCTTTACCTCTCGCACCCGTTTAGATTTCACTGTACAAACGGGACTTCCGATCAGGAGTGTAGACAGTTGATTAAAGCTCAATGTACAAGTTCTTGATGTGTTCGTAGATCTTGAGTTCCCGAGTTCCCGTGGTCTCTAATTCACACACCCCACCCCCGTCAAACTTTTTGTGCCCCATTAAGAATTATAAACTGCTCTCCTGCGCTTAAAGAGGTGAAGTTACAAAATTTACGCCAAAAAATTCGACTGTTGTCAACACTCAAAAGGGGTGGTAAGGGGTGAAGTTGTCACAGTTGGTAACACGTGACGAACATTGGATCTTTGGTATCAAAATTGCCATCCCAGTGACGATACCGAATGGCAATGTTTTATCCCTCGCCATGAATCCTTCTGAGTACACTCTTGCTTTTTCCTGCTTTTCACAACGATGAGCCATTAGTGCCTGAGAAAGAACGAAGCCAATGGAAGGAAAGAAGGAAACCTTCGGACCAAACTTAATGTCAATGATGTTTACTTATCGCCTAGGTGGGCCGGAAGGGAAAATATTTGGCTCGTGGTCACTTCAGCTTTTGCAATGTTTTCTTTGGGATTGCACTTATGGACTCTCATTTTACGCCCTACTTCATCTTCTGTCGGGAATATGAGCCCGCGCTCCTGAAGACCGGACACGAAAAAGTGGTGGAATTGAGCCCAGACTGTGACGGGTCATGATAAATTCCATTACTTTCTTTCTTCCCCTTCCGGTGACAAGCTCCCCTTCTTAAACTCTAGTCTGCGGTAATTTTTCCTCCTCTTCAACGTTTCCCACTCACCTCGAAATGAAAAACTGTACAATACTAAGTTGGTTGTCTTATAATTGTAGAAGGTAGCGTTGCGGTACAGAAAATACTTATTTCGAAAGCCTGCAACAGCTTCCGGTTTTAACATCAAAAGCTTTGAACCGTAGAGCAATAAATTATCTCTGATATTCATTTCATATTGGCGATAAAGCAGGAGAAAATTGAGTAACTTGTATTGCAACTAGCTCGCAGAAAAATTTTGGTAGATAAGTCCCCTTCCTTGATGAGATTTCCCACCCCCTCGATCTTCCCTCAGCCTGCCATCAGGCTTCATGAAAGCCTAAGATGTTACTAAACTCCAAGAGTCTGGGCTCCATTTTTCGGTCTCTGACCTTTGTTAGAGGGTGTCTTATTAAGGCATTAAATATTCTTAACTGCCAAGCCATCATTTTCGAACTGTTTACATTTCCAGTCAAATTATGATTTAAAGTTAAAAACACGTTGTGAGACTTTCAGTTCCTTTGTGTGACTTTGGATCTCGAGCGAGGTCTAGGGTAAGCGTCCTAAAGCCTTGACTTTTCGCCGAAAAAGGCCGGAAACATTTTGGAGTTCTTGGAAAGATACGCATCAGTGAGACGTGTCGAAGACGTTTCATGTGGAATTCAAATTTGCGTTATGAAATGATTTGCTTTCTATAGAAAGACTATCAAACCTACGAAAGTTCTCTTATCGCTTTAAAGGCTCCCGCGATCACAGACCTAAATCAAATTTGGTAGAAAAAGCGATCCATACAACATGGAAGGAGCAGAGGTTGATGTTTATCATCTCGATCGTCTGCAAGCTTTCAACGACGCCGTTTTCGCCATAGTTTCCACTATCTTAGTTCTGCCGGTGCGAAAACTCGAAGAGACAGGGGCCTCGGAGCACGTCAGCTTGGAAGAACAACTGAAACATAGATGGCCCCAGTTTGTGATCTACATGGTCGGTTTTCTCATGATGTGCGCTGTATGGGAGTCTCATGTGCTTCGATTTCGTATCTTGTCAAGGGTGGACGATGTCATGATCTGGTTCAACCTTACTTCCCTGCTATTTACTTCGTGCCTCCCGTTCACGTGCGCTCTAGAGGGAACGTTTACAAGCAAGGGTACACCAATGGCGCTAGTATGCGGAAATCTCATTACTTTAGAGATATTGGAGGTAATCATGATAGTGTATGCTTTCCGCCAGCCACGTTTGTTGGCTCAAGAATTTGACACTCTCACCCAAGATGAAATGAAGCAAAGAATGAAACTTATGCTCGTAAAGAAAGCCGTCATAGCAAGTCTTTACTTGCTCGCTGGTCTCCTTAGCTTCTTGCAGAAGCCGCTAGCGCTCGTGGTAGCGGCTGTTGTCGCCGTGTCCCCTTGGATTAATCGTCTTGTCGGTGTTACTTATCGCAAATGGTCGCATATTCGTCTGACTGACTCGGAATTCGATCGCATGTTCGGGAATTTCATCGACAAAGAGAGAGTGGAATTCTTTAGCGACGGAGTCTTCGCTATCGTGTCTACGTTGTTAATTCTGGATGTTACAGTCGAAGATTTCCCGACGAAAGCGGAAGTAAGCAGCCATGGTTTTGTATATACAATGCAAAACGTTAGGCCAGACATTTCCACGTATGCAGTCACGTTCATAGTCGTGGCTCTTCTGTGGTTCACGCACCATTCGCTCTTCAACTACATCCATACACTAAACCAAGTAATGCTAATTCTCAACAATTTATCTCTGGCTTTCCTGGGTCTTTTTCCCCTGATCAACGCCACACTGGATCGTTACGCCGGACGCGGCAAACCAGATAGTCGCCTTGCTCTCCAAGCGGCTGCTTCAATCGTTTTCATGGCCGGCATATCTCAAGGAGTAGTGTTTATTATCGCAATATGGAAAGGCCCGACTGATCCGGAATCGCAAGAAAATCCTCGCGAGGATCCTCGCTTTGGGTGTACGGCACACTCGTATCTCGCGTTCAAGCTGGCAACTATTCCTATCATGACCTTAATTGTGTATTTTTGGGCAACATTCGGCCCTAACACATCCTTTTCAGTAGATGTTTACTACATAGCCGGTGGATTAACCCCAGTTCTTTTCATCCTGTTAAAGCTCGTGTTATCATGTTTGCAGAGGGTTCACTATCGCCGCTCATTTCAAATACGAGAAGAAAACTGGACCATCGTAACTCATGACCTGGAATCAGAGGATTATCCCAGAGTGGTTTAGAGCCTTTAACAGAAGCCTGCAAGAAAGTTTCATTCGGAAATCGCGAGATTGTGGGCAGTTATTCGCGTTGTGATGGTGCCCGTGACCTGTTACTCCTTATCTCTTTGCGCTGGCGTGACTCGTCGTTGCGTGAAGCTTCGCTCTCGCCATTTGTAAAAACGACGGAGGCTTGGGTCGGGGTACGCGGCTTGACCCAGGCCTCTCTCGTTTTCCAACCCTCCGCTACCATCGCACTGTTTGCTACCCCAATTCGTTTTTCTGACTGAACGCTTGAAACAGGCTTTCCAATCGAGTTTGGACAATTAATGTTTCGAAGTAAACCTGGCTAAAAGCAGAGACAAAAGAAAATCATCAGTTTTCTTTAAGAGGGATTTCTCTGAGCTTCTATAGAAGTAGTTTGCTTTAGAAACCATTTAATGTTTAGTTTAGCTCTTAAGATTACTTTTAGAATTGATCTACTGACTGCAAAGAATAACTTAATTTTCTAGAACTGTTCTCACCTATGTGCTCAACGTTGATTTCGGATGCCGCCATTTTGAATCTTGCTTAGCAGCCTGGCCGCGCCGCTGTGACCAAAGATAGTCTCTCTATTTCTTTCGATTTCTACTATGACAAGTTATTCCGTTTTTCAAAATAATTAGGAGCTATGCGAAAATATATTCTTGATTGGAATAAATATTTTCTCTTTAGGGACAACCAGGGCAGCAGTTGTTAGTGAGAATAGTGCGTTGTAGTTGTAGCTGCCTGGATCTGGTTGTAAATTCTCTCCTCCAACTGTTAATCATTTCCTCGTTAATTTATTAAGATTTATTATTATAAGATTAAGATTTATTATTATTATTATTTAATATTAAATCAAGATAACAACCTCTTCCTGATAAGTTTGGGTCTTCTCATTACCTGTATGCTTGGTAATGTATGGATTTTATTGGGAGAAGTTACATGTTTATCACTTCTGGAGGGTTACATGGTTAATAAAAGTTTCACTTTACCCTGCTCGGTTCTTGATAAGCTAACTTCCCAGATCCGGAATTTCAGAATATTTGATAAATTGTTCAATGCCATTCTTTCACAGAAAAAAAAATATAATAGAAACATCTGGCCTGGGTCGTTCAAAGCTGAGTTTAGATAACCCAGGAGTTAGTCTGAAAGTTGATTTCTGGTCTGAAAGCTTCAAAAGATCTAGAAAATGCAGTTCAAATCTTTTTGCTTGCAATTTGATCACTGGATGTTCTAACGAGAATAGGGAAAATTGTCTCTAAAAGGTTTTTGAACAAAGGAATAAAGAAACCTGGATTAAAGTTTACCCCTGAGTTAGCGCTAATCGGCCTTCGAACAACTGGGCCCTAGGCACACATGAAACTGTTAAGGGTGCAATGTGCGAAACATTTTCTTCCTGTTTACATATCGACATTTTTTTTTTAGATTTATTTGACCAAAAAAAAAAATGTATATATATATATTTTTGTTGACTACACATTCAGCCTTCTTTAGTGGTACCATTGTCTGAATTTTTCATTACGTTGAAATAGAAAAGATCTTTTCATTTTATAAGTTCGTAAAACCCCATCAGTAGGGTTACCGCTAATTGATGAAGGGACCAACGTGTGAGGAACCTTTCGTCCACAAATAATGGTGAAAATTAATCAATTCTTGCCACGCATACAGGCTTTCAATATCTTAACCTTGTTGGACGTAAAGCGAGATCTCATTGGCAATTTTTTCGTCGGCACGTGAAGTTTTGTGCCGGTCATAAGGTTAGCGCATGCGCTAAAAGGAAAGGGGAACGGTTCGTGGGGGTCAAAACTTTGAATCTGTGCGACGACGTTGGGTTTCAATCTTTCGACGCTTACCTTTACTTTTATTTTCGTTTAGACCGAGCTCTTTTTCGTTAGACTTGTCGTGACTGTTCTTGTGTTATTATGGAAAAGTCTTTCAAATACTCTTAACAAAAACAGCGGTAATTTTTCAAGTTCGTGATTGTGATTGATAAAAAGAAATTTATCACAGCAGGCGTTCTCTTAAAGATAATATCTCTATTTTTTTAATTTTTGGGGGTAAGTTTGACTTCAATTTTGCATTTTCTGTCAATACAGCTGTCCAGGTTTTCTCAGTTTTTTAGACAGACACAAAAAAAAAAAAGCTGGTTCATCTGTTCGACTTATAGAGCCTGTCAATCAGGGAATCAAAAACAGGAAATCTTTCCGTTATATTTCTCACAAATCCTTTTGAAGCATCGGCCTAATAGCAATGCTATCAGGAGAAAATTTTAAACAATTTTTTCAAACAACTGTTTTGCGTGTGGTCTATTAATTCAAGCCCTCGAGCCAGGCGTGTAATTTATATAAACAGTTCATTTAGCCACTGAGTAATGGCCGAGACCCATTTATAATGTTAATTGATCAAATGTATTTCGAAATGAGATGCAAGACATCAAATAATGCCGACGAATATTTAGAAGGAAGTCAAATTTGAAATAAAATTTTATAAAACAAGAAATGGAACAACAGCGCCAGCTACATAAAAGAACAGCTTTACACTGAAACGTGCATTGTTGTCGGAACAATTTCGGCGGCGCAAAAAACAGAGAATTTCTTTAAATTCATCTATAATTTATTATGATAACCTAAAACAAGACAGGTAAAGTAAAGATACCCCGCAGGGTTTTAAGTTTACAACAATCAGAAAATTTATCGCTATTGTTAAACTCGAGCAACGAAATTAATTGTCCCTTTTGTCTCCATGACGACTGCAGCAGCTGATAGTTTTCTTAATACGAGAAGGAAAAATTCCCTTGTGTTGTAAATCACAACTAGCTTTGAAAGGATCAAAGCACGGATATTGCAAGGAGAGTTTCACTAATGGCAAACCCGATCTTCGACCTTGGGTCGTTATGTTCTAGCCCGATATTGTACGGAGAAGGCGAAGATTTTCTGGAACAGCCTGTAAACACGTTCTTCGATGAAGATCTAAATTTCGATTTCATTGACGCTTTTGAAGACGGGTTCTCGATATCTGGGAACGCAAGTGAAATATGGAAAGGAGATACTCATCATAAAAAAGATTGGCAATTTTCAGTACAAACGCCGACCTTGCCGATTGCCCAGACAAATGGCGAAAGCCATGTGGGAAGGACATTTGATATCCAGGCTCAGAATACGTTCTCGGGTGATGAAGGTGTAAACGGGAATGATCAGGTGTCTCCTAAAGAAAACAGCATTAAGCGTTGCACATATACTTCCGAATATACAAATACCAGCGCAAATGAAGATAAAGCGAGCGATGAGGACACAGCCTTAAGGACTTTGTCCAAAAATGCAAAAGAATTGTCTAAACATGTCATATCACAAAGCCAAACGGAACTGGCTGACAGAATGTCTTTGTCAAAGAGTGGTTTTAATAAAAGTCGCATTACAACAAACAGCCAAGCTGATATTCGCTCGAATACCACAGAAACCGTTTCAGTAGATGATTCCATACAGAACTTCGAGGATAACACTTATATTAGCAGCAATGTTAATGAAAAACCAGCACTTAATAAAGAGACATTATTATCGCACGGAAGCGAACACACAATGAACACCATTGGCGCAACCAAAGAGAAAACGCCAAGCACAAAAGATTTAAAGAAATTGGGCGATGCTCCTTTCGCACCAAAACATTCAGGTTTAAAACGATGCGTGGTTCCTAAAACTTTTTATTCACCGTTTTGGAAACCGGATAAAAGTACACCCAAAGGCGATAAATCGTTGGAAGATAGTTTCATAAACACACAACGTAATGTAGATATATTGTATTGTTGTAATTGCAAATCGCAAAAGCCATTTTCCAGGTTCGTCGCATCGAAACCTCTAAGTTCGACCACGAACGCTCACAGGGATCGCAATGATTACGTTGATTTTCTTAAACGGAATTCGACGCTGGAGCCACAACGAAACTGCCATAAAAAAGGCCAGAACAAGACAATTAATGGAGAAACGTCGAGTAAGATAACTTTTAATGAGGTACACAATGAAGAAAAGTGGATTTTGCCTCCAATTTACACATCAAAGACACTTCGACAAAAAGCTGTCAGAAAGAGAGCCAGCGAATCTCTTTATTTGAGCTCACTTTCGACGGCATCTGTCGAAGGATTGATCAATAAATACAAAGGGAAACATCTAGATCTTGTGGAACAGCAAAAAAGATATCAACTTAAGCCTTTCAGATAGTAAACTGTAAAAGAGATGGTACCCTAAACAGGGGTAATGATTCATTTCATTGAGACCTGTGCAGTTAATTATAGCGTTATCTATAAATTAGCAAGTACTTTCAGACGCTTAATGAACATTTTATTTTAGAATTTTAGTACGTTAAGACTCGTTTATTTGTTGAAGATAGAACGCCGGCATTCTACAATACAACTGCTATCGTGTAGTTTAGTTCATAATGATATCCCCACGTAAAGGGATTCGATTGTCAAGCCAACTGTTTTCATCTGGTCTTCACACACTCTGTAATGCGATTTGCTCTGACAAAGCGCCAACGCTCAAAACGTCAGCTTTGAAAACTCTTTACGGCGGCTAATTTACATTATCAAGTCAGTTGATAAAATCAAATGATTTAGTTATACCCTCACCGTCGCATCATGGCAAACTTACCCCCTTTCATCACATCCTCTATTTCAAATTATGGATTAATAAACAAGCGCCTGCATAATTTTCTTTATGTTAAACTTATCAATCATGGAATTAAGAAAATTCTATTTTCATTTTTAACCGCTTTAAATAAAAGTTTATAAGGCCGGTTATGTAAACAATGTTAAGCCGTTGTTTACAAACTTCTGTGCCAAGCTAAGCCATCTTAGCTTCTATTTGGCCGAACCTTTTATCTGAACTTTTATCTCTGTGAACAGTGCCAAGAGGGCCGAAAGCTTATAGTGGAAGGACATTTATTTAATTACATCAACCCTCTTATAGAGAATCCCAGAGGCCAACTACTTGCCTAAAACCGTGGTTTGGGTTAGACCTCGTGTAAATATAATCAGCCTTTAATATTCCGAATAAAATGGCCTTGAGGCAAATATATATGCCATCCAGGTAGCCAGGAATACATCGCATTGCAATAATTAATCGATACCTGTTTGGTAAAACATAAACAAATAAACATATAATTAGAACGGGTACTTTGTTATTTTTCTAACGAGCTTATGCTAAAGCACCTCAGTTTTGCTTTGTGACCTAGCCTGCCCGGTCGGTTGACCGGCTTCATTAATCTCTTCTGGGAATTGTCCATTGCTGAAGGTCTCAAGAGGGTCTCAATGGTGTTGTTAACCGTTAGCCGTATAAACGGCTAAAAAATTTCTGCCGTTAGGCGTAAAAATTGACAAATATGAGCTTAGGTCGTTAATGAAAATTAAACTTTAAAGTTTTCCCTTTAATCACAAAGCAAGGAAGTTAGCTGTTAGCTGTAACATGGCCAAAACTATAACCGTCAGTCTTAAAAGCCTTCACTGCATTGGGACTCTCTCTCTGTGGGGTGGTGGCTTTTGTCTCACGGCTGGTGTTAAGAATTTGGCCATTTTACAGCTAACGGTTAATTTCTTTCCTTGACGGTAAAAAAAATTGAATAATATTGAAAAATACTGGGGTTACTTTTTTAACGATTCAATTTTTACGCCTAATGGCTAAAATTTGTTGCCGTTTTTTTGCCGTAAACCCATTTGAGATCCTCCTTGTTCCTCTAAACTGCTTTAATTTATCTGTTCGCAAAAGATTATTACATTTGAAAAAGATTCTTAACAAGGAATTATTTCTATTCCAAGAAAAATGATAAATTGTGGTAGTTATTAAGGATACTGTCTATTTGTACTGCAATGAAATTTCGCGCCTTGAAACGGACCCTTTCCCTTAATTAACCCTTTTTGAAGTCACTCTCAGAATTTAAACACTCTCAAGCAGACAAGTGATGAGAATAAAGAAAAATATCACAGTTACGGGATTATTGTTTGATCTAATACCAAATTCGCCGAACAAACATCATAAGAATTATACGGAAGACAGAAAATAGAGTTGCTATTGAGATCTTAGGATTTGATTTAGTCTTTATTCCATCATAAGATAAAACTACATATCTTATGTTACAATGAATTGAAAAAACTACAGAAATCTACATACATATTATGAATTAAAAAGTATATCATTACAATAAATGGAGCTTAAATATCAACCTATTTACAAATGTGTTCATAAAGCGCTGTGTATTAATTTTCGGGCGCGCGCAGCCTTTTTTCCTGAGATTGTGTAGATATGTCTTTTGGACAGGAATGATATCTTTCAGGGGGTGGCAATCCGTTGATTTTAGTTTCTTCAAAATATTTCTGTCTTGTTTGTTTAAAAGGTTCTTGATAAAAACTGGAAATGAGATAAAACCGCGTTCATGACATCGGTCTAAAAATTTTTGTACAACCGTAAGATCGGACTCAGATGCCCCATAGACTGAAAGTGCATAGCTAAAATTAGCCAAAACAATCGATATAAAAAGATGATCAATCTCTGCCTGAGAGTAATGTTCCTTTCTCAATGTTCGTAGGACGTGTAAACACTTGTTTGCTTTGACAAGCTTAGTTCTTACATGCTCATCAAATTTTCCATCACTCTGTAAAGTTACTCCTAATAAAACGAAGCTATTACATTGGGGAATATTATTAATTGGAGAGTAGAGTACATTATGATTTTTCTTTCTAACAACCAGCTCTTTACATTTGCAAGGGTTGCAGACCATTCTATTGTCTTTACACCATGTTAAGAACTGTCCTACTAAGTCGGCAGACGGGTCACTATTCCTAGTGATAGGCGAAAGAATAGTGGAATCATCGGCATATTTAAAAAGCACAGGGCAACCATTAAAAAAAATCTCCAAATCGTTCAAAAATATATTAAAAAGATACGGTCCGCTTACACTACCTTGTGTGGTTCCTCTATTGACAAGTTTCCACTGTCCTAAAAAATTATAACTAATAACACGCTGTTGTCTTGCATAGAGGAAACTATGATACCAATTGATAATGTACGGATTTAGAGGTAGCTGTTTCAGTTTGGCAGACAAAATAGCATGGTTCACAAAATCGAAAGCCTTACTGAAGTCCATGGTAAAAATTCGCACTGCGCTATAGTCACTACTATCTAAATACTTGTATGTCTGGTGCTGGATAGCGAGCAAGGCATTTTTGCAACTACCCGCCTGTCTATATGCAAATTGGGTGTGGCTCAGGTTGCTCTCAATGACTGACTGTGCTTGTGTACGATACACGACCTTCTCAAACAACCGGGCAATAACGGGAGTAACATTAATACCACGGTAGTCCGAGTCCTCTATAGGCATATTCACTTTGGGGAGAGGGTTAACATTTGCCCTTTTCCAGGAGTCTGGCCATGTATGAGTAGACAGCGACAGATTCCAAACGTGAGTGACAATTGGTGTGAGTAGCTCAGCACAGTCTTTCCAGATCCAGTACGGGAGGTCGTCTGGTCCCGTTGCGGTTTTCTTTACATGAACTAAGGTATTCCAGACACACCGCTCAGATATTTTCGGGGGCATTCGGTATGCATTCGAAACGTCGCGGTCTACATCACACGTGACTACATCGTGAGACAAACGAAAAACTTTTATTTTCAAATACGAAAAGCTTTTATTTTCAAATACACCTTATACGATCTTTGAATATATAATACGTGTGGATATTTACAAGTTGCATGATGCATAAGTACTGAGCAATGAGAAAAACCTTGCGGTTTGATCAATCAATCAATTTCAAATATCTTTTTGCGGGTTGACTCCTGCCCAGCCTCAAGATGAGTTTGTTTGAAAGAGGTAAGAGCAAGAGCCCAAGTAATGGGCTCCTGGTACGACCTTGAACTCATCGCGAGGTCTGGTACAGAAAGGCAAAGATGTCTGTCAGGAGCCCATCAACACGAGCATCTGTCTCTCTTTGAGTCCACCCTTTTTTGGAGTAGACCTTTTTATAGAAATTAAACAACGAGGGATACTTGCTATTGGGTGCCTCAATAGCCACTATGGAGGACGTCTTAACTTAACAGCATTATGAAACTGTCGATTACAGGGATTTTTCACTTTAACCCTTAAAACCCTTAGAGTGACCAGCATTTAATTTCTCCTAACAGAGATGCTTCTGAATCACTTATTAAGATCATGAGAATAATTAATTATCATCATCATCCTCACCAAAACCTCATCGTCATTTAGTATCAATGTCACATGCAACATCCTGTATGTTTCAGCGCATGCGCCATACCCTGATGCCACTTTATGTCCCGTCATGCCACACTAGTTTCTACACTTTTCAGACAAATAATCTCGTAACTTGGTTAAACCAAACAAGATCAGATGTAAAATTGGCAGAACCACAAGAAGAAATACGACTAAAAGTATTCCAATGGTCAGCTGGAAATCATTATAATTCAGGGCAGAATAGATGAACGGTTCTCCTTTATCATTGGTCCCATCAGCTAACCAATACACCACTGAGAATAGAATGTATATGGCGAAATATAGCAGAGGGTAGATCCAGTGGAAGAGGAGGATTGGGATCGAACTCAGAAAAGTGTCAATCACCATGAAAACAGAGTTTAGCGCGTGCTTCGTGATGTTGTTGGCGTCAACAGGATCGTCTTCGAACAGAACGGTCCAGTATCCAGCGGTAATCCATACTCCTCCTGTCGCGGAAATGACGTAGATGAACCAGAATATTTTATGATGCCACCGCAAGGCATCAACCTCGCGGGCGTCGGCACCATTGCTGTTGTCACCAGGCCCCATTTCCAGATCTTCAACCTGTCCAGCTTGACTGCCCCTTATTGGAGCAGGTCTTTTTAGCATCTTTCGGTTTTGATGGAGAGCGATACAAGAGAGCGTGGTTGCAAAGACAAAGTAAATGTTCAAGATTAGGAAAGTCCAGTTTGTTAAGAAAATGAAAAGTTTGGCACCAGCGACATAAATGTTGTAACCAAGCCATCCAAGGTTGTAGGCTGTGACGATCAAACGATACGCCACAAATACAGGCAAGGACAGCCACTGAAAGAAATGAAAATGGAGTGGTTAAAATTTACTGCTGAACAGTAATACAATTCTCGCACATGTGCGAATAGTTGAAATGGCTAAGTGGCGTACCCTGAGGCTGTTAGAATCAAGTATTACATTAAAAATTTTTTGATAAAGCTCAAACTGAAACGACAAATCAACAAACTGACGCCAAAATGTCACAACGAGGCTCTTTTCAGAAAAAATTAAAGTAATTCGTCTTGTTATACTCCATTGTGTTTCTGCATCTTGAAAACGTATGGCACTGCGTATCGCAGTTGCCCTTAGAGATACAAAATACTCAAGGAAAGAAAGAGAGAGAAAGAGCGATGGTCATTTGATAAAACACATATTGACTGAGTTAGGTCGGACCAAAGGAAAATTTAAAAAATATTTGCTGACGGTCGCGATGCATGAACTTCCCTGCGCTCGGCCAGTAATTACGTCATGACCTCGGAGCTAAATACTTTCCCGTCCAGCCCTTCCACTAAGGCAATAGGCGCCTTAAGCAACAGAAGTTTTCGTTGACGACGGCGACGTAGCTACCGATAAGAAACTGGGGGTAGAACGGCTTCAGGCTGCGGTCGCGACTGCGAGTTGCCATCCTTAAGCAGAGCGTGCGAAATACGTGACGCCGCGCCGAGCGAGCTTCGCAAATTTGGTGGTAAATTCATAAGTCACAATGAAGTTCTCGATTCCTTCCCATTGTCCGATCATGTTGAGCTTGAAGGAAACGCAAGATTTACTTTCGGTTTCCTTTATTAAAAGAGTCACAAAAACAAACGAATTTGCCATTCTTCACGACGTAACGATCTCTGACAGCTCTCTGAGATACTGTGAATCCTGGATGTGTGTTCAGATTTTGCGCTATTTGGCTCCATGCAGAACCACGCTCTTTGGAGCTAGCCTTGAATTAATAGGGTTCACATAATAAGATTTTTCCGACCAACATGACATCTTTTTGTTCTGAATAAAGGGGGTAAGTTTCTAAAGAAACTGTGGTGCTGTGTCGGTGGGAGAGTACAGCAGGTAATTTAGTGTTAACAACTGAGTTGAATACGTTTTCAACTCAGTTGTTAACACTAATTTATCTTTTTGTTCTGTCCACTTTATCTATGGGTTAAACATACACTTTATATGAAAAATAACCCGACGAATTTGAGCCTCATACTATTAAAGTTTTTCTTATAATAGAGACATCCCTTTTGAAATTATTATAGCCAAAAATTACAAACTATAAAGCTGAAAAGAGTTCTGTCTTGGCATATCAATGTCGAAAACGTGAAAAAGCCGTATCACGCTTCTTTATAAACTCACGATTTATTCGCTTGATTCGACAATTTTTCTACTACGCTTCGGTTGACTCCCACGCACAACTCTCGGCTTATAAGAAGGAAACACACTCAACGTCTCGTTGAAAGCACGTGGAACAGTGCCATACACAGGTTGCTTAGTTAGGTATAAATAAACGAAATCCCTTATAAATGTCAATCAAATTGAGAATAATTAACGTATCGTACAGTTTCCGACAATCAAAGACAGAAATTGTTTTACATGTTATATGTGTAATGTTAAAGCGATCAATTGCCATCAGTTGTATACTCATTATTTTTGCTAGCTATTTTGATTCAAGTGTCGGAAAAAAAACTTTTTGCGAAGAACGCAACTACCTCGTGTGCATAAGCAGTGCGCATTTGTCTGCTTGTGAACATGGCGATTAATTCCACCGGTACACTAAATACAAAATTAATTTTAGTCGATTTAAAAGCTTCTATGTTAAATGAAAGGCCAAGAGGAAGGAATTACAAAAATGACTGAAATATTATTTCAAGCTATAACAATCCACCGGTTATACATTGAAAAATCGGAAAAGACAACTAATTATTCCATCGAATGAAAGCAACCGCTAAGCTAGAAACTAGTTTAGCATGCGAAAAACTTCAAAAAATGAGCCTAATAATGCTTGCAGAACATTATTTCACACATAAAATTAATCATCATGTAATTTTACCTAGCTTCCAAATTGAAGTCCGAAAGTAATCTAAAAGTGATCATAAAAAAGATTAAGTCAGGATCACGTTCTCGTATTCAACGGCAAATCACAACTTGTTGTATATGCGCAGTGAGGATTGCAAAGAAATTTCACGTTTCCGGTTGCCTTCGTGAGGCCGGAGACGTCTGTTGCTTAAGGTGCTTAATAACTAGATAAAATTTACTCGTATAAACTTTTTTCGAATAATTTTGAGTGAATTGCCGTCTCATTTTTCCAAAAGTCTCCTTTCAGTTGAGTCATTGATATTTCCAGAGACTGGTAAATAAATGGCGTAAACGTCACACAGTGTGCCGTGGTTGCTAGTTGCTTTTGAAATTGTTTTGATGTAACTATCTGTTGCTATGAGCCAACCTCACGAAATATTTCTTTATCTATTCCACATGCACTTTACGTCACTATAGCCAATATTTCTTACACTAACGTTAAGAAAACACCTACTCTACCATCACAGGGCCGATAAAGGTGTAATTTCTTTCATTGGATTTCAATAACAGCCACGTAATTGTTAAAAGAAGCTAGAAGTGTATCGACATAGAAAATATTGTACTCAACTGTCCACAACTTGAAAATTTTAATCGTCGTTTCAGAGTATCCAACAGGATTTAAAACGTACGCTAGATGATAATAAGCTAAAACACCGGCTCTGTTTTTCTTTCATTCGTGAAGTGATTTTAAATTTGCATTTTTCCCAATTAGGTTTTCAATTTGATGTCACAAACCGTAACGTGTTACAGTTTGCGAATCCTGGTTTGGAGTCGATCAAGCCATAAATAAAACCATATTGCTGGTGTAAATCTTGAAAATTTGAAATGATGAGACGTTAAAAGATCTTTTACAATCTGTGTGCGAGAGACTAATACAACTGCTGTTACATGAATTTGAACATGTTCAAAATTGCAACAATATGTAAAGGGTGGTCGCCTTCTTACATAGAGATCAAGTAAACAAAGTCTGTGCACGACAGGGTTCGATACCTAATAACAGTTCCGTTATCAATGAAAATAGATTGTAGGCAGTATAGTTTGTAATCTCTCCACTTTCTTACCCTGAAAATCCTAGTTTTATGACTTATGCTTCAGCCCGATGTTTTTTTCCAAGATGCATTGTCTTGAATAAAGCGCCTAAGATGAGATGTACTTTACAACTTACAAAACTTACCCGAGACTCGCAAAACTCACGATAGATTGGATGCCAAAATTTGAAATTTCGCAAGCGAAATTCTCTCCCGCACATTTTTAAGTTTCCTCTAGCTGTGGAAATCAGCAGTGATCAGCTAGAGATAAACAGGGAAAAACTTGCTTCGGCGAGGTGCTCAATACTTTTGAATGTTTTTTTTTTCTTACGTAGGCGAGTGAATTTACATAAAAATTGAGCGGCAGCCGGACATCATTCAAGTAGAACTACGTCACTTGATGCCCCAATGTGCTTCTCACGCACAGCACGCAATATTACGACATCAGTGCTGTAGAGCGACGAAGTTTCCTTCGCATCAGCTTGATCCTCTATAAAACTGGTATCTATTCTAATCTTTAATCGCTGTTCGTAAAAATCGCATCAAATACGTGCAATTTATACCGTCTTTTTTGTTGCTTTATTGACTGTTTACATGTTCAAATAAATCAGTACATTATGAATTAACGAATGTGAGACGTTCGTGACCGCACATAAATAAACATAGGCATGCGTGGCATCCAAGAGTTTTTTTTTTCGGCTGGGCGGGTTGAGATGGGACACTGTGTAACTTTTAAACGGACGAAAATATCGCGTTACTTCAACTAAGAGAGAGGAAAAAACTGATTTATATGAACTCGCAAAGTTATTTTGTGGTCTACTGTCTAAATACTTGAAAGGCCATCCCCATAAAAAAAAAAAAAAAAAAAAAAAAAACTAAGAAAAAAAAGAACAAACAAATACAAGAAGTATCTGAATTGGAGGCCTATTACCCCTGCAGTCTGAAAACAACAAGACATGAACCCAAAATCAATATGGCGGAAAGGTTGGTTGATTTTATTGTAAAATTATGACAACGTTGGAAAAAGGATCGACCACCTAAACTCCTATGCGCCACACCAGCATCCCTCACTTTTCAACAAATGCTTGAAAAGGAAGTCCTGGTTATATCAAACATTACGGCTTCGTACCGGGTTGGTTTTAAGAACTTGGTAAGCGATTACCTACAGACTTCGTAGCCGTGAGACTGAATGACTCGATTGGTAACTTCAAGTTACAGGATCCTTCATCGGATATTGCATCAAAGAGCAGGATGACGTTTAAAGTTAATATTATCATCTCAGTTGATTAACAACGAGGATGACGTGAAAAGTGAATATTTACGTATTTGGACTAACAAAATGTACAATATACTGTAAAAAGTGTTCCTGTTTTTGTTCCTGTTTTTTTCTCTATGCTGTTACTGTACTCATTTTTCAGATTAAAAGAATTATTTAAAGTGAAAATTGTTTCACAACGTCGTTACTTTTTTCTTTTTTTCTTTTTTTTTTTTTTTTAAATGCCAAAAATTTGGGTCGGTCGGACGACAGTAAACGGAGAAAAAAAATGGCCTAAGCAAAAATAAAATGCATCGGTGCCACACTTATTGCTGTTTCCCTCGCAGTCGTTTTTTGGTGTCGTCGCACAACGCCATGTTGAGAGAGAGCGCGTTGTGTAATGAGACCAAATAAATGTTGCGAAAGAGACTACGCTTACTGCAGTTCCTCTGACAGAGAGAAAATCAAAATTATTCGTCTACAGTTACTTGCCTCAAAAATAAAATTCCAGGTAATTTTACTACGAAAAGCAAACTGAAACTCTGTTGTATCTCCAATAGACCCTAGCCAAAGACATATCGCAATCTCGAATAAGTGAAGATATATCGAGCAAGAGAAGAGGATCATATTTCAAAGATTGCTCCCCGATTGGTTTTTTGCCTATCTGAATTTTGCCCACTGTGTGTGAAATACGTGATAAAATGCAGGTTATTTACAGGGGAATGACGAGCGATGGAGCGGAGTATAATTTGGCAAAATGGAATTTGCTGGGTGGAATACAGTTCAGGCGCGTGAAAAATTGCCCAGTGTTCATGTAGTGCAATGATTGGGTATGTTCTGAATGGACTTTGAACATTGTTTTCATGGTACGTGATGTTATGTAAGTTGTTTGACGTGTAAGTTGTGAGTAAAAGAGCGGATAAAACACCTTTTAACTTAAAAATGACACAAAGAGGTTAACTGCGAACCTTTCATGTCCCGATAAATCTCGACCTTAATCAACGAGGCTCTTGATAAGGACACAAATCATTACACTTATCAAAACTAGCCCAAAGTTTATGGTTTATGTCATTCTTTGTGCACAGCCACCTGGTTTCATGACATCATTTGTAAGAAAGCTGTGGTATCATTGGTGCGAGATACATACCCGATCACGCTCTGATTGATGCACCATATCCAAATGCTGTGATATGATTGGTCCGAGATGCGTACCTTTAAGCGGCAATCTGATTGGTGCGAGATACATACCCAAATACGGCGATCTGATTGGTACGAGCAACATACCACTCTACATGCTAACATAGAGTTATTTTTATATAAGAAAACAGAACTAAAAAAGATAGCGAAATGAAAGGAAAGAAAGCAAACAAAGAAAGGGTAAGCCCGAAGTTTTTTTTAAGCGAAATGAACCCTGCTGTGTTAAGGGTATTACAATCTGGCAAACCTTGATATAATGAATACACAGATTCGAGAATAGGAGGTCTTCTTGTCATAAAGTGTGATGTAAAGGCGTCAAGAGAAAATTACACGGGAATTGTGAAGTGGAACACCGGTTAATTTTTTGGGATTGTGCATAATACGAACATCAATGACACACTCTGTCGGCTGCGCCTTGCATGCGACTTAATTATGAGCTTATGGTTTGTGCTACACTTTTGTTCTCAGTACATTTTGACGTCAATTATTTCAGAACACACACGACGACATGGTATTTATCTGTAAGATAACTTGTAATTAGATCGTGTTTGGGCTCGTACGTATAACGAACCCCAGTACCTTAATTAAAATCGTTATTTGATGGACTTCGCTCAGAGCGCATTCATTGAACTCGTTATAAATGTCAATCAAACAGGAATAATCAACGTATCGTACAGTTTCCAACACCTTTTATTAATCTAGAAAAACAAATCTCTGCAATCACATCTGCAGGTCAACTACTGAGCTGAACATATAAGACGACTTTTAGAGCATCTAGCTAATTAACCGATCTCACTTAAAGATCTATTTGTCAAATGTAAGATTGAGAATCTCAGAAAATATTAGCTAAATCTTCAAGACCTACATGTGGGTAAAGAAGTCGATTCAATATTGCTTCAATATTGAGGAAGGCGATTTAATATTGTCTTTGGTTTCTCACTCTTAAATGAAATAATGTAAAAACAGTCTTCTAAGTCGACAATCATCAAACCATCTACCAAAACCTTTTATAGCCTGCGGATTCATAACTCAGCTGAAGCTCTTATTCAAAAGATTCCTTTACATGATATAATATTTCCACTTTCATTTTTGGTAGCTATCAGATACGACTGCGACTATATATATGCAAAGTATTGGCTAAGTTGTAACTTTGTGTATAAATAAATGTCTCTATCATTCCCATCATCGTCGTTAGCTATTTCCAACAACAACAAACAAAGTTTTTCTGTACCACATAACATGTTAATACAACCATATCATATAAATTTTAATCTACACTTAATGTGCAAGGGTACCGAGACCCAAAATACTAACCACGGGTTTAAACCCTTAGCCCGTAAGAGTGACTAGCATCTAATTTCTCCCAGTATATAACCCCTGCATTACACAGTAAGGTCATAAGAAAAAAGAAATGATCACCAACTAAACATTCTCTTGATTGATAAACAAATTCTCCTTGTCAGCACCTTAGGAAATGTATAGAGAACAGTATGGAGAATATGCATGGTGATGTTAGGGTGTAAATGTTTAAGGAAACTGACTGCCAGTATGCATTTAAATATATATAGAAATCATGAGGTGGGTACAAACCACACAAGTTACATTCACACGTATACAAACAAAGTATCATTACGCAAAAATAACAAAAACAGGATCGATAATTATCTACATATATATGGTGTGCTGTTAAAGTAGAGAGAAAGAGGGATACTTATTTGCAACAAGGGTATCACATATTTATGGTTCTTGAAATCAGATGTATAAAATTCCTGCTAGTTTTGGAGATTATAAGTCTGTTTTGAGCCAAGCGTGTATTGTGCCTATGTGCCTGTTGAACGTTTTTGAAAAGTACCCTCACAAGTGTTGTCGTTCTCATTATCGTTATAATAATAGTCAGTCTACAATATCGTGTTCCCTAATTTTTTCATTGGCTTTTATACTTTTTATAGAAATAATCTCGTAACTTAGTTAAACCGAAGTAAATCAGATGCAAAATCGGCAGAACCACGAGAAGAAAAACCACAAGAAGAATTGCGGTGGTCGTCGGGAAATCACCGTAATTCAACGCAGAGTAGATGTAAGGTTTACCCTGATTATTGGTACCTCCAGCCAGCCAATAGAAAACCGAGAAAAGAATGTATATGACTAAGTACAACAAAGCGTACACCCAGTGGAAGAGGCGGATTGGAATCGAGCTCAGAAAAGTGTCAATCACCATGAAAACAGAGTTGAGCGCATGCTTTGTGATGTTATTGGCATCGACAGTGTCGTTTTCGAAGAGAATGGTCCAGTATCCAGCGGTAATCCATAGTCCTGCTGTTGCTGAGATGACGTAGATGACCCAGAAAATTTTATGATGCAACCGCAGATTATCAACTTCGCGGGCGTTGGTGCGATTAGAGTCGTCACCAGTCCCAATCTCTATGTATTCATCTGGTCCGTCCTTGCCGCTTGCTTTTGGAACAGCTTCGTTCTGCTTCTTTACATCTTTGTAAAGGGCAATACAGGATAGAGTAGTTGCGTAGACAAAGTAGATGTTTAAGATAAGGAAAGTCCAGTTTGTTAGGTAAATAAAAAGCTTGGCTCCGAACAGGTACATGTTGTAGAACAGCCATCCAAGGTTGTAGGCAGTGACTATCACACGGTACGTCACAAAAACAGGTAAAGACAGCCACTAATAAGAAGGAAAAAGCAGATAGAACGCAAAATGATTAACCGTTTAACTCCCAGAAGTGATAAACACGTAACTTCTCGCCACAATACGCATACATAATCCAGACACCGGGTAATGAGAATACTCAGACTTATCAGGTAGGAGTTATTTCAATTTAACACCAAATTCTCGTTACTAATTCATAAAGAAATGTGTAGAAGCTAGAGGGGAGAATTAACAATAAGATCTTGGGATTGAAAGAGTTACTCTTATGTATAGGTAATCACATGAGGCCAAGTACTATTAAGGATTAATTGCACGAGAGTTTTCAAAATTTTCCAAAATTTTGAAAACTCAAGGTACGAGGTCTCAGAATTAATCAATAAGATTTATACGAAGGAAAATTACGCGGCAGTCGCTATGAAATTAGCCAATCATTAACAGGTAATCATGCTCTTATCATTTATTATCGATACAATTAAAAGACAGAGATGTTGGCTTTGGCGGGATATGGAATAAAAGTGGAAACCTTAGTACTTGACCTTGGGCAAGAGCATATAAACTGTTTATACTCCCATGTTTTGGCATATTCCTCCTTTTTTCTGAGTCTTTTTTTCGGTCCTGCGTGGCAACTTTAGATGTAAATGTGAACTCTTTTGGTCGTATCATCACTGAAGTTTTCCAGCTGTTTTTTTATTTTTTTAATTTACGCTGAGCACAAAAACCTAGAAACCATCAGAGTGTAAAGCTGTAGTAGCGAAGAAGGATTGCAACGCTACACTTTTGTCTGTAAAAAGATTTCACTCAGTCGTAAATCCTTTTGTTTGCGTATGGAGTTAAGGAAAAGTATATTTCATTTTCTTCTACAGTCGGGGGAACATTTGGATCACACCTCTCTCCTTCCAATTGCTTATTCAAAATGTTCCTATGTAGCCCGCCTTTGATATTGAGAAAAAATCACGATAACGACTTGTTTTGAATAGCTGGGAATTTTGAAATAGTTAATATTTTCATAATCCGATAAACTACTTACACCTTCACGTATGAGGTCAAGGTTGAAATCACTTCAGAAATTAATACCGTTAAGGAAACAAATAACTCGAAGTCACCTCAGTGAGTGCTTAGAGTGAAAAATCTTTGATCTCAGTAGCGAATTTCGATCACAAATCTTACAGTGAAATATAGAACTCTGAAATTTGGTCTTCCCGATATGGCGATATAGCGTTGTAGATATAGGAACAATCTGTTAGATATTTAAGATGTTTTTCATAAAGTTGTCTCGTTAATTTGCACGTCTTTCGAAATTTAGAGAAGACAGCTTTATCACCTTGACAACGAAGTGCCTTAAGAATGCAATTTTACAGTTAGAGCGGTTGGGTTGGTTCGTCAAGAAGATAAAAAAAGGAGAGAAAGCCTAAACTCAGGAAAAGCTAGGTTATGGGCATTAGTTTGTTAGCTGTTCTTCAGCTGTTTTCTGATCCAAGCGTAGGCGATATATAAATAGAAACAGATTATAATTTCTCTAGTGAAATTTGAAATGCAAATTTTTAACAATAGCGAAGTTGCGAGATTTATGGACGTCCTTTCCATCTCCTTGATTTTCCCAGGAAATGTTAAAGATAGGTTAGATTATGAAAATAATTTTATGGAGATGGCCTAAATTACTGAAGGTTGAGACAAATATGGATCTTTTAGGGAGAGATTGGCAAAGCTGCCGAGTTAGAATTCTAATGAAAATATTACCGAAATTTTTCAAAATGAACACCCTTTCAATTTCGTACGATCTCTATTTTGTTTATAATGTACGAAACTGATTGAGTCTGTTGAGTTTTGGAAATAGTAAAGTGAGCTCTCTTGCCACATTTTTAATGCACTCTGTTCATAATTCAATGCCTAGATTAATGTGTAATTTGCTTCTTATTCAACTTACCCTCGATTCCGAGAAGTCTCGTTGAAATGGATGCCAAAATTTAAAATTTCTCAGGCGAAACTCTTCCCCACACATTTTCGAAACTGCTTGAATTCAGTTCGGGATCGTAGTTCACAGGCTGACAACCAACAAGTGTTTGCACTGTGATTGTCACGTCAAATAGATTTATTTGATCCGTGGGTTTGTGAATTAACAAGAAATGTTAATAAGCTTAGGGTCCTCAAAGTCACGCGCCTTGCAACCGGTTATTTATTGTGACGTAATAGCTCTGTCAAGTCACGTCTCAGGTTACGTCAGAGGACATCCGGTGGCGAGGTGTGAGCGCGAGTCGAACCCGCGATAGGATAATATACTATAAACACTAACAGCTTAGTACAAACTTTTGCGAGGTCAAATGGACTGTTTTCTCCCAGTTTAAGATAACAATTACTCTACTTATAAAGGTAGGGTAAGGTAAGGTAGCTTTATTAATACACGGTATTTCCTTCAGGTACATTAAATTTACATTCCGAGAAAACTAACTTCCTAACTAAACTAGAATCTAAGATAAAATAATTGAGATGAACAGAAAACACCTGCTTTTCAAGGAGGCCATGTGTAAGACCGCCATCGAAAGAGGAAATTATTAATGCTTACAACATTTTTTAACTGAATGGCTTATGCTTATATGCTATTTCCATTCATATTCCCAACACCAACGTAAGGAAGCTCTATTGGTGCTTCTAGATAAGATACGTGTCAATTTTATCGTGTGAAAATGATAGCCCCCCCCCCACCCACCCCGCCCTCTACCGACTGTGACATTCGTACATATCTCATTTTATCCTTTCCGTAGGGCGAATACAATTGGAGCTCGCTTGAAAGAGCACTCTGTGCTTAAGTTAAAATTGGAACGACATAATCTACCTTCGCATAGAGTGAACAAATTTAGCGATTTTTTTTTTAGATCATTTGCAATATTCTTGAATGACCGATCACCTGCGTTCTTCCCATTGAATCTTTTCGTTTTCATATTTGCTCGATTGATTCCTTTTGATACCGCGAATGTTTGTGATAATATTGCAAATTTGCGGTTGATTTTAGGGTGCATTTTGTATCGGACCACAATGACGTTAACTCGCATTTGTGCAGATCACTCTCGCGCAAAGTGATAAATATTTGACGCCGACTTGAATGAAACGTGAAAACATGTATAATTAACAGTAAGGGACCAAGAAAATGAGCCACAGGAGACCTAAGCGATGAAAGAAAATGGACTATTGAAAAACTTTTAGGATGGTTAGATTTTAATCCAAAACGAAACTAATATATGTACGTGAGAAGCATTAGCCAATGTGCATTCAAGTGTTACTCTGCAAATTAAACATAGGCTATACTTAAGCGCAAAGATGTTGTCACGTTCAAAAGCATCTGCAGGAAATAAGTCATTCTTTGGGAACCTCGCATCGACTTCCCAACACGTAGGCTCGGTAGATTTTTTTCGGAAATTTCCGACTTTTAAAACGGTTCTGAGCTAAGCCCACTCAGTATTCCAGAGTTCCGAGGTGGCTTCGCATGACTTCACGTCGTTTGCCATGCGCAGGAAGAGTCCTAAGGCTGAGATTGACTAATGATTGTCCTTATGCTTACTTATGCTTAGCACAGCGGTAAAATGAGAGCGCATGCTCTGTGTAATCGGTAGGAATGGGGCAATTAGAATGCTGAGGGCAGTCGTCCTTCCTTTTAAGGATCTGATCTGACCATACCTTTTCTAATTCCTCTCTCCATCGTTTTTGGGCCTAATGAAAGAAAAGCAAATTAAAAAAAAAAACGAAATAAAACGCCAGTGAAAAGACCAAGTAGCAACTTGTGAGTAACGACAGAGGCAGAAGAGACTTTCAAGGAAACATAAATGGATTTATTCCAGAAACATATTAACATCTTCAACGTATTCACGTTGAGTAAAAAAAAAAAAAAAGTAATAATAATAATAATAATAATAATAATTATAATAATAAAAACTGCTGGTTTTTTATCAGAGTGGGTGTGAAGTAATTTCAATAAAAGCGGGTTACCGACGGTCGACCGCCGCCTAATAAAAAGAACGAAACATTTCCGTTTTACCTGTACTTATGCTGTGAGTGTTCTCACTTGTTTCTCTCAATTGTTATACTAATGCTTATAAGTATACTTATGCTTGTACTTGGGTTTATGCGTTAGCGAAAGCCAGCCTTATAGCCTCTCGCCGCCGCCGTTTCGCCTGCATGCGGGCTCTCGTGTTTAGGTTTTGCCTAACGGGCTTTTTATGGACACAGTCTTCTATTATACTGTACTACTTATGGAAAAAGTTATTGAAAGACGTGGAGGAAGTGCAAACGGAAGAGGCAACTGTTCAAATTCCTTTTCAAGAGAGGAAATGTAAGGAGAGATTTAGTCATTGTGTTGTGTTCCTCGAAGGCAATCTCTCAACTTGACGAGACCAAACAACATCAGTTGTAAAACTGGCAGAACAAGGAGAAGAAAAAAAGCTACCAGCCAGCCAGTGGACGCTTCGAAGTTGTTGTAATCAAGTAGTTCGTAGATATGAGGCTGCCCTTGAATGTTAGTGCCGCCCAGCTGCCAATAAACCACAGTAAAGGCCAAGTATACGAAGGTATAAACCAGGGCGTATATAAAATGGAAGAGGCGTACTGGGATCGAGTTAAGGAATGTGTCAATCACCATGAACACGGAATTGAGAGCGTGCTTGGTTATATTGTTCAGGTCGACTGGTTCGTCTTCTTCATACAGCACTGTCCAGTACCCTACGGTCACTAATAAACCTGCGTTGGCACTGATGATGTAAAGAAGCCAAAAAAATTTGTGATGAAACCGCAGAGCATCTTCATCGTGAGCTACTTCAGTCGCGGTTTCACTACTTTCGGGTTTGTCGTCACCAGATCCCATCTCGACCGCGACGCTCGACTCTGGTTTGTCGTTAGTATTGGGGTGAGTTCCACGGCTATTTCGGTATTCGTTACAAAAAGCGCAAAGGGAGAGTGATGTGGCTTGCAGGAAAAACAGGTTGAGGATGAGGTAAGTCCAATTTGTCAGGAAAATGAACAGCTTAGCCCGGTAGAGGTAAATGTTGTAGAGAAGCCAGGCGAAATTGTAACCAGAGACAACCAAACGGTAGGCAAGGAAAAAGGGCAAGGACAGCCACTAACAAAAAAAAAAAATTAAGTCAGAGATAGATCGTTATTTATCTCCTAGGGGGAGGGGACGGGGGAGGGGAGGGTCGGGTTATTTTGGCTTGTCACGATAAAATTTACTGATCCCGATAAAGGGCTCTTTATTATTCTTATTATCCCCTTTCATTGGCACTTCAAGTTAATGGTTAATTTTATTTAGTCCTCCGTGTAAACTCCATAAGCGACGACTAATCTCCCACCGTTCCCCCTGGGAGCCATGTAATCCTCCAAATCCTCCACATACCCCACCCCTTCTCCCCTAGGTGGTTCCTAAGCAAACAAGGAACTTATTTAACTATTACAGAGTTCCGGGTAACAGATATTATGATAGGACGAGAAGCTATTTTTCCATGCGCGACTGTAAAACAGTGGCGTGATGTGACCAAAAACCTGTGAGCTCCTTTGCTTACCTAAATTCGTTTCGAAAGTGTCTTATAATTAGCGTGGCTCACGAAAGACTTATCTTCGTAATCATGATTTTGTAGTCTACGAGACTTCTTAAAATGTTCTTACACTTCACCCTCTTTGTATTCCACCGTCCCTGTTTGATTCCAATGGCTGCTTGAAATCTGAATGCGTAGGCAATTTAGCACAGCACCTGTTCTGTTTCAATGTATTTTTTCAATTTGTCTATTTTTATATTTTTTTTGCAATCTTTTATTTTTTTTCGCTGATTTAGCGCCATTACTACGAGATGATTAGGAAACGCCATAACCAAGCATTTTTGACGTCTGGAGTGTAATAAAACCCCAGACACACGTATTTATCACAGATACAGGCAGATACCTCTACCCATACCACCTGCAAGTATCAGTTTTCCTTCCAAGCAACCAAAAACTTGCTCATCGCGATACGAGCCCAGAACTGAGGCTGAAATGTAGGCCATATTTTTTTGGAACTCCGACTACACCACTTCAAATCCCATCTTTCAATCTCCTTTTTCGCCTTTGAATGATTTCATAAACTTCACAATGCAATTTTGTTATTTGTTGCCAGTGATAGATGGGTAGGTGTAAATAAACCTTTTTTGCCGGTCTTTTAACGATGGCAAACAGTGCTAGTAAATCTTAATTTATCAGTAGATCAGTCATGCATCCGAATAAGTTTGGACAGACTCACGTACCGTGTAAAATTACCCACTCTTGCCCAGAGCACCAGATCTTGCGTAATTGTTTAGTAAATAATCATCGAGGTGACCACAGATCAATATTTGAACTTACCCGGGAATGTGTAAAATCTCGCAGGATCGGGTGCCATAATTTAAAGTTTCGCAAACGAAATTCTTCTCGACACATCTTTCAAGGTGGACGTTAGCGATTAAAAGCTCCTAGTTTCTTGCCTCCAAATTGATACAAAGAAACAAACTAAAATAAGAGATTGTTTAGATAGAGAGAGTTTATCAATTATTTAAAATGTTTTTCATGAGCTATTTTTGTCCATTCAAGCAACCCTAGCAACTAGGCTAGAGTCACGCAAAATCTGACATTGTAAAAGAAAAACATATAAACACAAGAGCAAAACATTCGTGAAATCATGAATTTTTTAGGAAGCAAATCGGTTAAAGAGAAAAAAAAAACCAAAACCAAACAAAAATCAGGGAATGTCCATTCTGGCCTGGCTGCTAAGCGGTAATTTATCCGCGCGTTCCTGGAGACGAACAAGATCTAAGATGGTGGGTTTTACACGTGTGTTTCGTTTTGATGTTTACGTTCGCGTATTTTGCTCTTTTAACCAAACTAATTTGGGTCTTTTTATTTTTTATAAGCAGTTAAGGAGACAGGCAAGGCTCAGGAGAGAATACCTTTATCGAAAGTCCACCGAGGACAAGGAACGAGTGACTTATGAGAGAAAGAAAAAGTTGAAGACTGCTTTGGAAGGTAAGCGAAGGAAGCTTTTATTCGACGAGAAATGTACCATGCATAAGTTTCATTGAATATGAAGGTATTTCACGATCTATGACAGAAATGAAAGTCTATATTCTTGTCTTAACTTTTATCGAAATCGCTGTCTTTGAAATGCAAGGTCTTCAGAGTATGGCAGAACTCAACCAAATCTCGTGCCTGCAATTGCAAAGGAGATTCTTCCGTGTGAAATGTATGAAAAGAGGGGATAAAATCACGCGGGCATCTGCCATACTCTGCAGGCAAGCGAAGTGATGGTCTTAGTTCTTGGAACACCTACATGGAACACACACATGGTACATAATGCAAATATCCTGATTTTAGTTATTGTTTAACAAACAGATTTCCTGTTGTATTACGTCTGTTCAGTAACAAATCACAAATGTCAAAATGTGGTAAGAACAGTTCAGTAGTGCACTGGATGAAATACTACAGCCTTGGATATCATGGCTAATTAAAAAACAACCACCTGTGCATGCTTTTGATCTTGCACACAACAACAGTTTGTATTTTTATGATAATGACGTCAAGAATGTTGGTGCTTAGTTGCATACTCTCATCTGAAGTTACTTTTAGCATAGAATGTCAAGTCATTCTTTATTTGCCTTTCCAGAGGGAAAGCCAATTCCAACAGAGTTGAGGAAGGATGAAGCTGCACTAAGAAAGGCCATTGAATTTGATGATGAGAAACATGAAGGTGAGAATACTGTTGTTGCTGTGATTTGTTTAAACAATAAGTGTTTTATTATTGTTTTTGTTGACAGGTTCTGTATAGCAAAAACAGGGAATAATAACGAATCAGTACATAAGCAACTGCACCCTTACCCCTCCCCTCCCCTAACCCAACCTTAACCCCAACTGGTCATCAGTTTTCTGTTGTTGGTTTGGGGGAGGGGTAGGTGTGTAGTTGCCCAGATGCTGACAGTGATCCACAAATCTTTTCAAAATATTGTTCTGTAATTTCACACACAATAATGAGATGTTAAGATTGAACTGAAATGATCTAGTGTTTATGTCATTCACTTGTGACCAAACTTTTCATTAACATTTTAACTTTCAAGATCTGATTGTTAATTCTCCCTGCTAGCTGCTATCCATTCTTTTAAAATCAGGGATGAGAATTTGGTGTTAGATCAATATAACAACTACCTGATAAATTTGAGTATGCTTATTACCTGTTTTCTGGATAATGTATGAATCTTTTAGGGAGAAGTTACATGTTAATCACTTAAGGGGTGAAAGGGTTAAAGAATCTGCAGGTTTGACAAGGGGGGTGGAGGAGGGGGTTTAGACATTCAGATCCTCCCTCTGAATCCTTTACTGTACCGACTGTTTACAAAAGGATAATATGGTAATCAGTTGTTTACTTGTGTATGTTTAGAGACTGGCTCTCACCAGGATGATGAATATGCCTGGGCGGGAGTGCGAGATCCCAAGATAATGATAACAACATCTCACAGCCCAAGCTCAAGGCTGAAACAGTTTGCTAAGGTAATAACTATGGTATTATTGAACAGACACGTGCAAGGTTTCCATAACACTTTGCAGAAGTGGGTGCCAATGGTGCAAAACAAAGCTGTGTCGTAAGGGAAAATTCAAAGATAAGAATCTGCTCCCTGGCTAAACAGACAGCAGTGAGGGGTCTTACAGGTGGTGGAAGACTGCTGATGACTAGTTTTAGTTGAAACTGCAGCATGTGTATCCCTTGGATCTTGGTAGTTCTAGAACTCATTTGTGTTACTTTTGTCAAGAAAATCAAGTGATTGAAACTCAGGACCGATAACTTGTTATGCTAGATTTCAAGTCATTTGAAATGGTTATAACTGTTGGATTTGCATTGAAAGTAAAACAAGTCAATTTGAAATTTTTGTTAATTTGTTAGCAGGATACAATCCCAAACTCAAAGAAAACAGATGAACTACCAAAATGATTTTCATTTTTCCATTGAAAAAGGTGCTATATAAAGGCAAACAATAAAAATACACATATTGTTTGGCTACTAAAACAGGTTTAAATTGAAGTGGTCCTTTTAACAGAGTGGACAAGTGTAATTGACCCATCATGGCGTGCACTATAAGTTAGATCTACTGATCATAAATTTTTATGGCTTAAACTGGTGTCTTATACTTCATAACACCTATTTCTTTTACCCCACAGGAACTACGATTAATTTTTCCTAACAGTCAGCGATTGAATCGTGGTAACTATGTGATGAGTCAACTGATTCAGGCTTGTAGAGCTAATGAAGTTACAGACTTAATATTGGTTCATGAGCACAGAGGCGAACCAGGTATGCCTTGGAAAGTTTTCCCTTTTTATTGCAAAATGTTTCAAATTCTTTTGATGCAGGACCTGTCAAAGTGAAAATTAACATCTTTTCTTTTCTGAGTGCTCATTCATTGGAGCTGGCTAATGAATGAACTTGAGATATTTTTTAATGGTTTATTTTAACTTATTCTTTGAGTATTGTCAGTTAGCAGTATTCTTCAACCAGTACTGCAGATATTTGCTATTTAATTGCAAACTAGAATTTATTAACCCCTATTCACACAAGTATATGTTGATGCCTCGATGAGGCTAGCAAAGAGACTGTTAAAATCGTATGGCATGGCTCTGTTTAAAAGCTTGGAACTGGTTATTTTAACCAGCTCATCAAATAATTATTTTACCAGCTATTTCAAAGAAAATATATGCAGTTACAGAGCCAATTAACTAAAGGTAGTTTTGTTCAAACACAAAAATCCATTGTATCCAATAAGAAATCTCGCTACTCTTCTGCAAATCAATACAGCAAAGATACCTCTTTGGTGATATCAGCTTGAAAATACATCATGTCTTGAAGAAATCCTGCTTGACTTCAGTGGTCGATTCATCTCTTGATATGACAACATGCATGATCCATTACTTTTATTTATGTTCCTATCACAGCTAAACTAAAAATCACATCAGTTCGTGCAACCCCCACACCCTCAGCATGAAGGGCAGGTGACAAGATTATCTCTAAATTTTTTTTTTTTTTTACATTCTATGAAAAAAAATTGGTTAAAGCTTTGCTAAGATGGTTTCCTGTCCGATGCTTTTGTCAGTTCTCATTGCTATTTTGCTGGATAATGTGTTAATCTTGTGTGAAGAATTTGGATGTTAACAATTTTGCACCACATTCCTTTGCAGATGGTCTGGTTGTCTCCCATCTCCCATTTGGTCCCACGGCTTATTTCACCTTATCAAACACAGTCATGAGACATGATATTCCTAAAATTGGCACCATGTCAGAGGCATACCCGCATTTGATTTTTCATAACTTCAATTCGAAACTTGGAGAAAGGGTAAGTGTGGAAATAATCAGGGTCCAGTTGTTCGAAGGCCAACTAGCGCTAAGTCTGTGAGTAGTGGGAACCTACTGGCTAAAAAATAATTTTGCCCCCTGCACTTTGTGAATTGTGATGAAGGACAAGGAAAAAAAAGTACCTTTGAACTGAGTCCAACATAAACATCTGGCTGAAAAAAAGGACTGAAATATATCCCGGAATGCTAGAAATCACGTCTCAAGAAAATTCAGTATACTTCTTTCAGTCAACAACAAAGGAATAAAGAGTGAAAGGGGTAAGTTTGGAAATAATCAGGGCCCAGTTGTTCGAAGGCCAACTAGCGCTAACCCAAGATTAAATTTTTATCCAGGTCTCTTTATTCCTTTGTTCAAAAGCTCTTTTGGGGTTATTTTCTCTATTCTGTGTGGAGCATCCTATCATTAAATTGTTGACCAAAAGAAGTATACTGAATTTTCTTTGAAAGCTTTCAGATCTGAAATCAGATTTCACACTGTCCTAGGGTTATCTTAACCTAGCTTTAAACAAGCCGAACGGGGTGCTCTAGCTCATGAAAAATATAAATTTATACATGTAAATCTCTTATTTCTAGCATTCTGGGATATATTTCAGTCCTTTTTTCAGCCAGATGTTGATGTTAGAATCAGTTCAAAATTACTTTTTTTCTTGTCGTTCATCACAATTCACAAAGTGCATGGGGCAAAATTATCTTACAGCCAGCAGGTTCCCTCTACTCACGGGCTCCTAATGACAGCCTTGAGTTATGCAACACTTTTGCCCATTTTTTGATGGATTATCCCACTTTCCTCATATGACACCACGAGATGTGTGATTAGGGAGTTAAAGAAACGACGAGGTCGACGCCGTGGACAACGTCGATTAAAAAGTGAACTTATGTTTTACTTACGAATCTCGCGACGCTCTAAAGTCATTTAGGTTGTTTCTCGCTGTCCAAACTCTCGAAACTTGAATATGGAACACAGCGTTAAATTAGAAAAAGAAATTAAAAAAAATAGCCGTCGTCGCTCACGTTCTCCAGACAACGCAAAGTTTGGTCATTTCACGTTGTTGTTTTGCAGGGGACGCAAAGCCATTGTTCTGCTTATTAGACCCTTTTTTTTGTGACGTTGCCGTTGCCGTCGCCGTCGTGGTTTTCTTAAACTCCTTGATATGTATATGGTACAGAGACAGTTGTTTTCATTTCATGCCAATCTCTTTGAAGTTGATATGTACCTGCATGTGTTATGCTCCTGCAATGTGGCACGCGTAGTGCATAGATACACCAAGAGATAAGTATTATGAAAGGCTGTGGCATTTTGATTATGCTCTTTTTTTTCTTTTAATAGGTCAAAAGTATTCTAAAGTATTTATATCCAGTCCCTAAAGACGAGAGCAAAAGAGTGATCACATTTGCAAACCAGGAAGACTATATCTCATTCAGGTTAGAGATTGTATAGGTGTTCAGCACATCGAATTGTAGATGAAGAGCAATTTAACAAAAGAGCGTCGAAAGTAATCCGGCATTGCATTGGTATAGCTTTACTCTGCTCTGTGCTTGGTGCGGAAAACTCGTGCCGCATTCTTGGCCAATCAGATGCAAAACTGAAACCAATCACGACTTGGTCACCCGCGTCTTCCCGCGCTTCAGGCAGTTTGGTTCTTTTTACTTTGAGTTCTCATTGGCTCTTAAAATTATTCTTCTTTCTTCTGGTTGGCCGTTGTGATTCCTTTGGTTTTGGATGTACGACACTCAATAGAAAAGCGCTCAAGAACAAAGTACATTTCCACAAGGAACGAATAAGAATTCAAAGTAGCATCAAGGAAACTGTTTGAAGCGCGAGGAAACGCGGGTGACCAAGTCGCGATTATCTTTTGCTTTGAATCTGATTGATTGAAAAAGTGGCGTAAGTTTTCAGGACCATTGCGAAGTAAATTAAAAACAAAGCGATACCTGACATTCATTAGTCTTAAAATACCTTTGAAAATTGTGAATTTAGTTCAGAGATTGGAGAATTCTCAGCTTTAATGGTTGCAGCTGAGGGAAATAACGAGAGTTTTGGGTCGTGTCGCATTGACAGGATTGTGCGAAGTTTCGGGACCAAATTGAAGTCGAGAAAAACCAAAGTAATCCTTTGTTACTTTCGACAGTCAGTATAAAATTGCTTAGTAGGCGTGTAATATTAATTTATTTGAAACATTGTACCAATTTTCTTTTCTACCAGGCACCACACATACAAGAAAGTCGATGGACAGGTTGAATTAGCAGAAGTAGGGCCACGATTTGAAATGAAAGGTAATTTTTGTAACTGAGTTAAAATTTGTCACTTATTCAGTGCCATCCTCTAAGGAAAAGCAGGGTAGCAAGCTCGGCTCTTTGCAAAGTCATAATTGGGAGACCTAGAATCATAAAATGGTCATCAGAAAGAGTCTTGGTCGTCGGGGAAAAAGGATAACAACACTTTGAGCGCCCTTCGATGCCCTCTCCGCGTAAACAAGATTTCGCAAATGAACAAGTAGGTCAAGGGAAAACGTAAAGTAACTTCTTTGAAAAGGCCTCCTCGAAAACACTCGCTGGTTGCGAGAAGGCTCTCGCGCTTTGATTTCGCCTAACGGCCCCTTTTCCTTGCACAGCCGCCAACAACAGCCGCTTATGAAAAAAGTTATTAAAATCCTTGCGGAAGTGTTCAGTGTCTAAAGCATTTACCACAAACTTAAGGCTAGGAAAGGGTTGAGAATTGTATCCTTTTCCCTTTCAGTTTATGAAATCAAGCTTGGAACAGTTGATCAGAATGAAGCTGATGTGGAGTGGAGGCTACGACCCTACATGAACACATCCAAGAAGAGAAAAGTGCTTAGTAGCTAGACAGACTGGACTTTAGGTAATTAGAGAAGATAGGTGATAATGTTAGGAAACACAAAAACTCAATTGTTGATTTACATGTACAGCCATGAATGGATCATTTCTATTGAATATCTGTTTTCTTTATTTTACAACTGTTTTACTATGTAACTCCTTAACCCACAAGAGTGGCTGGCTTCCAATTTCTCCCCACATTATAACCCCTAATATATCACCCCCACAATATCCGAATAAAGGAAACGATCGTCAACTGAAGATGCTCTTGACTGGTCAACAAATTTTCCTCGTCAGATCCATAGGAAATGCATGAAGAACAGTATGAAAAATATGCATACTGATGGGTTGTCTAAACGTTGGTCACCAGTCCTTTCCAGCAATTCCCTCACTCAGAGGATTAGACCACATGTGATCGCCTGTTACTCCTTTAACAGTCTGGAGAATATCGTGTTTTAGTGTAATTTCTCAAGTGATTACAGAGATTCGCGCGCCCTGATTGGTCGAGGATTGCGTTATATCACGCTATAATCTCCTTGTGTGAGATGATTATTGCACGGGCGTTTTCATCACAAATAAAGCAGAATAAATATCTTTGTATACTTTTGTAGCCAAAGCAGGCTATTGCCAATTTACGGGCCTAAAACGACGTATATGGTTGACTATTTGCTTAAAAAAAAGGTGGAAGGTTTTCATCTCGTTAGAACGTCATAGCTGGAGCCACCTAGCACCCACAGTAAAGATTAGATGACGCCATGTCCGGTCCAAAAGAGAAGGAAACTTAAAGGTCATCCCTTGAGACCGGCAGAAAACGTTTCAACGGAAGGGGAAGCATCGCAACGGAGGGTCGAGTGACAATTTTGCTACATGAGAATTAAATCTGAGCTTCGTTGATGAACTCTTTGAAAATATGAAAAGGGGAAAATAGATCATCCCTGACCCTAGAGATCTCGTTTGCCTGTAAATGTAAAACATATATCAGTGCAAAAGTTAAAGTTCATTGACTAACGAATGAAAATGTTTCCATGAGGCTCAGCCACGCCTTTCAAATGGTTGGACCAGTTTTGTCCGCATGGATCATGAGTTGGCCAGGAACTCCCGGTGTAACCGTCGAAATAATAGTACAATTTGGTGTTTAGGAATTTCGGTCCATAGCCTGTACTCACTTTTAATACTGAAGGTGCAAGTGTCTCTCTGCACGTGGCAGTCACATATTTGATGATCCGACAGTTGATGTCACCATCCTGCCAATCTACCAAGCTGCCAGTTCCCGGATGACACACCAGCCAGTTGTTTATGTTGCTCTTGATGAGGACCTGTCTGCCGAGTTGTTTCCAGAAGGAGAAGTTCATGGCGTTGTAGTCTGTTTCGTGTAATGGAGGGTTAGAAGAGATGGGAACATCTGCTTCAGCTTTTACATTCCAGTTGGGTCTGGGTGTCACTGCGTTGAAACTTTCTCTGAAAAAGCTGTAATTGGTGAAAGAATAACTCCACACTAGCGTCCAGCCTCCTCCATCAGTTTCCATGTCACAGTAAGCTTTGAAAGCGTTGGCTTGGAGCCCACCAACAGGATCAATCCAATAAACACCCGAGGGAGGGGGAAGAGGAGTTTGACTGATGAGGGGCTGGCACGAGGGAACCGCTGACGATTGAGTAGTACCTGGAAGCACAGATAATTTCTAGTGTTAGTTTTATTATTATGTTTGTTTTGTTTTGTTTTGTTTTGTTTTTTTTTTGAGGGAGAAAATAGAGAGACCACCTCGTCATTCATTATTAGCTCCTCGAATGGAACGCTGTTTGCGGGAAGTCTACACCTCGATGCGATTCTTTAGTGTAAGCAGTATTTAGTCAATGAAGTCCTAACTAGTTTCCAATCATCTTTTAAAAAGGGGGGGGGACGTTACCCCAAGACTGGAGAAAAATTTAGTGGAGTCTTGTTCTGTTGCCTTTGAGTAATTATTTATTTCATTGTTTCTTTGTTCATTTCACATCGTTCTACCAAACAACCACTCTTTGTTTTTCCGATGTTTATAGTTGTAAAGTAAGAACCCACACAGGGTGCCAGCGAAATGTCTCCTCACATGCAGCTGTAAGAAATACTGGAGAGTAACTTATGATTGATTAGTATCTACATCCCATTACCATCCCTTCTTATGGGAGTTTTCGTGCTATCTTTTAAAAAATCGGGTCCGAAGTAGTGAGTCCATTAGCCTTAGTTCTGCAACTTTGTTGTTCTTGTAGATTGAGAAATTGTGAAATTTTAGGCTCTCTATTTGAGATGGAGACTGCTCTACTTACCTAGTGAGTTAGAAACTTGAGGCAAATTGATCTGTTAGAATTGAATCAAAGAACTGTCAAGTAAGCACGAGCTAACAAACAGAATGAACGGAAGAGAACAACACTGACAACAAATAAAGAAAGTTAACAAAATCTAAGGAAAAAGAGACGACAGCAAAAAACTTTTCACGCTTTCGAAACGAGGTGTCAACTCGCTTTATGGTTCTAGTGGTTACCATGAAAATCTTCTTATCTCTAGAGCACTTAGCATTTTGCAGTTTCACAAAATTATTTTAAAAAAGTCAAGGCGTTGTAAAGAAATAAATTTCATGTTACCAAACCTTTTCAAGGTAGAACACGTCATCTTGCTGGGGTCGTTTCTGGCCTTCTTCTCTTTGTGCTGTATCAAGTAGCGAACAAGTTCTTTGATTTACCCAAAACATGGCAATTTTACAAGCTTCGCGCCTCGCACACAAGTGGGAACAAGACACAATAGAGCCTGTCTTTCCGGTCCAAAGGGTGTTTTCCTTCGAGAACGAAGTGCCATCTTTGATTTGAAAGTGAAACCCAAACAACTCTGCTTGTACCTTTGTCGTGATGATCAAGAGGAACAGAAACATCCCCGCCATAACCTGTCAAAGAAAGAAGTAACGACGAGAGTTGATGCACCCTTGTAATTTGGATTTATGAATTCATAGATTGTTTGTTTTTAATTGCCTTCTTTTTTCGCAGATTTTCTTTCCCGTGTACGTGTTTTTAAATTAAACATTGGCGCGTCAAGAGTCGAAAAAATGATTAGAAATGTTAAAATTTTTAAAACAATTTGTGTAAGTGGTCTTGTAAAGTCTTGAGTTATAAATGATGTTGAGACAAGCAGCAACATAATTGACGTAGGCTTTATGAAAAAAAAAGTGAGAAAGCTAGTTTAGACAGCTTACAATTCTGGCATTCAAACTAAAAGATCTTCCTTTATCTCGTTCACTTTAAGTATTTTCGAGTGAGACCAAGGTGTTCTCTGTTTTTGTAGGATTGATATCATTAAACGTAGCTACATGTATCGTAACAGTGAAAGATACTTGTTTCTATTCGCGGGATTTTAAGCTTGTTTTTGCATTGAGTACTATTTTGTGTTCTGACAGCTTTCTCCGCTGCAGGGAACTTTTCAAACAAAGTTTGTTTTTTCACACATCGTCTCAAAATTGGGAGAAGCGTTATGTCATAAAAGGCAGTTTCATAGACCATAATTTGTGATAAATTGCTTAAATCATACCTCCATTCTGAATCAGGCAGGATCGTAAGCTGTTTTGTAGCTTGCGCACGAATATTTCCCTTCTTTTAGATGCTACAGTTCAACTCTAATTCAAATGGAGATCACTCCCTTAAAGAACTTTGTATAGCTACTAAATTATTAAGTGAAATCGCGCCTTGCACGGAATCCTAGGGCAGTTAAACTAATTTAATTATGAAATATTAATTTGATGCCTGGAGAGGTCCAATTCAGGCAAGGTATGACAAACCGAGAAATGTTTTCAAATAACTTTGTAAACATAAAATCTTTTGTCACTTTTATGACTTATTTTTAATGGTCCGTAGCAACGCTCAGTGAATGAAACAAAATTTAAATTCTGTTTTATCATTCCTTATCGCCCACTGATATTATGTTAAACATAAACGTTATTTGTGGAGAAAAATTACAAAACAAAACAGAACGAAAAAAAAGTAGTAACAAAAAAGTTCATAACTTAGCGAATAAAAATGTTCCTGTGAGGCTTAGCGACCCCATTCAATTGATTGCGCTCGTCATGTCCACATGGATCAAGGTTAGGCCTGGTGCGCCTTATGTAAGCATTTAAGTGTCAGTAGTGGTAGGTGGCTATGAATTTTAGTCCATAGCCTGTATTCGGTTCAAAAACTGACGTTGTGTGTTGTGTTAAAATGCATGTAATCAAAACCAGAGCCTTCTGAGGGGATCCGATGAATTTTATCGTAAATCAACCAAACATCTTCTCACCCTCGGCGATAAATAATGACTGACGTCAGAAGCCCATTAATTAAGTAATGAGCTCGAACTGGCACCTTAAGGATACATTACTCACAGTGCATTACATCTTTATTAAGTTTCGCCTTTTCTTTCGATCCCTTCATACTGTAGTCATAACCTTTCCCAACTTTATTTACAACACTATACGTTCTTAGGATAACATAAAATGCCCTTAGATAATATTACACGCACTTGTCTCACTTTACAAGACAAACGTTACCCTCAGTACTTACTTTGCTTAAAATGCCAACAATTGAATACAACGAACATTCCATTTCTCCCCTTAACACATCAACACTATTTACAGTACTACCATTCTCTGGGCTAGTCGATGCTCTGACCAGCTTGGGTTCCCACCCGGTCATCTAAGTTTAGAGCATGCGCAGAGGTGGCCTCTTCAAATAATGCCACAATAGTGAAAACCTCTCTCTTTCAGATTGTCAGTTTTTATTCAGTTATTGGACTTTACGATGTGTTTCACCGGTTCCTGATTGTGTATACACCGGAATATCTATTAAGAATTTTTCCTCAACGCCTTCACGAAAGGAATTTCGCCGTAGGATTTGTTTATACCTGGATTTTACATGCTTTTGCATTATTGCATGATTTTGCCTCTCCCTCCCCACTCTCTACTTCTTATTTCTAGCTGTTCACTTTTGTTTCAAGGTAATTAGAGTCTTTTTCGGTTTTCTCAAGTTACGAGGAATCGTCTGTAAACCGACAAAGCAATCGTGGATAAATATCGACACCAATTGAAAATTGCTCTAAAAAAAGGAATCCAGGTGGACAATCAATTGATTTTACATGATGAACCTAGCGAACACTTCGCTCGTGTTCGTCTAACCCTTGAAAATGCCTAAAGCGTCAGATTTAATATTAGGTGCAAAATTCTTACTTTTCGCTGCTATAAGCATATCAGAATTTGATGCAAGATAGAATAAGACCGCTAATCATTTCATCGATTCTTATCACTTGCCTTCGTCATATGTGTGAGAATTTATTTGTTACAGTCTGCCTTGGCTATAAGCCTCGAATAAGAATATTACCATGTGGAGTTACAACATTTCTCATTTGGTTGGGCGAATTTGTTCCGGAACGATCATGGGTAGGAAAGTGGTTCATGGTAGAGCCATCAAAATAGTAGTACACGGTGTTCCACGGCCCACTCAAGGAGAACAGTGGTCCATGGCTTTGGGGCGACTTGTTTGGAAAAAAAAGGGAAGGAACCAACGTGTTACTCGGATCATCCGGCACCTGTTTAATTATCGTACAGTTGACGCCACCTTCCTGCCAATCAACCAAGCTGCCACTTCCCGGATCACACACCAGCCAATTGTTTATGTTGCTTTTGATGAGGACCTGTCTGCCGAGTTGCCTCCAGAGTGAAAAGTTCATGGCGTTGTAGTCTGTTTCATTTAATGGAGGAGTTGCGGAGATAGGAACGTCCGCTTGAGATCTCACCGGCCAATTTGGCCTCGGAGTGATCGCATTTGATTTACGCCTAAAATGACTGTAGTTAGTGAAGGAATAACTCCATACAAGAGTCCAACCTCCTCCATCAGTTTCCATGTCACAGTAAGCCTTGAAAGGATTGGCCTGAGATCCACCACTTGGATTAATAATAAACACCCGAAGGGGAAGTGGGATATTTCCTGAGGAGGGTCTGGCACGAGTTTCCTATTGAATGCCGGGTTGAACCAGAGTGCAAAGGAGTGGTTTGACCTGGTCCAAGAAATTTAGAGAGAGGATGACAGGATGTTTAATGATTAAAACTAGGTTTCATAAATATTTCCTAATGGTGCCGCGTCGGTGGGAGCGTATAAAAGGGTAATTTGGTAATATCAACTAAATTGATAACGTAAATTGGCCACTGTATAGAGTTTCAAAGCTGACGTTGCGTTGTGGCTTTGAAACTCTTTACGGTAGCCAATTTACGGTATTAACTCAGTTGATAATGCTAAATGATAGTTTACATCAGTGTTATAGTTACCAATTCAAACAATTTGCGTCTCAGTCTTACCTTGGGATGAGCCGGATTTTTTTGGTAGGTCAACCTGTATTGGCGTTAGACAAAACATCTCAATTAACATCCATACTTCATGCCAAGTGCATCTTTAAGAAATTCCTAAAGGCCCATTGGCACACAGTGTATCTTTACACTTTTGGCTTCCGCTTTTAACCGAACGTTTTATGGGTGTTTGAATAAAGAAACTGATATTGAATGAACTTGCTTTGATCATGCATGCTTTCTGAGGAAACTGTGGTGCTGCGTGTGTGGGGGGTATCGCAAGATATTTTGGTGTTATCAACTGAGTCGTTAATGTATACCTGTCACCGTAAAGAGTTTCTAAAGCTGACCTAGGGTTAACGCTTGAAACGAATACTCATCTCAATTTATTTACGTCGATCTTTAGAGATATTTCTCTTTCTTTGGACTTACAGAGCAATGTAAATAAGACGCCAAAGTCCTGTTACGTTCATAGTTTTTCCTAAACAAAAATTACATTTTGCGTAATGTTTTTCTCGTGAAAGGATGGTGAAAGTAATCATGATCGCTGTGAAGAAACCTCCCCTTTGGTGGGAAGGAAGGAGGGTTGAACTTGTTGGTGGTAGTGCTAAAATTATCGTGTTTTGAGTTATCATCAATGGCAAATACCTTTGTTAAATATATAGAACCATCTCGCTGGTAAAGATGCCCAGCTGCTGAACTTGTTTGCATTTCGCCGCGAAGAAGGTGACAAAGTCTTTGGTTTTCTAGAAAGTTTGCTCTTCTGCAAGAAGTTTCCCGCCCACACAAAGCAGAACAGGAAAGCAAAGAGTCAGTTTTGCCAGACCAAACGAGACTTTCCTCACTGAAACCGAAAAAGCTGTTTTCTTTGATTTGGAAGAAAACGCCATGGTCGGCTCCTTCAGTTGTCGTCTTTGCCAAGAACAAGACGAAAGCAAATCGGTACACGACTTGAAATAGCATCTGTCAAGAGAATCTTACGACAAATTTTTTTTATTTAGTAAACATATGAAAATACAAATTGCCTACTTGTTGAGAAAATGGCAGAAAAATCAGAAAGGCAGAGAATATTTACTTACGTTTTTCGTTTATGAAAAACACCGCGCGACGGTCAGAAACCTTTCTGAATAGATCTGCATCGTTAGTGTTAATTGTAAATTTGCTGATTCTGTGATCTTCGTCTGAAAGTGTATTTCTCTATTTGAGTGGTGCAATATAGCTTTGACATTTTGTTTTCTAACAATAAATTTTCAATTACTCCCAACTCTATTATGACATTTAAATGAAAATCGCAAGTCCTGCAGGTTTTTAATGCAATCATCATAACGTCTAGACAAACAGAATGTGGAAACACCGGAAAGACTATAATGTGCTATTTCATCTTAAAAAGAGAAAACCATTAAATCTAGAGTAAAAATTCTATCCTGTTAGATATCTGGCATTGATTGATAATTGATTTTTTGAATGCAAACTGTAAGAATGAAAAGCTTAATTTCTGTCCGGCTAAAACAGAGTCACCATCAGATCTCGTAAACATTTAAGACGGATGGAACAGCCTCATCTCAGAGGTAGACATTTTGAATTTTAAGTCATATTCAGCCGAATATATTCGCAGAAATAATGTTTTAATGCTCGAAATTTCGTTTACTATGTTAAAATATATTGAAATATCATCAGCTATTCATTAAGTAATCCTTTCAATCTAATGCTATACTTTAAATTTATTCGTTGCATTTATTAAATTTAGTAATATGTGTTTAATGACTTTTTCAAGCTCGAACTAAAATATCTCTCACGCATTTTTTGCACCTTTGATTCCTTAAATATGTTTTGTGTGCCGGTGTCAGATAAGTAATGTTCACTTACCTTTGGTGTTCTATGTTCTTTCGATAGTGTCATTAAGCCTTTTGGTACAGAAAACAAATCAGTTTAGACTCGTGATACAGCAACTCATCCAAGCTGCTTAATACGCTGGATGAAGAACCTACATACTCTTTGATTCATCATCATCATCAACATCATCTTTCATTTGCCTTATTTACACAATACAAAATATTTATTTACAGCAGTTATAGCTGGAAGGCTAGGCCAATTCAGTGATTATTTAAGTAAAAACTCTTGCATTTTCGTCTTAAAACTAAGAAGGTTTGTCGAACGAGTGACTGAAACAGGAAGAGAGTTCCAAATGTTAGGACCTTGGTAGAGAATTGTAAATTGCTTGAGATTTGTACGGCACAAATGCGTTCGACAATTACTAGCTGTTCTGGTACCATAGTTGTGAATTTGACTATTCGTTACAAAAAGATTGAGGAAGCAATGGAGGCAATAAGTTATTTCTATAATAAAACATGAATTTGGCGATTTCAAGCGTATTGACTTGGAAATATATGAAATTCCTAGTTTGGAGAATAAAGGAGCGGAATGGGCTCGATAGTCTGAGTTGGTGATAGCCCGCACAGCTCGCTTTTGCAAGTAATAAATTCTGTTTAAGTTAGATACGTATGTGGACGACCAGGCGCAGTTACAATAGACGATATAAGGATAAATTAAGGTGTAGTACAAAGTGAGTTTGGTTGTAGAGGATAGGAAAAAGCGAGACCTGAACATAATACCTATTGATTTAGCGATTTGTTTACATACATAGCTGATATGGTGTTTTCAGGTGGGATGATCATCAATATAGACCCCAAAGAATTTAGTTATGTTAGATTGTTGTAGGGGTTTACTTCCAAAGGAGAGAAAAATGCTGGAGTTAAATTTCTTCTGTCTGGGTTTAAAAATTACGTAGTTAGTTTTCTTTATATTAACTGAGAGCTTATTGCATTTTAGCCAAACATCAATATTTTGGAGTTCATCATTAAGTAAGGATTCTAAGCAATTTGGGTTTGAGTGAGAATAAAGGATACTGGTGTCATCAGCGAAAAGCAGAGGGTCTGTTAATTCAGAGGCATTAGGGAGCTCATTTATGTATAGAATGAACAATAGAGGGCCTAAACTCGAACCTTGAGGCACACCACACTTGATGGTTTGCACTGGAGAGCAAGCTTGATTGAATTGGACAAATTGCTGGCGGCAAGAAAAGTAGCTTTTAAACCACTGCAGAGCTGCGTCACGCATATAATAGTGCTCCAATTTGGCAAACAAGATTTGATGGTCGAGAGTGTCAAATACTTTGGAATGATCTAGGAAAACACCCACCGTTGTTTCGTGTTGGTCCATTGCAGAAGCTATTTTATTTACCAAATGAATTAGTGCGTACGATGTTGAGTGATTTTTCCGAAATCCAAACTGACAGCGGTAAAGTATATCGTTTTTTTTTTCAGCAAATTCTACTGAGCGATTGCATATGACTTTTTCGAAAAATTTGGAAAAATTAGACAACATAGAAATATGTCTGTAGTTTACAAAAAAGTTTGGATCCTCTGCTTTGAAGATGGGAATAATTGTGGCGATTTTAAGTTTGTCCGGGAAAATGCCTTTTAGCAGAGATAGATTGATAATATCTGCCGATGGAGCAGAAATAAGGTGAAATGAATACTTAGTGACATGCATTGGGATACTGTCATAGCCAGGAGCCTTCTCTGAAGCGAACATGCCAGAAATGCTTTCCAGTTCACTAGCTGTGGTGAGCTTTAAGTTAATGGAAGGATGGTTATTATCACCAAGATAAGAACGAAAAGAAGGATTCACACTGGGTATAGATTTAGTTAGGTTGGAACCAATGTTTGTTTTTTTTCATACCCTTTGTAAAGCCCGAAATGATTACCAAATCCTATTAGGCAGGGCAAACTATATTAGGTCAAATGAAGAGGTGCTCCCTGCCCCTCCCCCATCAAGCCTAAAGCTGTCGTTAGGGCAAACTCTATTAGGTCAAATGTAGAGGTGCTCCTTACCCCTCCCCCATCAAGTCTACAGCTGTTTAGTAATCTGAGGTTTACATCGCAAACTGTAGTTCTAAACATGTTTAATGAAGTGATTGTGTAATAGATATCCTGTGCAGATTAACATCAGTTTTAACGTTTAGAGTGTTAACTGTACTGTCTTTCAGAAAACTAAATGTTGTTTTGCGTTACACATTTTTTATTGCGTTACCAATTGGCGCATGTTCTCTATAGAGTGTTCCGCAAAGTAGGAGATCTCGCTCGTGCTCATCTCATAGGAGCGAATCAAGCGTGAACCTTTAGCTTCTAAAATCTGATCCGAAATTCTTCTTTCCAGTCCAACTTGTTTTCAGTGAAAAAGTATCGCTAGGAGTTAAGAGTTCTATCAGAATAACACCATCTAGCTGATACGTTGATTGATTTTCGTCATTTGTTTGCCAGGTAATGTAATGATTTTCCGGGTAATGCAATCAAGTTTTAAGAATTTAATCACCTCTTGAAGTATTTGTGTGCAAGAGTTTGTTATTATGTCTTTGCTACTCGGCCCGAATAAAAATGTTGCCATGTGGATCAGCAACATTTTTCTTTTGGTTGGGCTTATTTGTTCCCAGAGGATCATGGGTAGGCCAATGCTTTCCTGTGTAACCGTCAAAATAGTAATAAAAGCCACGCGAGTGCTCACTCACATAGAACAGCGGTCCATACCGATTTTGTTGGTCAGGTGAAAACTTAGAGGGGACCACTTCGTGACTTGGGTCAGTCACGTGTTTGATGATCGTACAGTTTACATCACCTTCCTGCCAATCAACCAAGCTGCCATTTCCCGGATGACACACCAGCCAGTTGTTTATGTTGCTCTTAATGAGCACCTGTCTGCCGAGTTGTTTCCAGAGTGAGAAGTTCATGGCGTTGTAGTCTGTTTCATTTAATGGAGGAGTCGTGGAGATAAGAACATCTACTTCAGATCTCACCGGCCAGTTTGGCCTCGGAGTGATCGCATTCGATTTACTGTTAAAATGACTGTAATTAGTAAAGGAATAGCTCCATACTAGTGTCCAGCCTCCTCCATCAGTCTCCATATCACAGTAAGCCCTGAAAGCGTTGGCCCGAGATCCACCAAAAGGATCAATCCAATAGACACCAGAGTTTGAAGTAGGATTCGTCCTGTGGAGGGTCTGGCACGAGTGACCTACTACTGAATGCTGGCTTGAACCTGAGTGCGAAGGAATGGTTTGACCTATTGGATCACAAAGTTTTGACAGGTTTTTGTAATGATTAAAACTGGTTTTGTAAAGATTTCTGTATTGAAGACCAGTTCTCTGTTCCCAATTCATCATCTAGTTCTTATTCCCTCACCTGCTCATCGATCTGACCATTCAACGATAATTCAAGCAAGTATTACTCAGTTTTAAAATTTTTGATGTTTGCCAACTTTATTACGAAATCACAATTTTGATATCACGATCACAGTCTTTCAAAACCATGCAATGGCCAACTTCCGAGTTTTTGCGTCATGTTTTTTTGCGGGTTTACAGCTAAGAAACTGCTATCAATTGTTCATTTATCATTTGACCCCTATAAATGACTGGCATCTAATTTTCATTACAAAATCACCCCTGAATCAGAATCACGAAAATAAAGGAAATGATCACCAACTAACGAAGCTCTTGATCGATAAACAAATTATTTGTCAGTACCTTAGGAAATGTATAGAGACCAGTATGCCTGTAGAATATGCATACTAACGATAGGCTGCAGAGAGTTAAATATAACAGTTTAAATCTGTATCCTAGTTACCAATATCAACACTAATCTTCCGCTCTCACCTTGGGTTGAAGTGGTTATTCCTGGGAGGTCAACCTGCATTGGAGTCAAACAATACATATCAGTTAATACCCATACCTCGTGCATGTAGGCGTACAAAGTTCTTGAAGGCTCATTGGGTAGTAATTGTGTGCTCTCAGTTGTTGGTGGCTTCAGCTTACAACTGAACAATTTATGTGCTTTGGATGATAAGCTTTATTATGAAATGAACTTCTGGAAATTGGTCTTGTCATCTCCATTTTTTAACTAAAGGGGGTAATTTTCGAAAGAAGCTAAAATGAACGCAAGTTGTCATCCGAAAACTATAACATGTGAAAAAATCAACGTGAAATACCTTTTTTAAATAGAAAGAGCCATCCCGCTCTAAAAGCCGCCCAGTTGCTGAATTTGTTTGCACTTCGTCGCGAAGAAAATAACAAAGTCCGGCGTTTTCCAGAAAGTTTACACTTCTGCAAGAGGCTTGCCTCATACACAAAACAGAACAGGAAAGCAAAGAACCCGTTCCCGACCACAAAAGGCTTTCTTCTCCAAAGCTGAAAAATATATTTTCTTTGATTTGAAAGAAAACACCATTTTCGGCTCCTTCAGCTGTCTTTGCCGCTAAGAACAAGACGATTGCAAATCGGTACTCGATTTGAAGTAACATCTGTCAAGAGAATCTTGACACAAAATCAGGTATAGTCAGTAAACGTCTGAAACATATAAATTACCTGCCTAAAGACAAAATAGTCAAACAAGACAGAAAGATCAGAAAGGAAGAGAAATTTAAACCCACCCTTTTCTGTTGATGGAAAAACACCGCCCGACACGCAGAAACCTTTGTGAACAGATCTGTATCATCAATATTTAATGTAAATTTAATGATTCCGTGATCTTCGCTTGACCGTTCTATTTTTCTATTTGGATACAGCAATACAGCTTTGACATTTTGTTTTCTTAACAACACGTTTCCAATTACTCCACAACTCTATTTTGACATTTTAAATGAAATGTACAAGTCTTGCAGGTTTATAATGCAATTATCATGACTTTTAGGTAAACAGAATATGGAAATACCGGAAGGCTGAAAAAAAGAAAATTGGTAAGAGACAAAATTAAAACTGATCATGAAAACACAGGCTTTTGTACTAAACACCTGGCAAAGAGGAGTTACTTTCCTGAATGGAAATAAAAAAGCAAGGCTTGCATAATTCAGCGAGAGAATTGGATCAATTACAAGTTTGATGATGTTGCAGATTGTTGGCTACAGTTGTAAAACGTGCTAAAAAGGGCAGGCTAAATGTACAGATACCAAATAGTGCCGAGAATTTGCTAGAAAAATGAAAGGATCCCTCCCTGTGATTTTTAATGATTTCTATTTTGCTTTTCGTTCGGCTTTTTTTTCTTGATGTCTTTTGTTTGTTTAATAAAGTCTGATAAAGTAGAAACAATTACATCGCAAAAATTTATAAAAATTAGATATACAGTCCGAAAAACAAGGATTTTGCCCTAGGGAACAGCGGCAAGTATATTGATTAAATTGTAACGTTCTGTCAGAATATTCGCGGAGGAGAGTCAAGTGGTAATTTTGTGATACGAGAAAAAATCTTAGGTTCGTCAATGAATGATTTGAATATGAGGAAGCGAGAATCTATAGTGACCTGCCTTAGAGATCGTGATCAATCCCTATTACGAAAAGGTTTACGCTATTGACAAGACCAGACAACGTTTTATTTACATAAAATCAATTTAATCAAATTGTAATAATTATTTTATTTGACAGTATTTTCAAGGGAATGTACTATCTTGTTATTGCTGATTTATTAAAAAATCATCAGTGGTTGGGCATTCTCTGTGTCTTTACCAGCTGTTTTAGCAAGAAAAACTAATCAAGTCATATGAATTCGTTTCACTTGAATTTTCCTTATGACTGTTTTGTATGCCCTTCCCTGAGTAAATGTGCTATAAGAAATATAAGTATAACGGAAACAGGTGCTCATCACAGAGCAACTAACTTTCATAAACTAATTTAACAAATGAAATGCTCCTTGATCATGGACAGGCCAGTTACGCCCTGTGGAACCGTTAAAATAATAGTACGGGTTGACGGTTTTGAAAATCGGTCCACAGTTTACTATCCGTTCAAAAAATGAGAATGCCGGTGTATCTTTGCACGTGTCAGTCACGTGATTGATGACCTGACAGTTGATGTCAGCCAATTTTGCAGGTGGTTTAACCAATTCTCTTTCTCCGTGGGGTCAAAACTGAACGGCACAGCAAGAAAGAGTCTAAAGGAAGGACTATAAAAAGAATTGGCTGCCAATTAACTGTCAATTAGGGGGATCATAGGAACATTCCAGAGCCTTATTAGGAATCCAATGAATTTTATCGTGAATCAACCAAACATCTTCTCACCCCCGGTGATAGTAATGACTGGCGTCTTAAGGATACATTAATCACAGTGCATTACATCTTTATTAACTTCCGCCGCTTTTCATTCGATCCCTTCATACTGAAGTCAAAATTTTAACTACTACTTTCCCAACTTTATTTACAACACTATACGTTACTAAGTGTACATAAAATGCCCTTAAATAATATTACATGTCCTTATCTCACTTTCCAAGACTAACATTATCGCCAGTACTTGCTTTGCTTAAAATGCCAACAATTGAACACAGCGAACATTCCATTTCACCCCTTGCCACCACAACACTTTTTACGGTACTACCACTGTTTAGGCTGGTCGATGCACTGCCTAGCCTGGGTTCCCACCGAGTCATCTAAGTTTAGAGCATGCGCAGAGGTGGCCTCTTCAAATAATGCCACAAGGACACATAGTTAAAAACTCTCTCTTTCAGATTGTCAGTTTTTATTCAGTTATTAGACTTAACGATGTGTTTCACCGGTTCCTGATTGTGTATACACTGGAATATCTATTAAGAATTTTTCCTCAACGCCTTCACGAAAGGAATTTCGCCTTAGGATTGGTTTATACCTGGATTTTACATGCTTTTGCATGATTGCATGATATTGCCTCTCCCTCCCCACTCCCTACTTTCTTCTTATTTCTAGCTGTTCACTTTTGTTTCAAGGTAATTAGAGTCTTTTTCGGTTTCTCTTAGAGTCTCAAGTTACGGGGAATCGTCTGTAAACAAACAAAGCAATCGTGGATAAATATCGACACCCAATTGAAAATTGCTCTAAAAAAAGGAATCCAGGTGGACAATCAATTGATTTATATGATGAACCTAGCGAACACTTCGCTCGTGTTCGTCTAACCCTTGAAAATGCCTAAAGCGTCAGATTTAATATTAGGTGCAAAATTCTTACTTTTCGCTGCTATAAGCATATCAGAATTTGATGCAAGATAGAATAAGACCGCTGATCATTTCATCGATTCTTATCACCTGTTTGCTAAGTAGTTTATTGATATGAACGAAGAAAGTAATCAGCCCTCGTCATATGTGTGAGAATTAATTTGTTACAGTCTGCCTTGGCTATAAGCCTCGAATAAGAATATTACCATGTGGAGTTACAACATTTCTCATTTGGTTGGGCGAATTTGTTCCGGAACGATCATGGGTAGGAAAATGGTTCATGGTTGAGCCATCAAAATAGTAGTACACGGTGTTCCACGGCCCACTCATGGAGAACAGTGGTCCATAGCTTTGGGGCGACTTGTTTGGAAAAAAAAGGGAAGGAACCAACGTGTTACTCGGATCATCCGGCACCTGTTTAATTATCGTACAGTTGACGTCACCTTCCTGCCAATCAACCAAGCTGCCACTTCCCGGATCACACACCAGCCAATTGTTTATGTTGCTTTTGATGAGGACCTGTCTGCCGAGTTGCCTCCAGAGTGAAAAGTTCATGGCGTTGTAGTCTGTTTCATTTAATGGAGGAGTTGTGGAGATAGGAACATCCGTTTGAGATCTCACCGGCCAATTTGGCCTCGGAGTGATCGCATTTGATTTACGCCTAAAATGACTGTAGTTAGTGAAGGAATAACTCCATACAAGAGTCCAACCTCCTCCATCAGTCTCCATGTCACAGTAAGCCTTGAAAAGATTGGCCTGAGATCCACCACTTGGATTAATCCAATAAACACCCGAAGGGGAAGTGGGATATTTCCTGAGGAGGGTCTGGCACGAGTTTCCTATTGAATGCCGGGTTGAACCAGAGTGCAAAGGAGTGGTTTGACCTGGTCCAAGAAATTTAGAGAGAGGATGACAAGATGTTTAATGATTAAAACTAGGTTTCATAAATATTTCCTAATGGTGCCGCGTCCGTGGGAGCGTATAAAAGGGTAATTTGGTAATATCAACTAAATTGATAACGTAAATTAGCCACTGTATAGAGTTTCAAAGCTGACGTTGCGAACTGGCTTTGAAACTCTTTACGGTGGCCAATTTACGGTATTAACTCAGTTGATAATGCTAAATGATAGTTTACATCAGTGTTATAGTTACCAATTCAAACAATTTGCGTCTCAGTCTTACCTTGGGATGAGCCGGATTTTTTTGGTAGGTCAACCTGTATTGGCGTTAGACAAAACATCTCAATTAACATCCATACTTCATGCCATGTGCATCTTTATGGAATTCCAAAAGGCCCATTGGCACACAGTGTATCGTTACACTTTTGGCTTCCGCTTTTAACCGAACGTTTTATGGGTGTTTGAATAGAGAAACTGACATTGAATGAACTTCCTTTGATCATGCATGCTTTCTGAGGAAACTGTGGTGCTGCGCGTGTGGGGGGTATCACAAGATATTTTGGTGTTATCAACTGAGTCGTTAATGTAAACCTGTCACCGTAAAGAGTTTCTAAAGCTGACGTAAGGTTAACGCTTGAAACGAATACTCATCTCAATTTATTTACGTCGATCTTTAGAGATATTTCTCTTTCTTTGGACTTACAGAGCAATGTACTTTACGCCAAAGTCCTGTTACGTTCATAGTTTTCCCTAAACAAAAATTACATTTTGCGTAATGTTTTTCTCGTGACATGATGGTGAAAGTAATCATGATCGCTGTAAAGAAATCTCCCCTTTGGTGGGAAGGAAGGAGGGTTGAACTTGTTGGTGGTAGTGCTAAAATGATCGTGTTTTGAGTTATCATCTTAAAACTGCAACAAATAATCAATGGCAAATACCTTTGTTAAATATATAGAACCAGCTCGCTGGTAAAGATGCCCAGCTGCTGAACTTGTTTGCATTTCGCCGCGAAGAAGGTGACAAAGTCTTTGGTTTTCTAGAAAGTTTGCTCTTCTGCAAGAAGTTTCCCGCCCACACAAAGCAGAACAGGAAAGCAAAGAGTCAGTTTTGCCAGACCAAACGAGACTTTCCTCACTGAAACCGAAAAAGCTGTTTTCTTTGATTTGGAAGAAAACGCCATGTTCGGATCCTTCTTTTGTGCTCTTTGCCAAGAACAAGACGAAAGCAAATCGGTACACGACTTGAAATAACATCTGTCAAGAGAATCTTACGACAAATTCTTTTTATTTAGTAAACGTATGAAAATAAAAATTGCCTACTTGTTGAGAAAATGGCAGAAAAATCAGAAAGGCAGAGAATATTTACTTACGCTTTTCGTTTATGAAAAACACCGCGCGACGGTCAGAAACCTTTCTGAATAGATTTGCATCGTTAGTGTTAATTGTAAATTTGCTGATTCTGTGATCTTCGTCTGAAAGTGTATTTCTCTCTTTAAGTGGTGCAATATAGCTTTGACATTTTGCTTTCTAACAATAAATTTTCAATTACTCCCAACTCTATTATGACATTTAAATGAAAATCGCAAGTCCTGCAGGTTTTTAATGCAATCATCATAACGTCTAGACAAACAGAATGTGGAAACACCGGAAAGACTATAATGTGCTATTTCATCTAAAAAAAAGAAAACCATTAAATCTCGAGTAAAAATTCTATCCTGTTAGATATCTGGCATCGAATAATTGCTTTTTTGAGTGCATTCTGCAAGAATGAAAAGCTTAATTTTTGTCCAGCTAAAACAGAGCCACCATCAGACCTCGTAAACATTTAAGACGGATGGAATAGTCTCGTCTCAGAAGTAGACATATTGAATTTTAAGTCAAATTCAGCCGAACATATTCGCAGAAATAATGTATTTGAAACTCAAAATTTCGTTTACTATGCTAAAATATATTTAAATATCATCGGCTATTCACTAAGCAATCTTTTCAATCTAATGTTGTACTTTAAGTTTATTTATTAAATTTAGTAATATATGTTTAATGACCTTTTCAAGCTCGAACTAAAATGTCTCTCACGCATCCTTTTAACCTTTGATTCCTTGAATTCGCTTTGTGTGCCGGTGTCAGATGAGTAATGTTTACTTACCTTTGGTGTTCTATGTTCTCTCGATAGTGTCATTAGGCCTTTTGGTACAGAAAACAAGTCAGTTTAGACTCGTGATACAGCAACTCATCCTAGCTGCTTAATACGCTGGATGAAGAACCTACATACCCTTTGTAAGGCCCGAAATGATTACCAAACCCTCTTGGGCAAGGAAAACTCTATTGGGTCAAATGTAGAGGTGCTCTTTACCCCTCCCCCATCAAGTCTACAGCTGATGAATAGTCTGAGGTTTACAACGCAAATTGTAGTTTTGAACATGTTTAATGGAGTGATTATGTAATAGATATCCTGTGCAGATTAACATCAGTTTTTAACGTTTAGAGTTTTAACCGTAATGTCTTTTAGAAAGCTATCTGTTGTGTTGCGTTACATATTTTTTTTATTGCGTTAACAATTGGCGCATGTTTTCTAGAGAGAGTTCCACAAAGTAGGAGGTCTCGCTTGTGCTCATCTCATAAGAAGCGGACCGCGCGTGAACCTTCAGCTTTCAAAATCTGATCCGAAATTCTTTCTTTCTGGTAGCGATACTTTTCCACTGAAAATAAGTTGGAGATATTTAGAGTTCTATCAGAATAATATCATCTAGCTGATACGTTGATTAATTTTCGTCACTTGTTTGCCAGGTAATAGAATGATTTTTTCGGGTAACTACAAAGAGTTTGTTATTATGTCTTTGCTACTCAGCTCGAATGAAAATGTTGCCGTGTGGATCAACAACATTTTTCTTTTGGTTTGGCGTATTTGTTCCGAGGGGATCATGGGTAGGCCAATGCTCCCCTGTGTAACCGTCAAAATAGTAATAAAAGTTACGCGGGACTCACTCACATAGAACAGCGGTCCATACCCATTTTGGAATGTTGAAAATTTGGAAGGGACCACCTCGTGACTTGGATCAGTCACCTGTTTGATGATAGTACAGTTGACATCACCTTCCTGCCAATCAACCAAGCTGCCATTTCCCGGATGACACACCAGCCAGTTGTTTATGTTGCTCTTAATGAGCACCTGTCTGCCGAGTTGTTTCCAGAGTGAAAAGTTCATGGCGTTGTAGTCTGTTTCATTTAATGGAGGAGTCGTGGAGATAGGAACATCTACTTCAGATCTCACCGGCCAATTTGGCCTCGGAGTGATCGCATTCGATTTATCGTTAAAATGACTATAATTAGTAAAGGAATAGCTCCATACTAGTGTCCAGCCTCCTCCATCAGTCTCCATATCACAGTAAGCCTTGAAAGCGTTGGCCTGAGATCCACCAGAAGGATCAATCCAATAAACACCAGAGTTTGAAGTAGGATTCTTCCTGAGGAGGGTCTGGCACGAGTGACCTACTACTGAATGCTGGGTTGAACCTGAGTGCGAAGGAATGGTTTGATCTATAGGGTTACAAGGTTTTGAAAAAAATGGAGAACACGTTTTTAAATGATTAAAACTGGGTTTCTGTATTGAAGACCAGTTCTCTGTTTCCAACTCATCATCTACTCCTTATTCCCTAAGGTGCTCATCGACCTGACAATTCGACGATATTTTAGACAAGTTTTACTCAGTTTTAAAATTTTTGATGTTTGCTAACTTTATATTACGATGTCACAATTTTGAAATTTCAAAACCATGCAATGCCTAACTCCCGTTTTTTGCATCGTGTTTGTCTGCGGCATGAAAGTTGAATAGCTGCTTTCAACATTTCATTAATCATTTGACCCCTAAGAGTGACTGGTATCTATTTTTCATCGCAAAATCAACCCTGAATCAGAATCACGGGAATAAGGAAATAATCATCAACTAACAAAGCTCTTGATAGATAAACAAATTCTCTTTGTTAGTACCCTTGGAAATGTATAGAGACTGGTATGGAGAATATGCATACTAACAATAGGCTATGGAGTATTAAATACGGCAGTTTAAATCAGTTTCCTAGTTACCAATCTCAACACTAATCTTCCGCTCTCACCTTGGGTTGAAGTTGTTATTCCTGGGAGGTAAACCTGCATTGGAGTCAAACAATACATATCAGTTAATACCCATAACTCATGTATGCATGCCTATGCGCATGCATACGAAATTCTTGAAGGCTTATTGGTTAGTAACTGTGTGTTGTTAGTTGTTGGTAGCTTCCGCTTATAACAAAACGTTTTATGTGTTTTGGATGATAAACTTGATTTTTAAATGAACCTCTGGTTATTGGTATTTTCGTCTCCATTTGTCAACTAAAGGGGATAATTTTAGTAAGAAGCGGTGGGGTAGGGTTTATAACAAGACAATTTGAATTTATCAACTGATAATGTAAATTGGTCATGGCTCGAGACTTCAGCTCTAAAATCTCTTCAAGGCAGCCAATTAAGAGGCGATCTCTGTAAGAGCGGTCCAGGGCATTTCGCATCGAAAAAAAGTTTTCCCTCAAACTTTTCCCAATAAACTATCTTTGGTTACAAGTAAATAAAACCACATTAGTTTCTGGAAATACGTTAACATAAAATTTTTTAGAGCTGTCAAAAGTCAAAGCTGCAAAAGGCCCTTTTTTTGACCTTTTGCGACATCGAAAATTTCAAAAGTTGAATAGCTCGGTCCTCGTATCACACCGCATGCAGCAAAAAATATTTTTTATTCTTAAAGTGTGTGATATATAAGGTGTATAAAATGCATTTCAATTTTGATATTCGTTTATTCAGAGGCTCGTCAAAATTTATTTAAAAACACTCGTTGGAAAGCTTTCTGAAATTGGTTAAAAGTACTCTTTCTTTCTTGGTTGATATTGCTCAAGTCCAGACCAGACCATTAAAAACGCCGCTTGATTTCTGCTAATAAGATGTTTGGCTGCAGAAAAATATAAAAACATCTTGCACTTATTGATTTTCTTCGCCGAGGTGACTTCGAACTTTTAGCGATATTGCTAGCGTGACAGCCGATTATGCAAATTAGTTCATTGAGCAAACTCCGACCGTTTTATGTGAGTAGCTGAATAAATCTTAGCTTTTGACCATTATAAGTAGAAAATAAAATAGGAAATATAGTGGAAAAGCTTTAAGACCACACCAATTAATACCTTAAACATTTTAAAAGGCCAAAATTTTGACAAATTTTATTATCTCGTGACGAAAGACGTCAACAACAACGTATCGAATGTCATAATTTGATTGGCGCTCGCAAACCCCTTTTAAATAATTTGGCTTCTGTTATTTCATATTTGAGTTCTGACAGCTTACGCTATTAAAACCTGTATGAACATTTCAAAACCAAACTACAGGATTCTATTTGGTGTAACCGGCGATAACAGCACACACTGAAATACACCGTGACCACTGTCACATAATTCAATTGTGTAATTATCCTGAATTGCTTCTCCCTTCGTAATAAAGCAGCGATAACATCGCCTTTTGGATCAGAATTCTGGTCGGCAGAAATAAGAGAAATTTTGCCTGCACACCGGTCTTTATGAAAGTTTCTATTCAGAACTCTAGAGAGTTCTTGTGGAAAAGGACCCCGCGATTTTTGAGGAAATAAATTATTACGTTACGTCTCACCTCATTTTTCCAAAAATTAGCTATATCTATATCGTAAAGCGTGTAATTTTATTAGCTGTAATTCATATGTCTCTTTCGGTACTGGTTTGCTTGGGATTAATAAAAAAAAATTCTTGAAACGGTATTCGCCACAAGAAGTCCTGTTTTCAGTCGCGTTCCTCAGAAACTTCGTTCGGAGACTGACGAGGAGTTTCCGGTTTGTTTAACTTGCCTCAGAGTACTGACTCAATAAAGAGTCATCTCTGCTTAATCCATTTGTTAAAAGAGAGTTTCACAGAAGGAGAGCTTATCTTTGCAAGGGCTGGCCTGTTCGATGTAGAAGACTCAGTTATGGCAAAATGTGGGTCTGCGCAAAGCATAGGCACACTTATGGGAAGTTCTGGCGCCAAAGTTCAGCGTGCCAGTATCCGACACACCCTGGTAGCGATTCCAAATGGGTAAAGAGCCGGTATTCTGTCAATTTGCAAATCTCAAAGGCCATTTCTAAGATGTATGGCGTTCTATAGAGGTTTAGACAATACTGCAGCTGAGGGAGCGGATGGTTTCAAAGATTTTTCTCCAAATTATAGACG